TCATTTCAGACATGTTGAATCGTCAGTTTCCGGATATCAGCATCAATTCAAAGTCAATGTCTAGTCACGCCTAACAGGTCTGAATTTGCCCATCCCCCTTCCTTGGAGGAAGACATACACTGATACGCTACCCACTTGCGGCAGTGCCGCAGGGTCCTGCCTTAAGGATCTGGCCTCTTATTCAGTGGGGACATCAGCTCTGTGAATTGGCTTGGATGTGGAAATTAGATGCAAGGCCAAGAGGTTCCATTGGGACAACAATCCACTTTAGGCTTCCGGCCACAAGACGTGGAGGTTTTTCTGTTACATAACTCAAGGATATCTAATAAGCTGCTTACCTATTTCATTCCTAGGACACTCTGATCAAAGATCCCTGCAAGTGAAAACATGCCATTGAGCACCTCATCCTGCAGGGAAAGTGTCCACCTTGACTCTGGCAGTTCAGCCAAGTTCAGCTTGGCCTCTACTCTTTCAGGACCCCATCACCCCTAATGAAATCAGGGAGCCCATCTCAGTGGTGCCTCTCCCAATATACCCAAACCGCAGAGGACAACCACCATAAAATTCTTCAAGGATACTGGTGTTATTCTTACTTAACACTTATCTCAACACCGAGGTGAAGAACTACCCTCTGAGCCCTCCTGGGAGATGTACTCGGTGGGATTAGGAAATATATGCAACCTCGTGTGATGTATCTCCAACATTCCTATCTTCTTAGATGGGAGACACATTAACCAGAGAAATACTGACATCTCAACCTCAGTGAATACAGAGCCATGTTGAAACCAGTTTTGGGCAACTAAACAAGCATATTAGAGCTACTTTCAGCTGCAAGAGATAACACATTAAATCTAGAATCTCTAATAAGGGCATTTATATCAATAAAATCAGTCTGATCCACTGTTATGTTCTTTCTTTCTTGACTCCCCACTAGACCTACTAAATTAGGTTCTCCGAGGGCAGAGGTCTGGCTTCTGTCTTGTTAGCAAGCTCCGCAGGTAAATTTTATGTAGCCAGTTGGAATCCACCAAGGAGTAGCATTGGGGAACCAGTGGTCAAATCCACTTTTTTCCTTTAAACGGATCAGAATCTGAGGTGCAAGAGAGAGCGACTTGCTCCAGACCAAGAGTGAGTTTGTTGTCAAAGTCAGGACCAGAACTTTGGTGTCCTGACTCCTTATGAGAACAGCGACTGCTCTTTTAAGTCAGCTTTGCAACAAACCTGGAGGCCTTTGTTCAGCATTCCTGAGAAATTCGTGCGGAGATGGGCTGCGATGGTAAGCAAAGGCAGGCTGCTCATGGCCAATGCTACAGGCACTGTGATAAAGGTGACCCTAGTTTTGGAGAGAATGATGTGTTTTCTTCCGGTTTATTTTGATTATATGTGATTGAAAAACCAACCCGGCAGGGTTAAGCCAACAGGAAAGGTATTGGTTTCCCCACTACAGGTTTGCTTCAGATATGCCCAGACACAGAAGCCCCACTCCTCAAGGTCGGGTTTTCCCTGGCTCTGACTCAGTACTGCTCCCCCCTCTGCTGACTCGGTCTTCGGGCAGGCTGGACCCTCTGAACTCGCCCTGCCCAGGTGCTTGGCATGGCAGGGAAGAGAGAGATTTGCCACCGCAGTTTCAGCAAAAGTCCCCTTGGATATGTAATTGAGTTACATGTCCATCTTTAAATGAAGTAGTGGGGCCAGAGAAACGTGATAGGCTTTTTGACCCAAGCCTAGGTCAAGCACCCCACTCCGAGTCAAGTTATGCCACTCTGAGAGCACAGGTGGCCAAGGTCAGGGTAGGATGAGAGCAATTGCTGAATGGCAAAAAACACAGATGTTCACAGTGCTAGGAACCATAGAGAAGCTGACAATGACTGTGAAGGGGGGGACGATTATAATCCAGGGGTAACACTAAGGTGTTAGTTACAATGCTATGGTGGTATTAGGGGTGATGGTTATAATACTCACCTTTTGGGGTATCGGCCCAGCTCTCAACCTCCACCTTCTCTGGGAATTATCCTCCTCCCATACAGAAGGGTAGGTGCCCACCATCGGGTATGTTCAATGTGACACAGCTCCTTCCTGGCCATAGCTCAGTGCCACCCTTAGAACTAGCTAGAGGGATCCATGCCTTTCAAAGGGGCCCCAATATCAAAATCACCCCAAAAGTCATTTATTAAAGACCATACAGGGATCTTGGTGCTACACAGCATAAGCTGTAATCCTCAATATCTGCTCTCAGACCTAACACCATTCAGCCCTGGGGACACAAATGCTTCTCCACACTTCTTGCTTTATGTCCTTAAAACAAAAGACCACCGCATCCAAATACCATGAAGCTTTGCACTGCTGCTGACATCACAGACAGCCACGGTTCGGGGTGTGGAGAAGACTGAGTGGTGAGGGACCCTCGGTGAGACAAATGAATTCTCTTGTCAAATCCTTCCTCTCAGAGAGCAGGAATGATGCGGCGAGAAGGTCCTATTTCCAGCGAGTGCTGAGCATCCATTTTCTTGCTCTGCTTCAAGCGTTCCAGTGTGTAGATGGTTTTTGCAATAGTAACATATGATGGCTGAGGGATATCTTGCAATATAGAACAATGTATTTTGCTCTTAAATTTGTTTTTTGTCCTTTTAAGTAAGCTCTACACTTGGGGCTTGAACTCACAACCCCGAGATCAAGAGTCACACGCTCTAATGACAGAGCCAGTCAGCAGCCCTGAAACTTCATTATAGCAACATACTTAGTAATTTTGTTCAAATCAAGGCAAGAAAAATAGATTTTATGGAATAAAGATGGAACAATTTGTGAATTATCCACATCTTTATTTTCTTACTTATCCAGTATTGCTGGCCTTTGGCCAAAATACCCGTATATGTTCAATAATAATTAAGTTCAGTCATGTTTGATATTTTCATGACTTTCTCTGTGTAAAAAAAAAAATCAAAACATATTTTTCAACATGTCATTATGAACGTGTAGTTGTCAGTATTTGCCGCAGGATAGATTTCTTGCCGCTGCATTCCACGAGAATCCCCGTTTCTTGCCCACGTGTTCCTTACTGCACTAGGTCGAGACCGGATGGGTTTTGTTCCTGGCACTGGATGTGGAGGCACCTTGCTGAGGACAGCAGTGGGAAGTGGGGATGAAGGAGGTGGTGATGAAGATGCGGGCACGGAGGTGGAGGTGGTGAGCACAGCAGCTGGGCTACCCTCCTTACCGCCTCGCTTGCTTACGTGCAGAAGACTCTAGGCTCCACCTCAAGGGGGCAGGCAGTGGGTAGGGGGAGCAGTGGAGCGCAGGACCTGAAGTCGCAGGCACTGCTGGGGAGGAGGGAGGCGGGTGCAGGGAGCTGGGAGCTCTTCTGCAGGCCCCACTCTCTGGCTGCCAGCTGTGTGACCCCGGCTGAGTTACTTCTCCCGCCTGGGCCACTCCCTCACCCCGTTCACTGTGGGGGCTGCATGAGAAGAAGGTGGCTGCTGAGCAGAGCGCCTAGCACATGGCGCACATTACATGGACTTGTCTTCCTCATTCTACCAGGCTGTAGGCTCTGCGAGAGCAGAAATCTGATCTCTTATTCACTTCGTTCGCTGGCAACACGGAGGTGCTCCACAAACAAGTTTAATAACACCTTCCTCTCCACGCCCCCATGGTCTCCCCCCCTTCCTGCCTGGGTGCGGGGCGCTGGCTCTGCCCAGAGGCCGCACCCCTCACCGGGAGAGCGAGAGCCAGGCTATTGTTGTGGCTGAGATTCTTTCCTAAACGGAAGGCCCCGAATTACAGAATAGCTGCCCTAATCTCTGTGGGGGCGCACATGGCCAGCGGAGGGGGCCCTCCCGTGGTGCCGGGGCCCCACCGACACCAGCCTGAGACCCCCCCTGCTCACTGAAGCAGACCCCACCTGGAGCCCCATCTCTCCTCTGAGCTGCCTTTTCTCAGGACCCCCACCACCTCACGCATCTCCTCACAGAAACCGTCCCTTCTCTGCACCCCATCTTCCCTCTCAGCCCCCCTGAGCCTCTCCCTCCCTCTTCCTCTCCTTCTCTCTCCCTCTGTCTCCCTCTTTTCCCCCCTTCCCCACAGCCCCCCAACCTCTTGCCCTCACTGACACCCTGACACTCCTGCTGTCTTTAGGCCTGTAGCTCTCACCATCCCTCCCCCAATACCCCACCCCCCACCTCCCATCCCACCCAGGCCAGAAAGCCCCACCCCCTACCCACCCCCCACCCCCCTTCTCTGGCAGAACAAACGTCCTCCCCAGTCCCCTGCTTCGTTGGCCTCCGTGACAGAAGCACTGCCCTGGCTGGAGTTGTGATCACTCTGTCACGCCTCTGCCCACCGCCGCTGCCCCCCGCCAACCCCTAAGCAGGCTGAGCTCCCTGAGAGCAGAAACCGTGTCTGACCCAGCTGCTGAGCTCACAGCACATGGCAGTGTTCAGAATGATTTGTTGACAGCAGCTGAGACTATGGGGTTAGAGAAAAGACTGAGGCCGGAGGCGTCAGGAAGGTGTCAGTGCTGGGCGAGAGCTAAAAGGCAGACTCATCTAACATGTATGAGCACCTTAAGGCACCAGAGGCTTTCTCAGGCACCACAGCCGCTGCTTCCTCATGCCGCTCATTCCCATTTTACACCGAAGCAAACTCAGAGAGGTCGAGCTCACACTCCAGGCCACACCGCCAGTGAGTGGTTACACCAGGGTTGGTTAGCATCAAAGGCAGGGCCGAGGTGCGGGTGGCTGCGGTGAGGGGGCTGCTACGAGAGGTAACGTTGTGGATCTGGGGTGTGAGGCTGGATCTGAAGGCCTCCCTGAGCCATCTCATTATTCCCGACACTGACCAGAGCTGCTCCCCCCGCCTCCCCCCCCCACACACCTTCTTCCCACTCTCTCCTCCGGAAGGAGCCAGTTCTGACTCAGACCCATTCCAATCGATCATCAGGGTGATCCGGGAATGAGCCTGGAAATAGGAAGGAAACCTCTCTCAGACTTGGCCTCCCACTGGCACAAGGTCCTGGCTCTAGCACCGGAAGGAGCCACTTTAAGGATCTCCTTAGGGATCCGTGACCAGAAAGGCAGATGATCCGGTTCTGGGCAAGTGTAACCGGGAGATCGGCAGGGCCCGCAGCTATAGCTCCGCCTCATGATCTCCCCCTCCCGAGGATTCTTTCACCCCCGGAAGCCAGCCGGAAGCTGATCCAGTTTGACCTCTCCAGCATGAGCCTCGCTGCCAGTAAGGTAGAGGGTCTGTGTCCATTGGCATCCTGGGACAGGGAACTGTCACCCCTCAGACTGGGAGCTCCTGAGAGCAAGGCTCCTTGACCACCCCCACCTTGGACTCCTGAGGGCAGAGCTGCGCCTCCCCTCTCTGACTGGGCGCTCAGAGGTCTGGGGCTGTCTCCCCCCTCTGACTCTGAGGGAGTGCTCCTGCAAGGAGGCGGGGTCATTTCTAGTCACCCTCCTCAGACCGGGGCTGCCCCAGGGCGGCGCCTGCAGTCCACTCTGAAACCCCTCTTTCTGTAGCCCAGCATCTGTCTTGGTCCCTAGAAAAGAGCTGAGAAGCCCACCCCCACATGTCCCACCCCCACTCTGCCTGCCCTTCCACCCAACCCGGATGCTCCTTTAAGACCAAAGGGATGGGGGTTGCATCCAGTCAGACACAACAGCCCCATCCTCCCCCTCCTTCACAGGCCAGGTTTCCTGCCATTGACAGCATCCCAGCTGGGCCCTGCCCAGCCTCCACACTTAACCCCTTCATGACTAGATCTCAGTGCTTGGGGCCTGCACCCCAACCTGCATCTGTAAAATTAGGAGAATAAAAGTACCCCTTTCACTGGGTTGTTTTGAGGATTAAATGTGTGAATCACAGAACAGTGCCTAGCATATATTAATCCCCCAATATAAGTTAGGTGTTAGTCTCATTGTGTGAGCTTGGATGGATTTCACATCTCTAAGCCTCAGTATTCTCAGCTGTTAAATGGGAAGTAAAACCCACTACTCCCAAAGATTGTCCCAGGGATGAATTGCGATCATGTAGATGAAAGTATTTTGCAAAGATACATAACATAGCAATACAATATGGAACTATAACAATACAATATGGAACTATCATGGACCAATGAACAAAAAAACCCAAAAAAACCTTCCCCTAACTAGGTGATAAAAATCTCTTACCAGCAAATGGGCCTCCCCGTTTTTCAGACTCATTATCTTACTTGACAGGCAGAGGGTGCAGCGGAAAGAGTGGTTTTGGAGTTGGGTTTTGGCAAGATCCCATTTCCTCATCCATTAAGTGGGGTGGTCACCCCTACTGGGCCCCCCTCTAGAGTTCTTAAGAGAGACAAAGGAGATCGAAGAGCACAGGTGTGAATGTGCTTTGCAAACATTAACAGTTCTACAAGGGAAGGAAAGGGGTTTGTGGAGAGTGGCCCAGCTAGGAGGGGGGCAGGGGCCCCTTGGCAAGGGTGTTGATTTTTGAGCTCTGGGTGCTGCCGTTTATTGGGGAGAGGGGAGATCACCAGACACCAGCACTGTGGGGACAGGGCTCCCCCTTGAGACATGAGATGTCAGCTCGAGAAGTCCCCAGTGGGGCAAAGCAGAAAGGAGGCCAAAGACACTGGCTTGGCCCCAGAACCATCCCCTCATCACCCTCTTCCCAGCCAATCCCATTGGCCATCAGAGGACCTTGGGCAGAGGCACCTCCAAAGGGCTCAGAAGTGACTGTCATGCCAAGACTTGCTAGGGCAGGCTCACCCCGCACATCCGCAGCACCAATGCCCCCACCCTTAGGCTACAGATTCCGGGCCTCACCCCTAGGGAGAGCAGGCCTGCCACCCTCCACACACCCCAGCCAGGACAGGCCTAAACCTGCTACAGAGGAAAGCAAGCACAGTCAGCTAGAACCTTGCTCTGCCTTCGTCTTTTAACCAAGAGGTTCTGCCAAGGCCTAGAAGAGGGGGCTGACCCCACATGAATAGCCTACCCCAGGCCTCTGGAGGAAGCTAGGGAATCAGGAGACCTTGTTTGGGTCTTGGCTGTACCCCAAGCTCACTGTGTGTCCGTGCAAATCACTTAACCTGTCAGGGCCTGTGTGACCATCTGTAAAATAAAGGATGTGGACCTGGCCCAAAAGTCTTCTCCAGTCCTGCGACTGTGACCAGGAAGGAGTTAACTGGAGACCAGGCTCCGGGTCAGGAAGGCGAGGGTTAATGGGGGGTGGGGGGGGTGGAGGCTCTCTCTCCTTTTCCTGTGGAGAGTGAGGTTTGGCTGCCACCAAAGTTACTTCCAGTCCTTGCTGTCCCTCCTGTCCTTGTCTGGTCCTGCCCAGGGACCCCTGCATCCAGCCTCGGTGAGTGCACAGAGGTGAGTGCATCCCCAGCCCAGGGCCTGGGTGGGAAGGCCCTCAGGGACCCAAGGGCAGGGAGGCTGCCACCAAGCCAGTGAACAAGTCCCCCCCCTCCCCCCAAGCCCATGTCCAGAGCTGAAGCCCCGGGCAAAGCTCAGACCACTAACCACAGGACTGGGAGAAGGTGGGCAAAGGGACGGAGGGCACAGGGATGTCTGCCAGGCTTCTAGGGTGGAATATCTGTGGTCGAGCATCAGAGCCAACCCAGGAGGCAGGGAAGAGACAGTGGATGGCAGACTATTTTGGTCCCTGTGTTTAAGGACTTTTTATAGCCTTGCTGTTCAGGGCTGAGAAGAGGAGAAAGGGATGGGAGGATACTCATAAGGTCAGACAAGCACAGTGCCCTCCTGGGACCTTGGAATCTGACCCATTGCCTGGGAGAGTTCTTGAGAGTGAGGGCACTGCCAGGCTCTCCTTGCTGCCTGGGCTCGCAGTCACCAACTACCTATGGGCCGGCTTACTAGACACCGGATAAGGGTGTGTGTGTGTGTGTGTGTGTGTGTGTGTGTGTGCGCGCTGGGGTGGGGGGTTTGGCAGGGTCTCTGTTCCAAGGCCTCTTGGGGGGGCCTCCCCCCATCCCAGGCAAGTTCTGCTATTTTGTTGCCTCCTGACTGGAGGTCCTGTCAGGCCCCAGAACTTATGTGTCCCTTTCAGCTGAATGGAGGATTCAGGGAGGAGGGAGCAGGGGTGGTATGGGGTGTGCTGAGCCGTGTGGGTGGCCCATTCTGTTACAGCCAACAGCACTGTCAGCTCTAGATATACAACCCCTCCTGGTCCCCTTCCCCAGTGGCAGAGGGGAGGTGGCGGACCAGGGTCACAGGGTCTCAGGATGAGAAGAGGGCAGGGACCCTGAGGGCAGATTTCTAGGAGGGCCGGTTATTGGGAAGAATTTGTGGAACGAACTTTTTAGTGAGGCAAAAGGCCCATGTCTAATGGAAATTGCTTAGTATTACAGCAGCAAGAAGAGAAGCAAAACATGAGAGGGAAGTTCTGCGTGGCCCTGAGACAGGCCATCTGAACTAGTTCCGCACTGCAAGGCTAGAGACCAGGGTTTCAATCCCAGCCCCTAACTCTCAGTAAGACCTGAGCAAGCCCCTTCCTCTCTACCAGTTTCCTTTTCTGTAAATGGAAATGCAGAGGTGGGCAAGGTGGGGCGGAATTCCCTTGGCAGCCGTACAGACGTGGTAGGTCGCTGGCTGACATGACCTGGTCACCACCTCTCTCTTTCCCCATGGCCCTGCTGGGACTGGGCAGGGCAGTTGGCTGCAATTACTGGAGGCTCCTACCCTGTGGTTATATCCCTGACCTCGGGTGTTTGGGGGCGGGAAGGGTGGGCCCTGCTGGAGCTAGCCTGTGGCTGGGGAGCCTTCTTGTCTTGGACTCATAGTTGCTGGGTTGGGAAGAGGTATTTTTTCCGGTTGAGGCACTTTCGGGAACTGAGCCGGGACCAGCCCCATTTCCTTTGCCAAGTGTCCCACTTGCTAATGCTTGCTTGGCATGGCTCTGTGGCCAGATTGGGGCACCCTCCAAGGGGCATGTTTCTGGGTGATCAGGGCGCCCCTGCTCAATGTCTTTGAGGGATAGGGCGGTGGGGGGGGGGGGAAGGGGTAGTCTGAGCCTCTCTGCCCCTTAGGCATGGTAAGGCTGATTTCGATGGGGGAGGGGTGGCTGGCTGATCCAATTCTCAGAACGCCTGAAGGAGAGGTGCAGGGACATCTCCTCTCTCCTTGACCATTCCTCTTTCCCTATAGGCACCAGGGAGCCCCAGCCAATTACTCTTGGCTCCTCAACTAGCTGCCTTACTTCCAGTGGCTTATGGGGTACAATCCTACCCAGCTCCGCTGAGATGATCCTGGCCTCTCCCTCCACCCAGTCCAGGGGACGGACCCCCAGCGCAGCGGAGAGGCTGGAGGCCGACAAAGCCAAGTATGTCAAGACACACCAAGTGATAGCACGACGCCAGGAGCCAGCTCTGCGTGGGGGTCCCGGACCGCTCACCCCGCACCCCTGCAATGAGCTGGGGCCGCCTGCATCGCCCAGGACGCCCAGGCCTGCCCGCCGGAGCAGCGGCCGGCGGCTGCCAAGGCCTGACTCCCTCATCTTCTACCGCCAGAAGCGGGACTGCAAGGCTTCAGTGAACAAAGAGAACGCCAAGGGCCAGGGGTTGGTGCGGCGCCTCTTCCTGGGCGCCCCCCGAGACGCCACCTCGAGCAGTCCGGGCCCAATCGAGCGACCAGCGGCTCCTGGGGTTTGGGCCGCGCCCCAAGATGCCCCGGAAGCGGCAGGAAAGCGGGCGCTGTGCCCCACCTGCTCACTACCCCTGTCGGAGAAGGAGCGCTTCTTCAACTACTGCGGCCTGGAGCGCGCGCTGGTGGAGGTGCTGGGCGCTGAGCGCTTCTCTCCGCAGAGCTGGGGCGCCGACGCCAGCCCCCAGCCCGGAACGCCGCCGCCGCTCGGCTCTGGGGACACCAGCGACTGGACGTCCAGCGACGGCGACACGGATCGCCCGGACGGTGCTGGCGGCGGCGGCGGCGGCGGCTCAGAGGCGGCGGGCTCGGCGCGGGACGGGCGCCCCCCGGTGTCGGTGGTGGAGCGCAACGCGCGCGTCATCCAGTGGCTGTACGGCTGCCAGCGCGCCCGCGGCCCGCCGCGCGAGTCCGAGGTGTGACTGCGGCCGCTCGGGAGCGGGCTCCGGGGAGTCCCGGCTCCGGGGCCCGGGAGCGCTACGGGGTGGGCGCAGGGCTGGGCCCGGGCACGGGCAGGGACGCCCTGCCTCTGACGCGCCGGGTGCCTTCAGGCGAGCCCTTCCCTCTGGATTCTTGGTTTCCCCCTGTGAACCTTGGGAGGATGGGACAAAAGGATTCCGAAGGCCCTTCCGAGAGCCGACGACGGAGGGGAGGGGGCAGCTACGTGGCCCCTGTGGAGGCCGGGTCTGGGGAGAGAAGCCTGGGGTGGGGGGTTAGAGAACCTGCTGAATAAAACCAAAACGTTATTTAAAGGAGTCGTGATGTTGGATTAGGGAGCAGATATTAAGGGAGGGGGCGGGGCGGGCTTGCGGGGTTACGCGCGTGGGTTTTGGAATGCGGGCTCCAGGCTCACTGTGTGACCCTGGGCAAGCACCTAACCTCCCCGAACCACAGCTGCAGCCCTCGGTGATCAAAGTATTTTTGAAATGGTCATAAAACGCATGGCAAAGTGCCCGGCATATAGAAAGTGTTCAATAAACGACAGCCACTAAGACCACTACGGAATTAGTACTGACTCTATTATGACCATCTCCTCCACCGACCCCGAGGTCGGTCCAAACTAGATCTGGGAGTCAGGAATAGGGTGTTTGGGGAGTTCTGGGGAGAAACCCCAGAAATCTGGGGCTCCCCGGCCGAAAAGGCCCCCATTCCTGGAGATTTGCTGCCCCCTTTTGGTTACTAGCTATGAATGGGCTGAGATTAGGAAGAATCCAGAATTGAGGACAGTAAAGGAAGGGACCCTTCAAACCGGTATTTTGTTAACCCGCAGCCTCACATCGGGCCACTGTCTTCCTTTCCCTCAAAGACACACAAGGTCACTTGTTTGCCTCACACATCCACACCTCCAAGTCTTTGCTTACGGTCCTCTTCCCTTTGCCTGGGCTACCTTCCCCTTTCTTTCCACTCATCCTTCTAAGATTACATGTATTCATTCCCCCTCAGAAATTCCTGAATTCCCCAGCCCGCATCATCTCCGAGTTCCCAAGTACAGCCTTATTTTTGTGCCTCAACTTGTCACCTTCTGTGGGACCCGCTGGTCGTCTGAGTTCCCTCTCCAGGTCTCTGGCCTCCTGACTTTCCCCTAGTACAGGGACGGTGCATATAGCAGAGTCACAGGCAACGTTTGTCGAATTAAAAGAGGCTGAACAGGGCGATGGGGCTTGTCCTCTGGGGTTTCTCAGGTTCCTGTAAAGCTGTACCCTAAATCGGACACAATCTATCCTGACACCAGGGCTGTCGGGTCATTTTTTCCCTGTACATTTGGGGGAGGGGGGACGCTTTGAGCTGGACCCTGCCTTGAGGTTGCCCACCCAAAAGCAGTCATCCGTGCCGTCCGGACAAAGGCACGCGGTCACACGGGGTGTCGGGTCAGGGTCTTTATGGGGTTGGGGGAAGGAAGGAGCGGGTGCCCGGCTGGGCCGCCCTGCTAGTCGCCCTTGGGCGCAGCCTTCACCCTCATCTCGGCCAGTTTGTGGGTGAGGAAGCCCCACTTGAAGCCGGCCACGGCGTCGGCCTCCCCCGGCTCGGGGCGCTCGGCAGCCTCCTCCGCGGCCTCATGCCCGGCTTCGGGGTCTGGCTCCGGGTTGGGCTCGGCGCCGCGCAGTATGGACGCCGCCGTCGCCTGCTGCTGCTGCCACCTGCTGGCGAACGCGTCCCAGAATCCCGGCCCGCGCGGCTCTGCCTCCGTCGCCGTCACCGCCTGCGAGGGGGACCGCGCCGCCAGCGGGCTGCGGGAGAAGGACGGGTGTCACTGGCCGAGGTCGGGGGAGAGGACGAAGAGGGGAGACGGGGTGCAGGCGCTAGTAGTGGGGGGGAGGAGCCAGAGGGAGGTCAGGTGACTGGGGGCGGGCGGGAGACTGGAGGCCAGGGGAGGGCTCAGAGGCGCAGGGAAAGGGGGCTGGGGTGGGCCAGGGTCAGGGGATTAGGTGAGGGGTCTGGGAAGAAGGGGCCGAGACCAGGACTCCTGGGGTGAGAGTCGGGGTCGGGGGTTTAGGAAAGACTCGGGGAGAGGAGTACCGCCAGAGGAGGGAAGCCTGACATGAGGAGTCCCGAAAGCTGTGGGAGAAGCCCGAAAACCTGTGGGAGGAGCCCGGAAAACTGTGGGAGGAGCCTGGGCGGGGGCGGGGCCCAGCGACGCTTGGGGCGGGGTCAGACTCTGGGAGAAGGGGTCCGGGAAGCCAGGGTGCCAGCCCCAGGGAGAGGCAGGGTGGGGGCAGGGGTGAGGTTCTGAGATGGAGGGAAAGGGGGACTGGGAAAATGAGGAAACGCTGGAGAGAAGGACGGGTGGAGCGACCCAAGGAAATGAGAAAGGCCTAGATAAGGGCTTAGTGGGGAGGAGGACTGGGAAAGTGGCAGGGAATGTGGGGGGAAGGGCAGTCAAGGAGGGGGGATGAGTCTTGAGGTGGGAGCCTCAGATCTGAGAAGGAGTCCTTGGAGCTCTGGGAGGGACAGGGGATGAGCGCCAGGAGGGAGAAAGGAAGCCCTGGGGCTGGAGAGATGGGTGGGTCAGGGGGACCCCAGAGGAGAAAGGAATAGGGGAGTGTCAAAGAAAGGGGGTGTGACTGGGCTGGAGGAAAGGGCAGAGAGGGAGTGTGTACTAGAATAGAGCTAGGAGAAAGGAGCTGCCCTGGGTCCCACCCGCTAAACCCCAGCATCAAAGCCTTTCTAAGTCAGTGGTTCCTAACTAAACTAGAGCGCCTCAGGTCCTCAGGAGCAAGCTGCAAATATAGATCCCAGGCCTCGGCCCACACCTGCGGAATCAGAATCTTTGAAGGAGGGTCTGGCACAAACTCCCTAGGAGGATGAGATTTTAGACCAGCATTGGAATCTGGACCACCCTCTGTTCTGAACACCTAAACGTTCTCTCTTCTGTTTCCTGATTGTAGGGAGATGACCCCTCCCATGCGGATGGGGAGGAGAGAGAGAGAGTCTAAAGTACCTTCTAGCACCTCAATCCCAACAGCCCTAAAGTCCTGCTGAGATCTAACTTAAACTCCAGATAGGTTGATTTGGCCTCTTTCCTGATGAGAGAAAAGGAAACAGCCTGGGGCTGGTCCTCCCCCTTCCTCCTTGGTGGGAAAGATAGACAAATAGACCAGAAGTAAAGGACATGGGAGAAGGGGGACCCCAGGCCCATCCCAGCCCCCACCAACACACACGTACTGGTCAGCACAGGGCTCCGGTGGCAGGAGCTTGTCCTCATCTTCTTTGTTAAACAGAGACGACATTGTCAGCCAACCTTTCACCCCGACCCCCTGAACCTGGGAGGAAGGGGCTGGGAGTCAGCGAGGGGTCACAGCAACCTCTGCCAGGCTCCCCCAGGCTGGGGTGAAGAAGGGAGAACTCACCCGGCGGGCCAACTGTGACATGGGATGGAAAGCCTCTTCTGCAGGTTCTGCCGGCTCAGATTCCACTAACGCTGGCTTCCCTCTCTGGGACACAAGACCCCCTCCCAGCATGAGAGAGGCCCCAGAGGAATGGGACCTCCCTCGCCCACTGCTAGCCTGGTATGCACACCCCGGCACCCCAAACCCTCACACCTAAGCACCCATCTCGTCCGCTCACACCCTCCATAAATACAGACAGGTAGACCTCTACACAAAGCCGCCAGTCTGTGTATAGAGCCCTGCAGAAACCCTTGAGCACACACCTGCTCACCCATAGACATAACCACACGCACCCAAAAACACACGAAGGCAGAGATGTACACACACACGTACAAACATAACACCTGCCGATGCCTTCACAGAGGCCCTCAGGAAGAGACTTATGTCCCAAATACTCACACCTGCCCTGTCTATCTCCAGTTCACACCCACCCATACAACTTCATGGGGCATTCTACCTGGATGCCAGTCCTAATCCTGACCCATAGATACTTCTACACAAGCCCATCCTGGGACACCAGGATGTCTAGACAGATACTTATTCACACACATACACACACGCCCTACAGAAATAGTTACGGGGGCGCCTGGGTGGCTCAGTCGGTTAAGCGACTGCCTTCAGCTCAGGTCATGATTCTGGAGTCCCGGGATCGAGTCCCGCATCGGGCTCCCTGCTCGGCGGGGAGTCTGCTTCTCCCTCTGACCCTACCCCCTCTCATGTGCTCTCTCTCTCTCATTCTCTCTCTCAAATAAATAAATAAAATCTTTAAAAAAATAAATTAAAAAAAGAAAGAAAGAAAGAAAGAAAGAAATCGTTACAGCCCCTGCGACATCTGTTTGCACAACTGCCACTTATCACAGCCTCTGGATGTAAGACTGTTCCCAGTTTCAGAGCATTTTTGATCTTTCATGTCAGGACAAACATGGTCCAAGTCTGGCTCTGACCTGAGGCTGTGACAGTGACCCTCTATGTCAAGCCCCACTGCCCCTACTTCCAGTCCCGTAGGGCTCACTTCCTCTCAAGGCGAGCCATCCGTATTCTGCTGAGCCCTGCCCACTGGAAAGTTGTCAAGCCCCATGTACCCCGGGTGGCTACTGCCCACTGGTCCTGGAAGGATCTCTTCCGTGTGGTAACCCTTGAGATCTTTGGAGACGATGACCATTCTTCTGGTGGCCCCCAAATCTTCTTCTTCAGTTTTCTTAAATACCCTGGCTTTCTGCACCATGCCATTTGTCATCCCTGAGTGTGCCAATGGCTTCTGCACAAATATGCCCTCCCCCCAGAGCTGTCCCTTGCTCTTCCTTGTACCTTTCACTCCTGCTGCCCCTCTGCCACGACCCACCCAGCAAGCATGGATGGTACCCACCTCCTCTGCCAGGTCCTCCTCAGATTCCCCACTTAGAGTCTGTAACACTTTGGACTTGTAGGTTTTCCAGAAGGCCTGGTTCATGGCTGCAGGGGAAACAGACCTGGCATCCAAGCTCAGGAAGGCAGTGACTCAGTGGGCACCCAGTGGGTCTGGCTCCAGGAACTTGGTGAGGCTGAGAGCCTGTCCCAGGGATCAGGTGACTTCATTAAAGATGCACCAGCCTTCCCAGATGGCACAGTGCCCAGCAGGTGAACCTGATCTAGAGTCTGGGGTGGGGACAGGACAGAGCTGGCTTCTGTGGCTTCAGCCCCTTGTCTTGACCCATATTGGCCAAGAATAATGAAGACATCTCTAGGCCTCCTTCCTGGCCCTACGGGTACTTGAATTGGATCTCTTGGAATGGCTCCAGAAAAATCTGTCTTTATTCACAAAAGTCCATTCATAAAGTCCTTGGGCCCAAGACCCACACTGGTGCCCCTGTGGCTATAGCCACACCCGTTATGCCCTCAGCAGGGCCCACCCTATATTCCCACTCAGCTGTGAACTGGATTGAGGAGGTCCCAAGGCCCCCAGCTGGCACCCTGGGCTTACATTTCACTACTTTGTCTGGGCTGGAAATTGATTCCTTTCCCCAGGGATGCACGTGCACGTCTCCCTGTTTCCTGGCAACAGGTTCCAAAGAGCTGGAGTCCCTGAATTATTGCTGAGCTCCTCTGGTCAGCCAGGAAGGCACCCGGATCTGATGAATGGGGAAAAGCTGTCTGGCCCTCTCCCCACTCTGAGCACACAAACCCTAGGCTGTATCTCTGCCTTTGCTGCCAGCCCATGCCTGGGAGTCCAGGGCTCAGAGAAAGGGGGCAAAGATGAGAGGTCCTTCTATGAGCACTTTCTCTTCTTGTGAGAGGAGCTGACCCCCCGTTCAGTCTGAGGGGACGCCTGAGTACTGTGCTCCCTGAGGAGGAACACTCCTTGCTCACGGATTTGACTGCGGGTGGATGAAGCCTGGAGATCCAAGGGAATTAAGTGGGAAACGGTGATAAGTGGTGAGGGCTTTGTCAGGAACTGGAGGTATCTCACGAATCCTTGTGGGGGCCGGGATCGCAAACTTACTCTTACTCATTAATCCATTTATTCACATGACAGACATTTTTCAGTGCCTCCCAGAGATGCTCAAAGCATTTTCCCTCTCCCCACGAACAGCGGAGTCTAAGATCAGGGAACAAGCAAGGGGTGATGGTGCCCGGGGATGGCGCAGAGACAGGCTGGGCCAGGTAGGACGGGAGGGCAGTGGCCGGAATCCCCCGGGGGCACGCACCACCCAGCGCTCCGCAGCAATAGCCTCGCCCCCGGCCGATGACGCCGCTCTGGGCCCCGCCCGGCGCTCCGTCACTGCCGTTAACGGCCGCCTGGGGGCGCTCAAGACTGAGGCGGTCTGGAGGAGCCGGCTCGGCCCCCGGGCGTCACGTGACGCCAGCCAACAATCCGGAAGCTCCCGCACGTGTGCGTCCGACCCGACTCTGGGCCTCCTGGCCCCGCTGTCACCGGCCATGGGTCGCTCCCGCCGGACGGGTGCGCACCGAGCCCGCTCCCTGGCCCGCCAGATGAAGGCGAAGCGGCGGCGGCCGGACCTGGATGAGATTCACCGCGAGCTGCGGCCCCAGGTTCCCGCACGGTCTCGGCCAGACCCGGCCTCTGCGCCCGACCCCGACCTGCCCGGGGGCGGCCTGCATCGCTGTCTGGCCTGCACGTGAGTCCCAGCCGGGCCTGGCCTGGGGAGGAGAAGGGTAGACGCCTACCCTTCTCCTCCCCAGGAGCGGGATACCCAGGAGCGGGAATCCGGGCACAGAGGTTTCTGATCTGGGGCGTGAGGTCCGGGGACCGGGACGCGCCGGGTCTCTTCTCGTGGGACCCGTGGGTCGACTGGCCGCCCATCCCTTCAGTCCCGCTGCCGGGCGTCAGGAAGAGCTAGGTTCAGGGAGATAGGCGTACCTGAGAGGCATCACCTCACTCTTGTTACCCACCTCCCATCCCTACAGGAGATACTTCATCGATTCCGCCACCCTGAAGACCCACTTCCGATCCAAAGACCACAAGAAAAGGTATGAAGGAGTAAGGAGAAGATTGATGGACGAGTGCTGGGCAGACAGGGCTTGCATCTGGTCGGCTCCCAACTCTCACTCTTCTTTCTCCCAGGCTAAAGCAGCTGAGCGTGGAGCCCTACAGTCAGGAAGAGGCCGAAAGGGCAGCGGGAATGGGCTCTTATGTGACCCCCCAGCGACTGGCAGTGCCCACAGAAGTATCCACTGACGTCCCTGAGATGGACACAACTCCCTGACATGACCTGAGGATGCAAGGCAGGGGAGCTGCCCATGGACAGTGAGGCAAGGGCTAGGCTGGGAGAGACTGTGCCAACCTCTTTTGGCCCTGGGTTTGGGGAGTGGATGGCCTCTTCTGCGTGCCCTCACCCCCAATAAAGGAACTGGATAGAGAAGACTTGCCTCTGACTCTCTAACCTCCAGGCCACTCCCCCCAGCTCCTGCCTTGTGGGGTTTTTCTGCTGCTCTTGTTTACAGGGCCTAGGGTGTCTATTCCCCACTTGGTCTAGCTTTGGAACCTAGAGCCTTGCCTTCCCTGGGGGGTCCTGGCATCTGAGCTGGAGCCCCCAGATGGAGCCCCCTCAGTGAAAGGGAGAGGGAGGATCAGATTTATACTCTCCTGCTCCCCAGTGAGAGCAGGGACTGGCCCTCAGAAAAGAAATGGCCTCCCGAGATTGCAGCCCCCGCTGAGTCACCTTCCCAGGACCCAGGTGAGAGGCCGCCTACTTTATCCTCAGGCCTGTGGCGGCCGCCGCTGCCCCACCATCTTCCAGACAGCATAGCAGGAGCCTCCCAATCCAAGGACGGCCAGCAGTGTAGCCACAACCCCAGCCAGTGGGCTCCGGGGCTCTGCTTTCAGCTCCCCAGCTATCTGCATCTGGAGGTACACAGAGGGTCCATCTGAGGGGTCAGTTGAGACTTCCAGGAAGGCAGAGGGTGGGAAGGAACTGAGAAGGTACAGCTGGGTGAAGGAGATATGGATGCTGTTGCTGCCCCAGGGAGATTCCACCCCGATCCCTCTCGCTTCACTGCCCATCTGGGCCCTGGCGGCTCAGGCGGCAGGAAACGTGACAGCCTGGCTGCTGGGGGGTCAGCCCAGCAATGCTGGGGAAAAGTAGGGGGCCGGTGGCAGAAGCCATCGGTGAGAGGTACTTACCTGTAGTACCCGGAAGTAGCCAGGGGTCAGGCGTCGGAATCTCATGGTGGGGCAGTCTCCCTGGAGGCCTGTGGGGTGGGAAGCAGGAATGAGGGCTAGTGGTGTTCATGATACCCAGGAGCGGGAATCAGGGTACAGAGGTTTCTGATCTCTCATATACATGAGAGCCATGCCTCAGAGGATGCTCACCAGCGTCTGCCCTCCCAGGTCTGGCAGGGGGCGGGGCAGCTGGACCTTTAAATCTGGTCCCTTCCCCCGCCGGCCCGTCCTGCCAGCCTTAGGAGCAGCTGTCAAGAGAGATCAGCATCAGGCCTGAGCAGCACCTCCCCCACTCACCAGGGAGGCCAGGCTGGGTAGGCAGGAGAGGCCTTGCCTGGCAGCGCTCGGGAGTCTTAGACCTGGACCAGGTACTAGGAGGGTCTCCCCAGCCCTGGTCCTGGCTCTGTCCCTACCCCTCAGATGGTTGGATATCACCAGTGAGTCCTCAGCAAGGGAGGGGCAGGGTGCCTTGTTAAACCCCCGCCCTCCCCAAACATTGGTAAGCCTTTTCACTTGGTTTCTGTTGGATCAACGGCCCCTACCTTGGGGAAAAGCACATACCACTTTTTTCTCCAAGATGAAGTTCCTGCAGGGACTTTCCTATTCTTGGTTTGGGGACAATAGTACAAGGAGATTAGTATATACTGATTAAGAAAGCTGTCCATGGCATGCTAAGAAACAGTCACCAACTGTGTCAGGCAGCGTTCTAAGCAGTGACTGTATATTATTTCATTTGCTATTGACTGTCTCATAAAATGAAAAATAAAAAAAAAAAGCACATTTTCAGAATAGCATGTGGAGTATCTGCCTACGTAGAGAATGGAAATTTTACAGTGGTTCCCACTTGGGAATGGAATAGAGATATAATGACCTACTGTTAACCTTTGAATGTTTTACAACAAATGTGCAGAAATAACTTTTATTATAAACTCATAAAACTACCTTTAAAATAGAAGCTACCATTTACTCTACCCTTACTTGTCTAGCCCTGCCAGGTGCTGGGGGCACAAAATAAAGGCAAGGTTGTGGATGTGAGGCCCCCAGTCCTTTAGGGGAGCACATGAGTACAAGTGGTGAGTTCCTGTCTGTTTCTCCCCTACAGGATTGCGTGTTCAGGGAGGGCAGGGGCTGACTGGCTCAGGGTAGGTGTTTGATGAAATCAGGATGGTGGAGACGGGTCTGTGTTTATTGGGCTTCCCCAGAGTGCCACAGGGAGGCTGTTGAAGGAAGAGGCAAAAATGTGAAAGGGGGACGCAGCACGGAGGAGTGATGAAGGGACACGTGCCGTGCAGGATGTGAGGAAGCATGAGGCAAAGGAGGAGACCAGAGAGGTGAGGGCCGTGTTGCACATTGGGAGCCTACTGGGTCACCAATGAGGGAGCAAGGCCTGCAGGGACCTGCGGGGACCTTGAAAGAAGCAGCCAACAATCTGCATTCATGTTTAATGCCGCATGTGAAGGTGGGGAGGGGTCAGTAGAGCTGGCCAAGTTCCAGAGAACTGGATTTGTATGTGCAATGATTAAATGATGACAACTGAAACACACACGCTATATTGAGCCATCCATAGGCCAAGTGCGGAATTTGGATTTGAGGGCAAGATCATGACAGGCTTGGAAGGCTGCGTATTGGGGCACTGGTAGGAATTCCAAAGTGACACAGTCAGAGGGCCAGGCCCCTTTCCACAAAATTAAAGCAATAATAACTCAGATCTATCCCATGGGACAGATTTCAAAGTACTTCAAGGAAATCTTCACAGCGCTAAGGTCTAGGTGTCCCTGTTTAGACAGGAAGAAATAGGTTCAGAGAAGTATTGAGGTTAGGCTCAGTCACACAGCAAGTGGAACTGATTCTGTCTGATTCTGAAGTCCTGGGAGTCCCCTGGCCTGGGATGATGATGGTGATGATGCTGACAGCTACAAACAATATGTTTCAGACTTGTTCTAAGAGAAAGGCTCTTAACTGGGATTCAGAATTTAGGGGCCCCGTAAACTTGGATGGGAACAAATTGACCATTTCCTTCTATATGGATCGACATATCAGGAGCATCTGTGGCTTTGCCACGTATTGAAATCACAGATATTTTTATATCACGATAGAGTTATTCAACTATCTCAATATTATATATGCTCATGACTATTTCAAAATCATCATAGTTATTAATCCACTATTAAATCACACTCTTTCAGACACTGCTGCTACGTAGCTGCCATTAATTGGGCACCTCTAGGCCTAGTAGAGGATCAATGACCAAATGGTGTATCTACCTGTTCTCACGCTGGTGACCCAGGCTTCTCCATTACGCTCCTGCATTCCCTATGTTTAGTTGTTAACTGATAAATATGTGCAAAGAGGTGAGTCAAAGACCACCCCACAGTTTAGTGTTCTTCTAGTTGAACAACAACACACTGATATCGTTAGAAAAGGAAAATTTAACTTGACAGTCTTATTTAATGCTAATAAACACATTATATCATAAATTTGTGGGGTTTTTTATTATTAACATATAAGGTAATCTTTGTTTCAGGGGTACAGGTTTGTGATTCATCAGTCTTCCACAATACACTGCTCCCCGTAAAACATACCCTCCCCAATGTCCATCACCCAGTCACCCCATTCCTCCCACCCCCCCTCCACTCCAGCAACCCTCAGTTTGTTTCCTGCGATTAAGAGTCTGTTATGGTTTATCTCCCTCTCTGTTTTCGTCTTGTTTCATTTTTTCCTCTTTCCTATGATCTTCTGCCTTGTTTCTCAAATTCCACATTATCAGTGAGATCATATGATAATTGTCTTTCTCTGATTGTCTCATTTCACTAAGCATAATACACTTTAGTTCCATCTACCTGGTTGCAAATGGCAAGATTTCATTTTTTCATGGCTGCATAATATTCCTGTGTGTGTCTTCTTTATCATCTTCTTTATCCATTTATCTGTCGGACATCTGGGCTCTTCCCATAGTTTGGCTATTGTGGAGATTGTTGCTATAAACATTGGGGTGCAGGTGCCCCTTCAGATTACTACATTTGTATCTTTGGGGTAAATACCCAGCAGTGCAATTGCTGGGTCATAGGGTAAGCTCTATTTCAAACTTTTTGAGGAACCTCCATACTGTTTTCCAGAGTGGCTGCTCCAGCTTGCATTCCCACCAACAGTGTAGAAGGGTTCCCCTTTCTCCGCATCCTCGCCAACATCTGTCGTTTCCTGACTTGTTACTTTTAGCCATTCTGACTGGTGTGAGGTGGTATCTCATTGAAATTTTGATTTGTATTTCCCTGATGCCGAGTGATGTGGAGCACTTCTTCATGTGTCTGTTGGCCATTTGGATGTCTTCTTTACAGAAATGCCTGTTCATGTCTTCTGCCCATTTCTTGATTGACTTATTTGTTCCTTCGGTGTTGAGTTTGATAAGTTCTTTATAGATTTTGGATACTAACCCTTTATCTGATATGTCATTTGCAAATATCTTCTCCCATTCTGTCAGTTGTCTTTTGGTTTTGTTGACTGTTTCCTTTCCTGTGCAAAAGCTTTTTATCTTGATGGAGTCCCAGTAGTTCATTTTTGCCCTTGCTTCCCTTGCCTTTGGTGATGTGTCTAGCAAGAAGTTGCTGCGGCCGAGGTCACAGAGGTTGCTGCTTGTTGTTCTCATCTAGGATTTTGATGGATTCCTGTCTCACATTTAGGTCTTTCATCCATTTTGAGTCTATTTTTGTGTATGGTGTAAGAAAATGGTCCAGTTTCATTCTTCTGCATGTGGCTGTCTAATTTTCTCAACACCATTTGTTGAAGAGACTGTCTTTTTTCCATTGGATATTCTTTCCTGCTTTGTCAAAGATTAGTTGACCATAGAGGTGAGAGCCCATTTCTGGGCTCTCTATTCTGTTCCATTGATCTGTGTGTCTGTTTTTGTGCCAGTACCATACTGTCTTGATGATGACAGCTTTGTAATAGAGCTTGAAGTCCGGAATTGTGATGTCGCCAGCTTTGCTTTTCTTTTTCAACATTCCTCTGGCTATTCGGGGTCTTTTCTGGTTCCATACAAATTTTAGAATTATTTGTTCCATTTCTGTGAAAAAGTTGATGATATTTTGATAGGGATTGCATTGAATGTGTAGATTGCTCTAGGTAGCATAGACATTTTCACAATATTTGTTCTTCTAATCCATGAGCATGGAACATATTTTCCATTTCTTTGTGTTTTCCTCAATTTCTTTCATGAGTATTCTATAGTTTTCTGAGAACAGATCCTTTGCCTCTTTGGTTAGATTTATTGCTAGGTATCTTACAGTTTTTTGGTGTAATTGTAAATGGGATCGACTCCTTAATTTCTCTTTCTTCTGTCTCGTTGTTGGTGTATAGAAATGCAACTGATTTCTGTGCATTGATTCTATATCCTTCCACTTTAGTGAATTCCTGTATGAGTTCTAGCAGTTTTGGGGTGGAGTCTTTTGGGTTTTCCACATAAAGTATCATATCCTCTGCAAAGAGTGAGAGTTTGACTTCTTTGCCGATTTGGATGTCTTTTATTTCTTTTGTTGTCTGATTGCTGAGGCTTGTGGTGTTTTGGGTTTTTTTTAAGATTTTTTTTTTTTTTAAGTAATCTCTACACCCAACAAACGTGGGGCTCCAACTCACAACCCCGAGATCAAGAGTTGCACACTATACTGTGCCAGCCAGGCACCCCAATCATAAATTTGTATGTTGTTATTGTTTTTTTAAAGATTTTATTTATTTGCCAGAGAGAGAGAGGCAGAGCACAAGCAGGGGGAGTAGCAGAGGGAGAAGCAGGCTCCCCGCTGAGCAAGGAGCCTGATGTGGGACTGGATTCTAGGACCCTGGGATCATGACCCAAGCTGAAGGCGGACACTTAACCAACTGAGCCACCCAGGCGGCCCGTAAATTTGTGTTTTAAATATATTTTGGTTATAATTCTCTTCCTTGTAACCTTCAGCATTTTTTTAAAATAATTATTTATTTATTTATTTATTTTTTAAAGATTTTATTTATTTATTTGCGAGAGAGACAATGAGAGACAGAGCATGAGAGGGGGAGGATCAGAGGGAGAAGCAGATCCCCCGCTGAGCAGGGAGCCGATGCGGGACTCGATCCCGGGACTCCAGGATCATGACCTGAGCCGAAGGCAGTCGCTTAACCAACTGAGCCACCCAGGCGCCCTCAGCATTTTTTTTTTTAATGCTTCCAAAAGCACTATTCTGAGAAAGGGTCCATAGCTTTCACCCGACTGCCAGAAGGGTCTGTGTGCCAAAAAAGAGGGGAACTAAAAACCCCTATTCCGAAAAGTTTTAGAGCTATTAACACAGGTACTATGCACAGCAGCCCATTTTGCAGACAAACTGACGTTGGGTGGGTTGGGTGGGTGGGGTCAGGGAGCCAACAAACTGCAGAACGGACATTTGCAGCCAGGGCTCTGACTCCCTCGCCTCTGTGCTTTGCTGCTGCGCTTCCTGCTCACCTTTCTGACCCTTCCTTCCTTCCTTCCCTTCCTTTCCTTCCTCCCTTCCTTTCTTTCCTTCCTTCCTTTTCTTTCTTGGAGCCTAAAGGTCAAAGTGCAGTTTGGGGCGGGATCCCGGCCCGCTCCCAAGCCGCCTGGGTCGCACACCAGTGGCTCCGCCTCGGGTCGGGCCGCCCAGGGGCCCAAGGACGCCTGAAGGGCGGGGCGGGAGGTGGCGGGCCAATGGCGGGGCAGCGCCTCACCTGGCCGTCCAAGCTGGGCCCAGGTATGCCGGTGGCTCCGCCCAGCGCCCAGCCCCGGTCCCTCCCCAGGCGGGACTCCGGGAGCGGAAATTCCTGCGCGGGCGGGACCCGGCGGGAGCGGATCCCAGCGGGCGGTCTCGGCCATGGAGCCGGTAGCGAGCTGGACCCCCGGGAAGGTGGCAGCCTGGCTGAGAGGTGGGCCTGGGCAGAGTCGGGCTTGAGGGGCCCTGCGACCGGGAGAGGGAAAGGAAGAAGGACGAGCCAGTCTGTCAGTTGGGGGGTCAAGTAATTTACAGAGCTTCTGCCGGGTACCTGGTACTGCGCTAGGCAGAAGGATCGCCGGGATGACCCCGGGGGGCCCGAGAACTTGAGGGGGTCTCCCATCGCCCCAGCATCGCCAGGGGCTGCCAGGGTGGCGGCGGGGAGGCCGTGGTTGTGTCAGGAACACAGCGGGGCGGCCCCCGAGCGCCCTCGCCCACTAAGTCTTTGGCTTCCCTCCGCCCCAGGGCTCAGTGGGCTGTTATTAAACCCATTTTTCAGAGGCGGAAACTGACGGACTGAGCCAGGAAGTGATTTGCTTGGGCTCTGGAATAGGGCCGGTCCTCCTGTCTTTTCCCTTCTCCCCACCTTGAGGTTCCCAGAGAGAGAAAAGGAAGGCCCAGTCAGACCGAAGGGGGTGGCACAGCCCCACGGGGCCTCGGGGGAGGACGTGCTGGCCAGTCAGTGAGGCCCGATGGGTGGGAAACGGCCCAGACTGCAGCTGGGAGAGGGGAGGGGAGTCCCGACAGCCTTCCGGGTGGGGGAAGCTCCCAAGGGAGTGAAGGGGAACGGAGGACGCTGCTGGCAGGCCCAGGGCTCAGGGCCACCAGCCCTTGAAAAGCAGAGATTCAGGGCTGGAGTCAGACTCCCAGGCCGAGTTCCAGGCCCTGCCCCTCCACTCACCAGCTCTGCGACCAGAGGTCTCAGTTTCTCTATCCATAAGATGAGAAAGTCAGCAATGACCCCATGAGGTAGACAAAATGAAACAACCCTGGCAGGCGCCTGGCCTGTGTGGCTCAGTGTAGGAGACTGGGGAGGAAGGCAGCACAGCAGGGTCACTGTCCATGGCAAAGGAGCTGCTCGGAGGCTGTAGCCATGGAGTCCAGGGACTCCCAGCCCAGTGTTCTTAATGTCACACGGGGAATGAAGGGGAGCTATTAATGACACTCACATTCCCCAGTGACGGAGCCTGACTTGGAATGGAAGGAATTCCTTCAAAGAGTGAGCAAGCTTCTTGATTTCTGTATCAATTTTCCCACCTATAAAATGGAGATAACAATAGTCATTATCTTCTACATTCAGTGAGCACCAAATGTGTTAATATGTAGAAAGCCCTTAAAATTTTGCCTAGCACACAATAAGCTTTCAATAGATATTATTCCTATTTTTAGTCTGCCTTATCTATCCTGTGCCAGGTATGGGCTAGAGTTCGAGATGAACAGTTATTTATGGCCCAGAGCTTGAGGGGCAGTTGGGAGCAAGAGAGCCCCCGACCTACCCTGGGGAGTTATGGAAGGCTTCCTGAGGGGAGTTAGATTAAAAGGGGGGGCAGTGAAGGAGCTAGAACAATCCAGGCAGAAGAAATAGCACATACAAAGACCCTGAGACAAAAGAGCATTCCAGGAGCTACAGGGAGTTAGTGCTCTGGATCTAAAGTATTGAGTTTGAGGGGCTGTGCCAGGGGATGAGACTGGAGAGGCAGGTGGTGGCCTGATCTTACAGGGCCTTGTAGATCAGGGTAAAGAGTCTGGCGGCTGTTACTGTCTACCATGAACCAGGGAATGGGCCAAGCGCTTGACATGCATCCTGTCATTTAATACCCACATGAGCAGAAAGTAGGTGCTTTTATTATTGCCATTTCACAGGTGAGGAAACTGAGGCACAGAGCAATTAAGTTACTTGCTCAGTAGTCTCATCTGTGAAATGGGCAGAACATAGCCTGGGTCCCAGGATTGTGGTTAGGAACAGATGGGAGGGAAAAGGGTTTTGTGGGCGTGAAGAAGTGGCCTGAAAGACCACGCCACCCCTGTTCTCCCTCCAGGCCTCGATGACTCCCTGCAGGACTATTGCTTTGAGGACTGGGAGCTGTCTGGCAAGTACCTGCTCCAGCTCTGTCCCCGAAGCCTTGAGGCTCTGACCGTGTGGCCTCTGGGCCACCAGGAGCTCATCCTGGAAGGGATAGAACAGCTCCGGGCCCTGGTGAGTGAATGGTGGCCACACTGGCTGCAGCTGCCACCCCCTGGGCGTTGCGGAGGGGGGGCTGGCCACTGCCAGGGAATAACCTGCCTTTTTTCTGGCACAGAGCTCTGGGCTACAGACAGAGAACCTTCAGAGCCTGACCGAGGGGTTGCTCGAGGGGACCTATGCTTTCCAGAACTTAGTCCAAGGCCACCTGGAAGGCTGTGCCGAGCCCCCTGCTGATGTCCTCAGTGCCGCTGTGGAGCTGGCCCATGAGGCCCGGACCCTCCTCTTCTGGCTCAATAGGTACCTTGGCTCCTCCTAAGACCCCAACTGGTGAGGGGACCCTTCTCATCCTTGGCCTCCTTCGGGGCCTGGGAGAGAAGAACAGAGCTCGGCTTTCGTTCAGATGTTGTGGAGCCGGGCAAAGAGATTATTTGGTCTGTGCAGGGGCACTGGGGTGCCTGGGTCCCCACCCACCCCCAGCTTGTAATCATAACCGTCCTAACACTGCACAGAGGGCTTCTCCACTCCCTTCAACCGCTGCTGCTTGTCCCCCAGGTCCCAGCTCAAATGCCACCTCCTCTGGGAAGCCTTCCCTGTTGCAGGTTCTCAGAGCTCCCTACGTTTCACAGCAGCTGAGTTCTCTCATTACTGACGTAATCGTGTGTGTAAGGTCTGTCTCCCCCAGTGCCTAGAGCGGGGCCTGGCATGTCTTAGGCGCTTGACAGATAAGTCCTGTGCTAAGCTCTGTCGATGTATCAGTCATCTCCTTTACCCCAAGCGAAACCCGTCAGAGCAGATATTCTCTCCCCCCATGTGGCAGATGAGTAGTTGGCTCTGAATGGTTCTGTGACCTGACTGGTCATCACAGCCCCCTAACCACTACCCCTACCATCCTTCCCCCTGCCAGGTATCTCTTCTCCCACTTAAATGACTTCTCAGCCTGCCAGAAGATTGGGCAGTTGTGCGGGGAGCTGGGCCAGGCCTTGCAGGAGGTAGGAGAACCAAGGGCCAGGCTTGGCCCAGGCCGTAGAGACCAAGTCAGGCTAGAGCTTTTTATAACCTGTGAATCAGCACAGGATCGGTGTGGGGGTTGGGAAGAGGCAGGGGCAGGAAGAAAGGAGGCCTGGCCACGGGGTAGGGGCGATGGGGGTGTCGGGTCTTCTAGCTGGCAGGGGCGTCTCAGGAAGTTGGACTCTGGGGGAAGGGTAGAGCGGGGGAGGGCATGTATGGTGATTTCTGGGGCTTGGCATCAGGAGGACAAGACCTTGGAGCCAAAGCTCTGAGGCCCTGTTGTTGGCCCTCTACTTCTAGGACAGTCCTGTGGCTGAGAAGGAGAGCAGAGTGCTGGGGATTGTGAGTGTGGGTTTGGTTGAGTGGGGAGTTGGGGTGGCGGGGGGGTGGTGTTGGGGCTCAGGCTCAGCTTCCTGCGCCCCTCCCCCAGTGCAGCCACGTGGCCGGGATCTGCCACCACATCCTGAGCTGCAGCCCCCAGGAGCTGCTGGAGCAGAGGGCTGTGCTGGAGCGCGTGCAGCTGGACCATCCTTTGGTGAGCTCTGACCTCTTGGCAGCCTTGTCTGGGCCCTGAAATGTGGTTCTAGGATCCCACAGAATCCTGTGCTGTTATGGCTGGAGGGCCTCTTCTGTGCAGCTGTTAAAGGCCCAGAGGACTTTCCTGGGGTCTTACGTCCTGAAGCACCTTCTCCAGTCCTGAGGGGCTTGGTGTGGTCTCAGGTGACACATTCCAGCCCTGGGACACAGACGTGGCAGGTTAGGGGACTGGGGAAAGGACGCGGACTTTCTTGCTTTAATCTTTGACTAGTTGAGAGTACCAGAGCCCCCAGCCCTGCCCCTGTCCTCCCCCAGTCCCGCTGATCCCTTTAGGAGGGCTGCTGAGAATCTCCGACCTCATTAGTCAGCAAGCCCAGCCTCCCTCCGGCCCTTACTGGAGGAGGAGGCAGGGACCCTGAGAGGAGCGGCAGGCCCAAAGTCACACAGCAAGTCGGCCAGTGCTGACCTGGGCCAGCTCTCCCCTCAGTTCCGCCCGCCGAGGACTCTCAGTGACCGCAGCCTCTGCTTCGGCAGGGCCTGGAAGTCCACACCACCAGTAACTGCCTGCACTTCGTGTCCTGTGTGGGCACCCAGGTGGGAATCCCACGCCCTTCTCAGCTGCCCGCCCCGAGGCCCTACCCTCCAGCTGAGCCCGCTTCAGGCCCCTGGAGAGCGAACCCTACGAGCACCCCCCTCCCCAATACCAGGTCCCTGCCGACTCCCGGCTGCAGATCCTGCCTGGAGACGAGATTGTCCAGGTCAATGAGCAGGTGGTGGTGAGTGGGGAGGAGAGGGACACAGGGTGGGGGAGAGGGGAGGTGAAGGGGCCACTGAGTAAAACCCAGGGCTGGTGGGTGGGGAGGGGCCCTTGGGGAGAGCCTTGTGGAGACCAGGCTTGTGGGAGCTGCTGTCTGTGAGATGAACCAGGTCTTACAGGTCAGTGGCCTTGGCAGAGCCAAGGTGAAGGGGCTGGTGGAGGCCTCCTGGAGGAGGAGTGGCAGGAGGCTGAGGGCGAGGGTGAGGGCTGTTGGCTTACCCCGGAGCCTCCTGGGCAGCTGCATCAGCCCAGGGTCCCTGCCCTGCCCCCTGCCCCCTGTCCCATCCAGGTGGGCTGGCCCCATAAGAACGTGGTGAGGGAGCTGCTGCGGGAGCCAGCCGGGGTCAGCTTAGTGCTGAAGAAGGTCCCCGTGCCAAAGACCCCTCCACAGGTACCTGCCCCCCAGCCCTGCCCCCAGCCCGCTTTCAGACCCCTGTCATCAGCTCTATCACCATTTCTGGTTGTTCCCCAGACCCCTCCTCCAGTCCCGGGCTCCCCACAGCTGACGAGCCCCTCGCTGGCTTTCACCGCACTGTCTCCCAGGTAATAGGCTCTGCCGCAGGTGGGTCTGGGCGGGGGTGCCACGGGCTCAGTCATCTCCATCTCCCCTTGCTCTCCCCAGGGCCTCATCCAAAGACGTCTTTGCCTTTGACCTGACTTCAAACCCAAGGTCTGCACCCAGCCCTACCTGGACAGGTAGTTTCAAAGTCTCACCAGGTGGCAGATGCCCTGGGCAAGGCATGTGGGATGCCTGGCTCTGACCCCCCGACTCTGACATCCTCACCTTTCTGCCTGGCCTGGGGCTGGGCTCATGGACCCTCCTCCTGACAGACTCCACCTCGCTTGACCTTGAGTCCCGGCCCATTCTCCCTGCGCCCCCAGCCACACTGCCCACAGGGGTAGCGGAGGCTCAGGAAGCCCCAGAACAGCCTGACAAGGTAAGGTGAGGGCTCAGCAAGGAGGGCTGTGTGGCTCTGGACCCAGACCCTTCTCTAACCGCTTATGGCCTTTTCAGAGTCCTGTTTCTGGTCGGAATAAATCAAAAGGTAAGAGATGCACTTGACTGGCTGGGGGTCCCTGATATGAGCTCTTCGAAGTCTTTTTTTTTCTTAAGATTTTATTTATCTATTTGAGAGAGAGAGAGTGAGAGAGAGCATGAGAGGGGAGAGGGTCAGAAGGAGAAGCAGATTCCCCGCCGAGCAGGGAGCCCGATGCGGGACTTGATCCCGGGACTCCAGGATCACGACCTGAGCCGAAGGCATCGCCCAACCAACTGAGCCACCCAGGCGCCCTTTTCGAAGTCTTTACAGTGTTTGGCAAGACCACCGCTCCCATCTCACGCACAGCCTGTGCTTCCAGCCTGGGCCTCTCACCAGCTCTGTGACTCTGGGCTCCTCTGATCTTCCATTTCCTCGTCTCGGAAGCGGAAGAGCAGCGCTGCCTCAGGGAGACGCCTGTAACATTTCAAGCACAGAGAACGGGTTCAGAAAGATCAGCTGGGAATACTGGCGGCCGGGTGGGGCCGGGAGCAGGTTTGGGGGTCCAGGACGCCTCGCCAGCCCCTAACCCCCCTGGGCCGTGCTGTGCTCCCGCAGGCGTGGCGACACGGCTGAGTCGCCGGCGGGTGTCGTGCCGGGAGCTGGGCCAGCCGGACTGCGACGGCTGGCTCCTGCTGCGCAAGGCGCCCGGTGGCTTCATGGGCCCGCGCTGGCGCCGCTGCTGGTTTGTGCTCAAGAGACACACGCTCTTCTGGTACTGCCAGCCCCGGGTGAGCCCCCCGCCACACGCACGGGTCCGCAGGGGGGTCAGAGCCCCGGTGTTTGTCCTTATTCTGCCAGCACCCCCATCTGTGGTCACAGCTCCCCCCCCCACCCAGCCCTATCTGGAAAACGAGATCAGTCTTTGGAGAGAAACGAACGGAGATGTGCGTGGAAGCAGGCTGAGAAAGGCGTCCCGGGCAGCGGGGAGAGCCACGTCTGCTCTGCCCACCTCCCCTTCCTCTTCTGTGACTCTGTCTATCCTGCTTATTCGTTCAGTGAGCATTCAGGTGCCTGCTGTGTCCCCAGCTCTGGGCTGCGTACTAGGGACATAGGGCAGACTGGGACAGTCCTGCTACTCTGGGCTGGTAGCGGGGAGGATGCGTGCGCACTCAGGGACAGCTTGGGGAACGCACGCTATGATGAAGGAAAAGCCCAGGGATGGGCAGGAGCCCAGCGGACGTGGACAGTCCAGCCTGAAGAGTCGAGAAGGCCCCCTGAGAAATCAGTGCCTGGGGGCTAGTCAGATGGAAAGGAGAAAAAAACCAGGAAGGGAGAAGAGCCTTTGCAAAGCTCAGGGGTATGGAGCAGCTTCCTGTGTCTCTAAAACAGAACAAATGCATAAGCAGTCTTCTCTTTTGTGGTTGTTTTCCTGGATGGCTTTGGCTCCCCTTTCCTGGCTCAAGAGGCTCCCCTTGGTCACACCCTCTGCCCCCACCCCAGATTCCTGCCCTGAGCTCTAGGCACTGGGAGATTTAGGGGGAGGGGTTGTTATTGTTTTTTAAGATTTTGTTTATTTGAGAGAGAATGAGAGAGAGAGAGAGAGCGTGAGAGGGGGGAGGGTCAGAAGGAGACTCAGACTCCCTGCTGAGCAGGGAGCCCAATGCGAGACTCGATCCAGGGACTCCAGGATCATGACCTGAGCCGAAGGCAGTCGCTTCACCTACTGAGCCCCCCCAGGTGCCCGGCACTGGGAGATTTGTGGTTGGAGAGCCCAGGAGCCACTTTCTCCCCTCTCTGCCCCCAGGGGCCTGACTGGGCCTCGAGGGTAATGGGGCTGCAAGCTGACCCTCACACTGTGATTCCCCCCAGGATGAGAAGGCTGAGGGCCTCATCAATGTTTCCAACTACAGTCTGGAAAGTGGACAGGATCAGAAGAAAAAATAGTTAAGTCCTGGAGCGTGACACACCAGGGAGTGGGGCGAGAAAGGGAGAGAGAAGAAGTCGGGGGTGGGGGGCAGCAGGTAGCTGGATTCCCAGGGCAGCCTCACGGGCTCTGGATGGGCACAGCCAGGCTGAGTGAGGTGCCCCTGCTCCCTGGCAGTGTGTTCCAGCTCACCCATGACGTGTACAAACCCTTCATTTTCGCTGCTGATACCCTGGAGGATCTGAGCATGTGAGTGCCACCCCCTCTGACCCCCCAGCTCCCACGTGAGTGCTTGCGAGCCTGGCTCAGGAACCTGGATTCTGATCTCAGCTCTCTGATAGTGGCTGGTCAAGGCACTCACTTCTCCAAGCCTCTGTTTCATCATCTATAAAATGGGTTAATAAGAGTTCCTACCTCTCAGAGGTGCTCTGAGGATTAAGTTAGAAGATGATACAGGTGAAAATCCCCTGGCATACAGTAGGTGAAAACTGCAAGACCCATTTGCCCCTCCACAGGTGGGTGCGCCATCTCATTACCTGCATTTCCAAGTACCAGTCTCCAGGGCGGGCCTCCCTGCCCCGAGAGGAAGGTGGGTGTCTCACAGGGGTGTTCCCACCAGGTCTCAGCTAAGCCTCTGTCTTTCTGGGAATGGGGGCTGGGAGCTCCAGTGCCCTATCCTGCTCCCGGGCCTCCCAAAACCCTGTGAGGCTTAGTGGGCTCCCCATCTGCTCCTTCCCCCCCGCAGACTGCTACAGTGAGACAGAAGCAGAAGACCCTGACGATGAGGCTGGGTCCCGCTCAGCCTCGGTGAGTAGGAGACTGGTGGGGAGCGGATAACAGGCTACAGGGCTCAGAATGATACACACCTCTCCTTCCACCCTGCCCACAGCCCAGCCCAGCCCAAGTTTGGAGTCCACTCCATGGAGACACGTCACCCGCAGCCACCCCCACGCAGGGCAGCCCACGGACTTCCTTTGGCCCACCAACAGGTGTTCTTCTGGGGTTCAGAGCTGAGATGGAGGGTGGGGAGACCTGGGATGGGCACATCCTCATCTGCTTCCCCCTCCCACAGACAACAGTGAAGGGGCGCTGGAAGGAATGGTGCAGGGACTGAGGCAGGGTGGTGTGTCCCTCCTGGGCCAGCCGCAGCCCCTCACTCATGAACAGTGGCGGAGCTCTTTCATGCGGCGCAACCGAGACCCCCAGCTCAACGAGCGAGCGCACCGCGTGCGTGTGTTACAGAGCACGCTCAAGGTCAGCGGGAGGGCACCGGGCGCGGTGAAGGACGGGGCTCTGGGCTTTCGCTTCTGGTTCCTGGCCCTGAGCTCTGGGCTTAGCTGTGGACTGGACCAAGTTCTAGGTTCTCAGAGCCAGCCTCCCAATGTGAGGATCAGGGCTAGACCCGGCCAGGTGCTGGGTTCTAAGCCCTGGACTCCAGAGTGAGCTCTGCACTTGGGCTCTGCCCCTCTACCTGGGTGATCATGGCGCCTTGGCCACCACTCTCTTCACAGGCAAAGCTGCAGGAGCTGCAGGCCTTGGAGGAAGTGCTAGGTGACCCCGAGCTGACAGGAGAGAAGTTCCGACAGTGGAAGGAACGGAACCAAGAGCTCTACTCAGAAGGCCTGGGAGACTGGGGAGTGGTGCAGGCTGAGGGCCACTCCCAAGTCCTGAGCTCTGACCCCAGAGAACAATCTTCCCACCCCCTGCCCTCTGACCCTGAGGAGCAGTCCTGTCTCTGCCCCCTGACCCCAGAGAGCAACCTCCGACCTCCTGACCTCTGACCCTGGTCAGTACCCTGGTCAGTACCCTGGCTCCTGACCACCTCAGCCCCCAAGCCTCTGACATGTCTAGGACAGAGCATCCCCGGGTTCTCTTCAAGGCTGGAAGTAGTGCTAGTCCATGTGTCACCCCAGATGCCCCCCTTTGCCTACGCATCCACCATTTCTGCTCCTCCCTCCCCTAGAGTGGGATAAAGTGAAGTGAGCTCTGTGCCATCCTCTCTCGCCAATGAAGGAATGGCAAGCTGGGCTGAAAGAAATTCCCTTCCACCTCATCCTCCCACCTGTGGGGGCACAAACCTGTCCCCCCTCCATCTCTGGCCCTTCTCCCTTCCCCAAACCAGTCTTGTATAGGTGTTCCTTTTACACAAACACTTTCAGCAAAATAAAATCAGTTTATCTAAAATGAATCTACATATGCCTCTGACTTCTGTATTAGAACCAGAAATCTGCTCCTGGAGGGGACAAGGATGGAAAGTATAAGGAGGACATGAATGTAACTAGTCTTGGTAACTAGTTAGTCTTGGTAACTAGTGGTTGGCAACTAACTTGGTAACTAGATAGTCTTGGTAACTTGTCCACCAAGTGTGCAGACCAGTGGCCCGGGCCCTATAGCTGAAGTCTATGCCTGTCGGGATGCTGGGTTGCTGATCCATGGCTAGTGAGCGCTTCCAAGTATGCCCATCTCTTCCCAGCCCTTCGGAGACCAGGGGGTGCTCTCCTGCCCCCTCCCCAGGGGGGCACAAAGAGAAACAGAGACCGGCCTTTCACTCCAGATGGAGAAGCACACCTCGCATGGAAGGACAGGCTGGGCAGCTCTGGGGACTGGGGTCGTGGACGGTGTAGCTGGTGGGGTGGGGTACAGGCTGAGGCTGGCTGGGAGGAGGGCCTCCGGGCCAAGCACCTCTCTTCTCCCAGTCTCACCTCCAGCTCCGGGACCCAGAGTAGGGACATGTCCCTGTGTCTCCATCCAGGCTGCACAAGAGACCTGACCTGCTCCCATCGGCCTCTGACCTCTAACCCCAGGCCAGCCCCTGAGCGTCCCTGGCTTCCTCCGTGGGGTACCGAGGGGAGTCAGTGGTATCAGAATTCCCTGGTGGAATGCAGACAGCTGGAGGTCACAGAGTCCTCTATGATATCACCACGAGGGGGAGCAAGACCACTCGGAATGAAGTTTCTTTGACGGGTGGGAGGAGACTGAGAGCTATGCCAGGTAATCAAAACAGTGGACCAACACCAGTATTAAACCTTTGAATGTCATGGTAGGTGGCCCCCGCCTCGGTGCACCCAAGCTGGGCATGCCAGGGAGGGGCGGGGCGCAGGGGCCTGTGGCTGCACTGACGGGACCCCTGCTCACCATCGCAGAGGGCTGTTCACGAGCCCTACTCCTGGTCGGAGGAGCAAGTGCTCATCAACCGCCGAGACATCATGAGCACCAAGGTAAGGAGGGGGCTGGGGCGGCAGCCTGCAGTGACCCCCCACCCCACAGTCACCCTTCTGCAGCTGCTCCTGTGGGCCAGGGGCCACCATAATAACTCTGCCCCTTCTAGTTCCCGAATGTCCCCTCTGAGGACCCTCCCCAGCAGTGACCCCTGTGATGACCTCTCATGGCATGTTAGTACCCACCTGGCAGTGCTCCCCACGGGAACCCCTATATAATGACAGTTGCTCGCCAGCAGAGCCCCTAAGGGTCTCCCTTGCAATGACTCTTGCAAAGATTCCCCAGCAGTCACCCCCTTTCAGTGGCCATTTAGGTAGTGACCCCTACATCGATGCCCCCATTTCAAGACCCCTCTCAAGCAACTTCTCCCCCTAGAGTGGCCCTCCCCTAGGGGCCCCCATTCACTGAGAACCGACATCCAGGCAGAGGCCTCCCACGGTGACACCTGCCTGAAGGAAGGTCCCCCGCCCTCTCCCAGGATGCCTGGGACATCCAGGAGTTCATCACTCGCATGTATGTCAAGCAGCTGCTTCGACACCCGGCCTTCCGGCTGCTTCTGGCCTTGCTGCTGGTGGTCAACGCCATCACCATTGCTCTGCGCACCAACTCCTTCCTTGGCCAGGTGGGACTCCAGCCCGACCTCTGCCCCCGCTGATCTAACAGGCGCCTGGACAAGGCACTTTTCTCTCTGGGCCTCAGGCTCCTCATTTGCTCATGACGATTGCATTGAATGTTCTTCAGGTGCCTGTCAGCTCTCACCTTCAAGGAAACTAGAGATCAAGGAAGACTTCATGGTGGAGGGGGCCTAGATTTGAGGAAGGCATTGGATTTGTAGAGAGAGAGGGCAGGAGAAAAATGATGTGAGCGGAGGCAGACAAATGGGTGCCTGGTGGGGGAGGGTATCCCATTTTAATCAGTAGTCACTATGAGAAGATCGCTCACTGCCAGGGTCCTAGGTATGATCACAGCAGACACAAGCATGTCCTTACGGATGCCTGAGGGTCACGGAGTGCGTGGGAGCTCAAAGTGGGCATCAAACCTACCTAATCTGTACGGTCAGGGAAGGCTTCTGGGGAAAAGAATGCTTCAGGTGGGAATAAAGAGTAAGTGGGAGTCAGCCAGGCAGAGAGAGGTGGGAAAGAGTGTTTGGGGGTGGAAGAAACAGCTTGTGAGCAAGTTCTGTATGTCCATCCTGAAGTCCAGTATGATTTTGTTCTTATTCTTGATGTTTTAATTTCCTATAAGGAGTGTACTTCATACATGAACTGTGCTATTTGAAATTGGTATTTTAAAAATGTCCAGTGCAGTGGCTGATGATTTCAGAGAGGTGGTCAGCAGCTAGCTGGTGGAGGGTCTTTAAGTTATCTTAAGGAGGATGGCCTCTATCCTATGTCATTGGAAAGCCAGGGAATGGTTTAAAGCATGGAAGTAACATGACCAGTTATGTGTTTTAGAAAACTTACACTCGCTCCCACAGGGTGGACCACAGAAGGGAGGGTGTTGGGAATGGGAAAAAATGGACCAGGCAGACTGTTGTGATGTTTAGTGAAAGATGATGGGGCTTGGACTTGGGCAAGGGCCATGGGTAAAAGAGGTCCCATGCATCTAAAGCTCTCTAGGAGTCAAATCCATGGGCCTTCCTGACTGCTTTTCTTTTTCTTTTCTTTCTTTTCTTTCTTTCTTTCTTTCTTTCTTTCTTTCTTTCTTTCTTTCTTTCTCTTCCTTCCTTTCTTTCTTTCTTCTTTCTTTCATCTTTCTTTTCTTTCTTTCTCTTTCTTTCTTTTTTAAGATTTATTTATTTGAGAGAGAGACAGAGCGAGCAGGGGGAGGGGGCAGAAGGAGAGAGACTCTCCACTGAGCAGGAAGCCTGATGTGGGGCTTGATCCCAGGACCCAGAGATCATGACCTGAGCCGAAATAAGAGTCAGATGCTTAACCGACTGAGCCACCCAGGCGCCCCCTGATTGCTTTTCTTGACAACAGATAGTGAACACTTAATATGTGCTACCCTGTTTAACATACCTCATCCTCTCACACATGTAGTGAAAGGGAGAGCAAGGAGTTACATTTCTGGCTTGAGCAACTGTGTGGGGACAGTGCTGTTTGTTGGGATGTGGGGGACACAGGACAGTGAGCAGGTTTGGGGAGGACGCTGAGGTCGGTTTGGGTTGAGTAGTGTAGTAGTTGGAGGTGCCGGGGCAATATCCACACAGAAATGTCTAGGGAGAGGTTAGAGGTCAACTCTGAAACCCTGCCGGGAGGTCGGGGGCAGAGATGGCAACATGAGGGTTGATAGCATCTGGGTGGATGGTTGCCAGAAGCTAAAGGAGGAGATGAGGCCACCTGGGGAGAGAGTGTCCCGTGAGAAGGGAAGAACACCAGGACAGAGCTCTGAGGAGAGCCTCCCAGTGAAGGACAGAGAATGGGGGTGGTGGCAAGAAAGGAGACTGAGGAGGGGTGGCCAGAGGAGTGGGAGGGTGTGGGAGAATGTGCTGGGGTGCTGTCAGGGAGGAGGTAGGGCCAGAAGAGGCAAGAGAGGAGGCCAGAGAAGGATCGCAGAGCATCCCTTGGGTTTAGTTCCTGTGGCCTTGACAAGAGTGGCCTCTGGTGTGGTGGAGGCAGAAACCCAAGAGCCAAGATGGCAGAATGAGTGGACTCCAGGGCAGCTGCCACCCCTCACAGATCGTGAGATCGGTTCAGACTGCAGATATCAGCACTCTGAGATAGAATGAAGTAGAATGAAAAAGAATGAAATAGAAGTTGTATGTGTGCATGTGAGAGAGAGAGAGGGAGGGCGGGGGCAGGAGGGAGACAGAGTACTCTGCTGTGAAATATAAAATACATCAATCTTACTGTGGGTCCCAGTCAAAAATGCTAAAAGCCCTGGTAGAGGATATGTGGCCATGAAGGTCAAATCCTAGAGGCCTGGGAATGCCAGACAGGTTTTGACCTGATTCAGACCCTGCAGGCCATTGGGAGCCATGGCAGGCTTGAGGGTAGAGGAAGCAACTCTGATTTAGCTATAGATGCTCATGACTTGGAGAAGGCAGGAGGACTAGTTAGGAAGCTCTCGCAGTAAATAGTAAGGAAAATTATTGCCTCCCAGGGCCAGTGGGATGAAGCTGAGGAGACAGACGATGGGAAAGAAAGTCCTTCCTTGTTGTAGACAGACATCCCTGGCCTGTGATGCCCCTTGGGAATTTGGAACAAGTAGGGAGCCCATAACCTTAACCTCCCATTGGGGTTTAAGAAGCTCTGCTCAGCCTCTCATTGGCCAGTGGATACGGGTGATGGCAAGGTGTGGGGACCAGGAGGACTCTGTGTGTGGCAATGAGCCTTGAGGCACTGAGTCTGTTGGCCATGGAAGTGAAGGAAGGGAGGAGTCCTTACAAGACTTTGGCAACTGTCAGGGTGGAATAGGGGGCTCTAGGAGCTGTAAATGGGGTCACAAACTATAGTAGGGTCACAGCTTCATGAGCGATTAGGGGAAAGTGAGTTGGATTTTGAAAAGAATTCACGGTCATCAAGTCATCCATCCATCCATCCATCCATCCATCCATCCATCCATCCATCAGCCTACCCAGGGAGCTGGACCCATGATCATGAGGGATACGCAGGAGTTTGGCCAGGCCTTACCTGGGGGATTTGGGAGCTGGAGCAGCAGGAGTGGTTGGGACAACCAGAGAAGGAAGGATGGGGCTTGGCGTCCACCAGTTAAGGGGCCAGGCCCTTTCTTCCCAATCCTGGAGCCTGTTCTGCCTCTCCCCAAGCCCTCTCTTTCACATATCCCTGCTCTAGAGGTTAGGAGCAAAGGTTTATAGCCAGACAACAGTTTTTATTGCTAACTGTCTGGCCTTGGGCACCTCTCTGATCCCTCCTCTCTGAGATGGGAATAAAATCTACTTTGTAGAACGATGGGGATGCTACCATGAATGGCAGGTGTACATGGAAAATGTGCTCTAAAGGAGCTTCAAAGATGCTGAGGATGAAGAGCAACAGGAATATGAGCCTTCCTTCCCCTACAGACACCCCCTGTCCCTGGCCCCACCCGGGCTCTGCTCCACTGACCCCTCGGCCCCTCTCTTTTTCTCTGTCTTCCATGTAGAAACACTATGAGTTGTTCTCTACCATAGATGACATTGTGCTGACCATCCTTATCTGTGAGGTTCTCCTTGGCTGGTTAAATGGCTTCTGGATTTTCTGGAAGGTGAGATCCTGGGCCCTCCCTGCTATTGCCCCAACTCCTCCTTAGGGACTGCACCCCACCCCTGTGCTTCTGGTCCAACAAGCTGAGAATGTGTGTGTGTGTGTGTGTGTGTGTGTGTGTGTGTGTGTGTGTGTGTGTGTGGTGTGGAGAGACTACTTCTGAGATGTCTGTGATGCAGCAGAAAATAATTTGTCCTAGAAGTGCAGCCTCCCTGGGTTCCAGTCCCTGGGTTAGCCTTCCCCAGTTCTGTGATCTTGGGAAAACCTTAATTTCCTTACCTGAGAAATGGGTTTGAGAGTCTCCACCTTAATTTACAGGGTTCAAGAGCAGAGGTCAGCAAACTTTCTGTAAAGGCCCATGGGCCATACAGTGTCTGTTACAAACGCTCACCTCTGCCGTGGAGCACAGAGCACTGTAGACAGTCCAGACAAACAGCACAGCCATGCTCCCAGGAAGCTTTATTCACAGACACCGAAATTTGAACGTCATATAATTGTCACATGTCACAAAATGTTGTTCTTTTGATTTTGCCCCCTAACCATTTAAAAATATAAAAACCATTCATAGCTTGAGGGTCTTACAAAAAAAGGGGCTGCTGGCCAGATTTGACCCACAGCCTATAGCTTGCTGACCCCTGTTCAGGAAAGTGTCAGAGAGGCTATCTGGGTGGGAACAGGTCTTTATTTTTTTTTTTAATAAGATTTTGTTTATTTATTTGACAGAGACAGCGAGAGAGGGAACACAAGCAGGGGGAGTGGGAGAGGGAGAAGCAGGCTTCCCGCGGAGCAGGGAGCCCGATGTGGGGCTCGATCCCAGGACCCTGGGACCATGACCTGAGCCGAAGGCAGATGCTCAACGACTGAGCCACCCACATGCCCCGGGAACAGGTCTTTTTTTTTTTTTTTAAAGATTTTATTTATTTATTTATTTATTTGACAGAGAGAGAGACAGCGAGAGAGGGAACACAAGCAGGGGGAGTGGGAGAGGGAGAAGCAGGCCTCCCACTGAGCAGGGAGCCCGATGTGGGGCTCGATCCCAGGACCCTGAGATCATGACCTGAGCCGAAGGCAGACGCTTAACGGCTAAGCCACCCAGGCACCCCCCGGGAACAGGTCTTAATGCTACATTAAATGAGGCGAAGACTCAAGTTTTGTTTCCATAAGACTGCTACAGCCAAATGATTTCTGAAGTCAAGGGATTTATTTTGCCTTTGGGCAAGTTTGAGAAGAGGCTTTAAAAAACCTATCAGGGGCCTCAATCAGTAGAGCATGCAACTCTTGATCTCAGGGTTGTGAGTTCTAAGCCCTATGTTGGGTATAGAGATTACTTAAAAATAAAATCTTTAGGGGCACCTGGGTGGCTCAGTCGATTGAGTGTCTTGATTTGAGCCAAAATCCTCTTGGTTTCGGCTCAGGTCATGATCTCAGGGTCCTGAGATCGAGCCCCACGTCAGCTCCGTGCTCAGCAGGGAGTTTGCTTGGCGATTCTCTCCCTCTGCTCCTTCCCCCATGCACTCTCTCTCTCAATTAAATAAATCTTTTAAAAAAATTAAAAATAATAAAAATAAAATATTTTTAAAAACTATCAAGTATTTATACTTTCATAAAAATGAAGTATCATTTATTTATTTTTTAAAAGATTTTATTTATTTATTTATTTATTTGAGAGAGACACCAGAGCAAGAGACAGCACGAGTTGGGGGGAGAGGGGAAAGGGAGAAGGAGAAGCAGGCTCCCTGCTGAGCAGGGAGCCCAATGTGGGGCTCTATCCCAGGACCCTGGGATCATGACCTGAGTGGAAGGCAGACACTTAACCAACTGAGCCAGCAAGGCACCCTGGAAGTATCATTTAAATACCATTACCAGGGGGTGCCTGGGTGGCTTAATCAGTTAAGAAAGTGACTTTGGCTCAGGTCATAGTCTCAGGGTCCTGGGATCAGCCCCACATCGGGCTCTCCACTCAGTGGGGAGTCTGCTTGTCCTTCTGTCCCTCCCCCTGCTCCTGCTCTCTCCCTCTCTTTCAAGTAAATGAATAAAATCTTTTTTTTTTTTTAAGATTTTATTTATTTATTTGACAGAGGCAGAGACAGCGAGAGCAGGAACACAAGCAGGGAGAGTGGGAGAGGGAGAAGCAGGCTTCCTGCTGAGCCGGGAGCCCGATGTGGGACTCGATTCCAGGACCCTGGGATCATGACCTGAGCCGAAGGCAGTTGCTTAACCAACTGAGCCACCCAGACGCCCTAAATGAATAAAATCTTAAAAATAAATAAATAAATAGGGGCGCCTGGGTGGCTCAGTCGTTAAGCATCTGCCTTCGGCTCAGGTCATGATCCCGGGGTCCTGGGATCGAGCCCCACATCAGGCTGCCTGCTCTGCAGGAAGCCTGCTTCTCCCTCTCCCACTCCTCCTGCTTGTGTTCCCCCTCTCGCTGTCTCTCTCTATCAAATAAATAAATAAATAAAATCTTTTAAATAAATAAATACCATTACCAGGAAAACCAATTAGAATTATAAGCTTTCCAGGGGTCAGAGGTTCCACTCCACAGAACACAGAGTGTAGAACCCAGAACATTTCTGAAGTCTGGATGTCTCAAAGACTGCCTTGTGCAAACAACATTTGCAAGGATGTTTATTAAGAGAAAATAGAATGGGCTGGTACATATTTACATGTTTCCACACTCAAGAGGAGAGTAGGTACCATGCTTTTTGTGAACGTTTCAATGCACCACTTTATCAGAACTAGCCCTAGGAAGCAGGCAGAAATCTGTTCCATAAGAAAAAACATTTCCTCCTTCATACCTTCTTGCAATTTCTTTTCAACGGCAGTTAGCATTTTCTTAACAATGATTTTTTATTTTTTTTATTCTTATTTTTTTAAGTAAGCTCTACGCCCAGTGTGGGGCTTGAACTCATGACCCTGAGATCAAGAGTCCCATGGTCTACTGAGCCAGCCAGGTGCCCCAGGGGGCCTGCCCCAGGGTTTCATTAGCACAAGAGAATTGAAGCAAGCCTGAGAATCTTATGCACTAGCCAAGGTGGGTGCTCAGCTTAGGAATCAGCTGTGTGTATGTGAGAGTCTCCACTGTGTGTCTCAGACTGCACTTGGCTGTTGACACACATATGAGACAGCGAGTAAGCCTGGGTGTTTTGTGGCATATTTGAGGGGCAGCAGGAGAAGTAACAGCAGTGGATGGCAGATGACTGGCGCTGCCCTGAGAGGAACATTGAGCCCCCCATCCTTGGGCTGGTGAGAGGGCAGACCCAGGATGTCCCCACGGGCTGGGCCTGATACACCCCATTGGGGCTGGCCCACCCCCCCATCCCCCACCACCCCCAGGACGGCTGGAACATCCTCAACTTCCTTATCATCTTTATCTTGCTCCTGGGGTTCTTCATTAATGAACTCAATGTCAACGCTCTCACCTATACCCTCAGGTGAGCTGGGAACTCTGGGGAAAAGAAGGGAACATGTCCGGACTGGGGAAAGAGAGGGGCTGGGGATCACCTCTTACCCTCTGGGCAGGTCAGGGGGCAGTGGGGAGGAGGGGTCTGGGAGGGGCTGAGGGGCGCCCCTGAGAGGCTGTGCCGCAGGGCGCTTCGTCTGGTGCATGTCTGCATGGCGGTGGAGCCTCTGGCCCGGATCATCCGTGTCATCCTGCAGTCGGTGCCCGACATGGCCAATATCATGACCCTCATCCTTTTCTTCATGCTGGTCAGTGCCCTCCCCTACTCCCAGCTGCTCCCTTTCCCTGACCAGGGCCCCCAGGTCATTGGGGATGGGGGGGGCTGTCTGGAGAGGAGGAGAGACCTCTGGGCCTGAGTCCCTGGGATTCCCTTGGCAGCATTCATTTGCATGGCATCTGCATGTCCTGTCTCCAGGTCCTTGGGTAAAGTTCGGGCATCTTCTTTGGTCTCTCTGGCAGGTGTTTTCCGTGTTTGGGGTCACTCTCTTTGGTGCATTTGTGCCCATGCATTTCCAGAACATGCAGGTTGCCCTGTATACTCTCTTCATCTGCATCACCCAAGATGGCTGGGTGGACATCTATAATGACTTTCAGTGAGTGCCTGAGGGGTGTCTGTCCCCACCCCACCCCCCCAGCGGGGCAAGGCAGTGGGAGTGGAGCTCCAGGGCTTGGGAGGAGGATGGCCCACCAGGAGGGGGCTGCCTGGCACTTCAAATCAGGGAAAAGGAGACCCCTAGGACCGGTCTTGGTCTGCTTGAAGCCTTGTCCCCCTTGAAATTCTATCCATTCAAAGTCCTACCGCAGACCTGTTCATGAAGATGTCCCCTGTCATGCTAAACAGCTGGGTAGCAAGGAGGCCTCGAGCAAGAGAGCAGATCTGTGGTTTCGGGACAGCCTCCCAGCCCACATTTGAGCCCACCAAGCTGCCTGGACTCCTGGGAACTTAGAGTCTCATTTCATTCATTCATAGACCCGCTGCCCAAGGTCATTTTTGGCCACAGATGGCCAGCAGGTTCTGTTCTTTACTTCTTTTCCATTACGTCTAAACCCTATTTGTTTCCAGTCCACTCCAGGGAGTGGGTCCCCCTGACTGATTTCTTTTTATCTCTTGTGAGTGCAGAAGCACAGTTGGCAAAGAGCTTCTGCGGGCATTTCCCAGTATGATGTAGGTGGTGGGAAAATCACAGGGTGTGCAATAAAGATAGACTGGACGCTGGGCTTTTGAGTATTTGCTCCACCACACTAGCTGTGCAACCTTGGACAAGTTACTTCATCTCTCTTCCGAGCCTCAGCTTCTTCACCTGCCAATTGGGAATTATAATAATTAACTATGTCTGAATTGCTGTGAGGATCAATAGAGAAAAGCTGTATAAATCTCTTAGCATAGAGCCTGGCCCAGAGTGTATATATATGTACATATACGTGTGTGTGTGTGTGTTTGTGTGTGTGTGTATGGAAGGAGAGAGAAAGGGAGAAAGACCTTATTACTTAGGAAAATATTTTATGGGAGATTCATAATAAGGTATTAAGAATGGCTGGGCTTTTTTCCTGTATGTCTTCCTTCTTCCTTCTGATCCTTCTATAATGAGCTTGAATTACTTTTGATAATAAGAAAAACATGAATCAAGAGTATAGCCAATAGATTAAACTTGATAATGCCAATGTACAAATCCCCACCGTAGGAGGGTGGCTTGAGGCCCACATTCTGTCTCTGACCGGACAGCAGGTGCTCAGCCAAGAGCAGCTACTTTGATAGTCAGAGCAGGCATTAGATCCGCTCACCAGCAGTGAGGTAGCAGAAGTCCTAGTAGGTCTTGAGATAATGTCCCCATTTCACAGATGGGGAAATTGAGACTCAAAGGGCCAGGGAGGTGATGGGGCTCCTGCCTGCCATCTCCAGGATAGAGACAAGAGAGTACGCAATGGAGATTGGGGGCGCCATCTACTTTGCCATCTTCATCACCATTGGTGCCTTCATTGGCATCAACCTGTTGGTCGTTGTGGTGACCACCAATCTGGAGCAGATGATGAAGGCAGGAGAGCAGGGGCAACTGCATCAGATAAACTTCAGTGAGGTGAGTGGGCTGGGGAGGGCAGAAGGGAGGAGAGGGTGAACGCATGAGTGCTGACTTGAGCACATGCATGTGTGTGTAGGCACGTGCGTGCATACACGCTTGCACGCTCAAGGGCCTGAAGAAAGTCAAGCCTGAGACCTGGGGGCAGAATCCCCCACCTTGAGTGCCATCTGAGGGGTGTGGATTTCCTAGATGTCTGGTTTCTATGGCAACTCAAAACTGAGTGGCTGGGTGACCTTAGGGCAGGTGACCAATCTAAGCCTCGATGTCTTCTGTAAAATGGGAATAATAATAGTACTTCCTTCATAGGACTATTATGAGAATTATATGGATAAATGAACAGTAGTTGGCACACATGTAGAATTCATTAAATGTTAGCTACAGTGCTATTCATTCAAGGGTAGAACTTCCAAAAAGCTGGTGGGGGTGGAGGGGGGAGTACTTCCCAAAATGTTGAGGGTTGTGGGCTATGACTTGAGAGTAGGTAGGGCTTTAGAAGTTTGCTAGGTAGGGAAAAAAAAAAGTTTGCTAGGTAGGATTTATCGGGAGTGAAATTGGGTGCTAAGTTTTGAAAAGGGGTGAGAATTTTCCAAGAGGTAGAGGAGGGGCTTATGCATTTGAAGTTGAGCTCCCACAGCAGGGTAGGGGTGCTAAGATTGGTTAGAGCTGGAATGGGTGGCATTAGAACCCTGGTGTCCTAAGAGACTCATCCTCCCCGGAGCCAAGCAGGAAGGGGTTGGGGGAGGGGTGCCGGCTGAGCTGTCTGTGTCCTCTCTTCGCAGAGAGGCATGCAGGACCTGGATGGAGGTAACGAGCTGCCCCTGGTGCACTGTGTGGTCGCCCGGTTGGAGATGTCCGGCGCCCCGCAGGAGCCACTGTCGGGAGGCCACCTGTCTAACCTCTCAGAAAACACCTGTGACAACTTTTGTTTGGTGCTGGAGGCAATACAGGAGAACTTGATGCAGTACAAGGAGATCCGAGATGAGCTCAACACGTAGGGCGGGTACTGGGGGCACCCCGAGTCCCGTGAGTCTGGGCTGAGCGGAGCCTCAGATTCTTCTGGCTTCACGCCCTCATCATTTTAAAATGCGGACCCTGGGGCCCAGAGAGGTTTAAATGACTTGCCAGGGAGGGGGATCTGTGGGTAGAGGAGCTAGAATCCAGACCTGGTTCCTTCCATCTCACAAGAGCGTGCAGCTTGGCCTGGATCTCCATAGGAGTGAAGGGGGAGGGCGAAGCGGGGTGGATGCCCGGGAAGAGATGGGAGGGCAGCGCCCCGTCTTCCGCCTCCCCCCACAAGCTCCCTCAGCCCTCAGAAAGTACTCACCCCTCCGCCCCCAGGATAGTGGAGGAAGTCCGCTCCATCCGCTTCAACCAGGAGCAGGAGGAGGAGCTGATCCACAAGCACTTGTCACTGAGCCTGTCGGTGGTGAGCGGGTCCTCCCTGGACATCCGCGACATGACTTGCCAGCAAGACTTGATCACAGCGCTCATCAACAGGGAAAAGGTGCAGGCAGCTTCCCTCTCCTACCCAATAAGTGCTCGCCCGCCCCGCCCCCTAGCCCCCCCCTCCCGCCCCGCCCAGCCTCTGCCACATTAGTCAAACTTTCTGTCTATTCCAAGATCTGATCCCCTTCCTGGACTCTCAGGCACCGCGCAGGCAGCAGCCACCTCTGATCCGTTAAGTTCCACCCTTTCCTCCCCGGAGAGGCTCTGCCCCCCACCCCCATCAGGCTCCTCCCACTGAGTCACTTAAGTCTCTGACACCCTCAAACCTACCCCTTCTTAGGGTGGCCTGAGCCAGCTCAGTTTCTGCCTGGTGGCGGATACCTAGGCACACTGTGGGCAGAGGATCCCTGGGTTCCTGCTAGAGTGCATCAGAACAGCCTCCTCCCCAGGGAGGAAGCTTCTAGGGAGAAACAGGCACACACCCTCATTACTTAGTTTCTTTCTCTGCTTCCCACACCACCTGACTGGGTTAGAACGACCTGAAGCCTCGTGAATGTCCACAGCCTGGGCTTCCAAGCTTGGAGAGGACACTAGGCAACTAGAGTCAGACAAGCCTGGTGGTTTCGCTGCTGAAGGTGGCGGAGGGGAGTGAGGGGGCGTTTGCCATGTGAAGGTGGGGGATTGACAAACCCCTTGGTTTGCAGGTTCAGGAATCCAACACAAACATACTCCTTAAACACAAGACCAGCCGCTGAGAGGCAGGATGGGAGCCAAGGGGCCTGAGCACACACACCCACCTGCATCTTCCTACATCTCTACGTGACTTGGCACAGTCTGGCCTGAGCCCATCTTCTCCCTTACACCTAGGCAGATGCCTGGGGCTGTGAAGGGGGTGGCATCTCCAGGGCTTGTGTCTGTGAGCCTCAGGTCCAGAGGAATTCAGATGGACAAGGATGCTGGATGAGAGAGGGAGCCCCACAGCAAAGAATGAGCACAGAAGGGGGGTGCTGGCCAAGGCAGCCAGGATTTGTCCTAAGGATGGACTTTCCTGGCCCCCTGCTTTAGGCCAGAGCTAGCTGGGGCCCAAGTGCACCAGGAGGAGAAAGGTGAGGCCAGTGGGGCCAGACATCTATGTATTGACAATAAAGTTTTGTGTTGGGATCAATATGTCTGACTGGTGGATCTCCAAACTTGGGGCAATCTTGCCCCAGGTCTGATGGGCAAGACAGATCTTTCCCCTCAAAAGCCTCTTTGTCTGATGGGAGAGTTACTGACTGCCCTCTAGAGCTTTCCAGTCTAAAGGGAAAGAGAATGTACCCTGAAAATTTCTGACTTAATGGTAGGGATGTAATCTCCCCGTAGTGTTCTAAATTTTTTTTGGTGGGGGAGGGGGTGGGAATCTGGTTCTCATGGTTGGGAGCCCCAGTCTGATGAAGGAGACAGCCTGAAGATAGAGAAGACTGGTCCTCATTCTGGGGGGCCCTAGTCTGATGAGGTCACCACTGACCAGTCATGCAGGTACAGGCAGTTCTATCCTGGGGCAATGGAGAATGACTGCCAACGCGTGGCTCCTGGCAGGCTTTCCAGAGGAGAGGAACACTGGAGCTTGCTGGAAGATCGCAGGAGGAGTTTGTGGGTCAGATGAATGAGATCTGGTGGGGTACTTGGGACCTGTTGAGGTCTCCTTGGGACCTTCACACTAAAGACTGTTGAGAGCCACAGCAAGTTCCTGAGCTAGGAATGCAAGAGTCTGAGAAAGCTGCGGCAGTCATAGGCATTAGGAAGAGCTGCCTTGGAGGACTGGCCTCTCATCCTTGGGTAAGTCATTGGGCCTCATTTTCCCCATCTGTGCAGTGGGGAGAGGATGAGATTGATCTGCAGCTCTAAAATCAAGTGGCCAGCCCTTAGCCCAAGCATTGGGAGACCAGTAAGATCATCCATGTTGTTGAGACTCAGATTCCCTGATGTTGGGTTGCGGGGAAGGCTGGAAGGCCCAGAGTTCTGCCCAGCTGGTCAGCAAAGGCTGACAGGGGCCTTGGGGATATTCACCAGTTGGAATGGGAGTCCCTAGAGGCCCCCTCATTGCAGCTGATGGGAAACTTCACCCTCCATTCCCCTCTTGTCTGCATGGGTTCCAGCCCAGTGAAGCCCGGGGCCAGCCGGGAAGGAGTCTGGACAACTGGGGACGGGGGTGATAGTGTGCTCAGCAGGCACATGAGAGGTGGCACTAGTGCTAGACGTGCCTCACTGTCTTGGAGCTGCTGTCTGTCCCCCTGTTTGAGCTCCGTGCTCTCCAAGCCCATCAACCACAGGGCCACGGGCATCTGGTGACTTTTGCTGCTACTGCTGTTTCTTACAGATGGAGCCCTCAGTCTTCCTGGTGAGCACCCACCTTATACTCTTCTCATCTATCCTTCTCCGGGGGCTCTCACAGACCAGAAGAGAGGGGAAGAAGATGACAAAAGAAGAGACAGAAGGTAGTGTCCCCAAGAAGATCTTATAATGTGAGTACAGCCATCACCCGCCCCAGCCCTAAATTGTCTGAATGGGTTGGGACACCAATGAATTTGGAGGCAGGAGCATGACAGGATAAACTCCAAGGGACTTCTGGCTTTGCTCGTCCATCCTCTTCCAGGATGCTATCTTTGTCTACTCCCGCCATCTTGTCTGTCAGCCCAGCTGTCTCTCCCTTGCTGTCTATCCTTCCCATCTGTGCCAGGCCAATAGCTTGGGTAGTTCCCTCTCAAGAAGGCCCAGAACTGGGGGTCCAGGGCGTTGGACCCCTGCTGCCCTCCCCTGCCCTACTCCAACGAAGAACAGCTACCACCTCCAATGCCTCACTGAGCCTGAGGTAGGAGCGCAGCCGTGGATCCTGAGCTCCTAGGACAGTATGGGGGAAGATATTGGGAGGTGGCAGGAAATTGTAGGTCTCATCACTCCCATGAATCCATAATTTTGCCAGAGAGAAGTAACCTTGGCAAAGCACCCAGGAAGCAGATACCAATCTTGGTGAGAGGAGCAGAGGGGATAATCATTACCAGTAACAGGTTCTACTTACTGAGCACCTACTATATGCTAAGCACCATGCTAAGTGCTTTACAGGTGTTATCTCACTTAACCCTCATGACCATCAGTGAAGTGAGTACTATTATTATTCCTGTTATATAGCTGAGGAAACTGAGGCTCATGAACTTGAAGTGATTTATCCCTTATCACAGCTGGGATTCTATCCCAGGTCTGACTTCAGAGGCCAGTCTACACGCTACTGCTTCTCAAAAAAACTGCTGTGGACGGGAAACCTCATTATCATAAAGTTGTCCATTCTTACCAAATCTATAATTGTAACACACTTCCACCCAAAATCCCAACAGGGATTTTGTAGAAGTTGATAAGCAGATTCTAAAATATATGGAGGAACCAAAAGTCAACAACAGCTGAGATAATTTTGAAGAGCAAGATGGGAGACTCACTCTACCAGATACTGGGATTTACATTAAAGTAAGATAATATGATGTTGCTGCAGTGATAGACAAGCGAACCAAAGAAATGAAAAAGCATGGAAATTGGTCTGGATACATAATGACAAATAGCATGACAAATCAGTGAGGAAAGGATAGACTTTACCATAAGGCAGCAGGGACAACTGGTTAACCACATGGGGGAAAAAAACAACAATCATAAAATCAGATCCAATGGAAACATCTCTCCCTGCAAATAAAAACTTGAGACCACTGTGGCATGACATCTGTTCATTACAGCCAGGATTTTTTTTTTTTTAAGATTTTATTTATTTATATGACAGAGAGAGACAGCGAGAACAGGAACACAAGCAGGGGGAGTGGGAGAGGGAGAAGCAGGCTTCCCGCTGAGCAGGGAGCCCGATGTGGGACTTGATCCCAGGACCCTGGGATCATGACCTGAGCCGAAGGCAGATGCTTAACGACTGAGCCACCCAGGCGCCCCATGTTGATATGATTTTTATCGACTCTTCCAAACTTGGTCAACTGAGAACATTTGAAAAGAACTCTGGATTGGTGGAGGGAACAGGTGTATTGGTTTCTTTTTGTTTGTTTGTTTGTTTGTTTACAGGCACTATTACAACCCAAGGGGCTGAGTCAAGTACAGCAGACTCCACAAAAGTCTCTGTGCCTAAGGGGCCTACAGCGTGCTCATTGACAACCTTGGCTCTAACCAACAATGGGAGAGACAACGTCTCTGTGGTTCCACTTAACCCCTCAGCAACAATCAGGAGGTCAGCAATGTCAGCGTCCCAGAAGAGTACAACACCAGCTACTCCTCTCACTTCACCACAAGCCAACAGCTCTGCTGCCCCACCAAGCAGAAAACCCCAATACTTGAGACTCAGGAGGAGAGATCCAAAAACACAGCCTTGTCTAGCATGGCCACTTCAGCTAAGCCCTGAAATAGAATCAGAGAGCTCCAACCACAGCCCCATTAGCATCGAGCTCCATAATCAATGGATTGGAATCATCAGTGTCCACTGACTCTCAGGTATCAGCCACGATCACAGTTCTAACAGCATTAAACATACCGGGTGATGACATCATATTAGTGAGGTCCATGACAGCCACTGTGTCTGAGAGGTCAGCCACAGTGATTTCCCCGACGACACTGAACAGGATCACTGATGTGAAAGAATCTCTACCCACGACAACCATTGCAGTCGTCCATGCCACTTCACTAACCCTGACCATTCTCGGGACGACTGTCCTGGAACGACCGCATCTGGGACTCAGCAAGGAGACTACAGCTGCACCCCCAGCCCCAACAATAGCCCTCATGAGGAGCATCACAGCCCTGCTGCACAGACACCTTCCTGGCCAGTGGGATCAGCCCCGTCACCTGAGAGAGCAGCTGCTCATTTGACAGCCCTCATCCCCAGCTCCTTGGGGACAGCAATGTCCTCTGACATGACTGGCTCCAGGCAGGCTTCCCCTAAACGCACCCAGAGTAGTAGTCCCAGAGCCAGAGCCTGTGCTTTGGACAAGTACCCAGCTGATGGGGGAGTCTGTATGTGAAATGACAGCTACTACACCCACTCAGGTGAGTCTGAGCAGCTCATGCCCGTACAGCGAAGAAGAGGCGGGGGCCAGAGTGGACATCGTAACCCTAGGACGGCCCAGACAAATGTGTGTCCAATGGCTATGGGAGGGCCAGTGAGGTTTGCCCAGACATTGGCATCTGGAGGGTCCATTGGGGTAGAGGTGGTTTTTCTAGTAAGAGGACAGGTAGCTGAGCACATGAGGTTGTGGCAGTAAGTTCAGGATGCTGGAACAAAATACCACAGACTGGGCGGCTTATAAACAAGAGAATTTTATTTCTCACAGTTCTGGACGCTGGAAGTCCAAGTTCAAGTCACCAGCAGATTAGGTATCTGGTGAAGCCCACTTCCTGGTTCATAGACAACTGTTTTCTCTCTGTGTCCTCACATAGTACAAGGGGCAAGGGAGCTCTCTGGGGTCTCCTTTATAAGGGCACTAATGTCATCCATGTGGGCTCCATCTTCATGACCTGATCACCTCCAAAGGCCTTACCACCTAATACCATCATTATCTGGTGTTAGGATTTAACATATGGATGGGGGGGCATAAAAATTCACTCTGTAGCAGAGATAGAATGGACAATTCATCAGCCCCCAGCGCCCGGGACCCCAACTGACCAGAGAATGAATCTTCCCAAAGGAAGGAACTATAGCCCCAGCAGAGGCCAGGAGGGGCCAGATCGTTGTTGGGACAAGACCAGTGTGGCAGATATTACAGAGAGGCTGAATTCACAGGGCCTCCCTCAAGTGGTGCAGCTAACTCCCAGGCTCACCCTCTGGCAGGGCAGAAGCTGGGTCCTGGAACCAAAAAGATGATGGTGTCCTCCATATGTCTGCCATTGTCAAAGTAATTCTAACTCCCAAACCTTTAAATTTTATCAAATTCTGGGCACCTGGGTGGCTCAGTTGGTTAAGCGACTGCCTTCGGCTCAGGTCATGATCCTGGAGTCCCGGGATCAAGTCCCGCATTAGGCTCCCTGCTCGGCAGGGAGTCTGCTTCTCCCTCTGACCCTCCCCCCTCTCATGTGCTCTCTCTTTCTCATTCTCTCTGTCTCAAATAAATAAATAAAATCTTTAAAAAAAATTTTTTATCAAATTCTGATTTTCCTAAAATGACTACTCTGCTTTTTAAAATACCAAATTCCTTCAAAAAATACTTCTTTTCATCACTGGATAATCCAGCCTTGGAATGAAGCTTCCATTACATTCAAAACTAGGCAGTGCTTAACTTAGGGGCCAGTATTTTCCAAAATGTGTTTTGTGGGACACCAGCGCTTTGGGATTTCAACAGATGTTACACACACAAAAAAGGGTGGGGTTCTATTGTTAAATATATTGGGAAACTACTGGATTAAACAAAATGGTTTCTTGACTGCAGGACTTTTCAGAGCTTTTACTATTCCACTATCCACTGTGACTCCCTTAAAAATCATATTTTTTAAAAAGATTTTATTTATTTTTTGACAGAGAGAGAGACAGAGAGAGAGGGAACACAAGCAGGGGGAGTGGGAGAGGGAGAAGCAGCTTCCCACGGAGCCGGAAGCCCGATGCAGGGCTCGATCCCAGGACCCTGGGATCATGCCCTGAGGTGAAGGCAGACGCTTAATGACTGAGCCACCCAGGTGCCCATAAAAATCATATTTTTAAAGCAGATTATAGCATGCATTTCCCAAGTGTATCTGTCCCTAGACTCCTCATTCTGAGGAATATTTATGCAGCACCTTGGAATATACCCAGCTGCAGAGGAGAGGAATTCAGATGAGAGCAGAGCAGAGCTGGGCAGGCAGAAGTGACTGGGGTGACAAGTCCAACCCAGGGGGTTTTAGTAAAGCCCTGAGTAGGTGCTGGCTCATTAGAAGATTATCCCCGTGTCAACAAACTGTATTGGTGAGACTGGGGATGTGCGCTCATTTGTAAAATGCTGTATGTATCCCCCCACAGATATTATGAAGTATATCCTGTGTTTTCATGCACTGAGAATGAAACAGCTTTTCTTTTCTTTTCTTTTTAAAGATTTTGTTTATTTATTTGACAGAGAAACAGAGACAGCTTTTCTTTTTGTGTTCATGGTTTTCCAGGTTAGTAGGAACATGGACTCTGCAAGATAGACTATCTGGGTTTGAACTACGCCTCATTTTCTTCTGCTGGGGTAATAAGAGCACATTTACTGCATAGCATTCGTGTTTGAGGGTTAGCTTTGTTGATATTATTATTTGGTCCTCTGTATCACAACATACTATTGATTGCAATAGCAGAAAGTTATGTGACTGACTTAACCCCCACCCTGCCCCGCCGAACACACACTGGTACAAAGCACCTTAAATTGTAACCTGTCCCTCTGACCAAACATGCCTGCCCAAACAGAAACAGTGAGCTTTTTTTAAAAAGGAAAGGGAGAAAAGTCTTAAAATTCAAAATAATAAAACAAGTACAGAAATGCTTAACACTAATATCTCCATTACGTTTTGCTTTTTAATGACTTTTAAACATCTCATTCCAAATTTGATAGAAAGTGTGGAAAGAGGGGGCACCTGGGTGGCTCAGTCGGTTAAACGTCTGCCTTCGGCTCAGGTCATGATCCTGGGGTCCTGGGATCAAGTCCTGCATTGGGCTCCCTGCTCAGGGGGAAGCCTGCTTCTCTCTCTCCCTCTGCCTGCTGCTTCCCCTGCTTGTGCTTTCTCTCTCTCAAATAAATAAATAAAATCTTTTTTAAAAAAAAAACGTGGAAAGAGCAGGCACAGAAAGAAGGGAAGGGTTAGGCATTAACTTCTCTTTCGTCACCCCAAAAGCATCACTGTTGGACATGTATCAGGAAAACGTGTGTTGCAAGCGGCAGAAAACCCAACTCCAATTGGCTTGAGCAAAATAAATAAATAAACAAACAAATAAATAAAATTGAAACCATGAAACAAAATAAAACAGAATTTGTTGGCTCATGAGACCAAAAAGTCTTAAAGAGGACTTGAAGATGCTGACGCCCCTGCCTCCTGGCTCACAAAGGAGCTCTCTCTCTCCCTCCTCCCTCCTTCCCCTCACTCCCCTCCCTTCCCTCCCTCAGGATTGTCTCTTCATTTTTATTTTTTTAAGATTTTATTTATTTATTTGACAGAGAGACACAGCGAGAGCAGGAACACAAGCAGGGGGAGTGGGAGAGGGAGAAGCAGGCTTCCTGCTGAGCAGGGAGCCCGATGTGGGGCTTCATCCCAGGACCCTGGGATCATGACCTGAGCCGAAGGCAGACGCTTAATGACTGAGCCACCCAGGCACCCCTCTTCATTTTTTTAAAAAATTTTATTTTTAAGTAATCTCTACAACCAACGTGGGGTTTGAACTCACAACCCTGAGATCAAGAGCCACACACTCCATTGACTACAACAGCCTAGCACCCCAGCATTGTCTCTTCAGATTCGACCTTTAAGAGACAGAAAGAGCCCTTGACTTCAAACAGTTTAGGCCCTTCAAAAACTCCAAGGCCCAGGCTACCTGTTGGAATGAGAGGGAAATCAAAGAAGAAAACAAATTAGTATCTCTAACAATAACCTTGCCAGACAAGTAACAGAAACCCAACTGGGCTGCCCAGGGAAGACAGGAGGATTTATTATAAGGTGTCTCCCGGGGGTGCCTGGGTGGCTCAGTCAGTTAAGTCAAGGTCCTTGGATCAAGCCCCATGTCAGAGCCCCACATCGAGCCCCATATTGAGCCCCACGCCCATGGAGCCCCACATAGAGCCCCATGTCGGGCTCCCTGCTCAGCGGGGAGTCTGCTTGTCCGTTTCCGCTCCCCCTTGTGCTCTCTCTCTCAAATAAATAAATAAAATCTTAAAAAAAAAAAAAAAAAGGTGTCTCCTAGAGGCCAAGGATAGGCTCCAACCAGGTTCTCCAGGGACTAGGACTTGGACTGGGAAAGTGGCAGGAACCAGGGAGTTGCATCTCTCTCTCCCATTCCGTACCTGCACCTGCTTGCTTCCTCTCTCCACACACTGGCTCCCCCACCTCTCAGCACACATGACAGAGAATGGCTGTCTCAGAATCTCAAGCTTTATACCACCTTCTTAATTTAGGTTCAGCTCCTGGGAGAGATTGTGAGTGGGTCAGCCGAAGCCAGGGATTGGGGCCCCCCAGGGCCATCATGGTGTAAGGGTCTCACGTCCTATGAGGGGAGTCTTCGTTTAAGGGAGTCATGGTGGGTTGGGCTAATATCCCCGCAACGTCTCCTCTACCCAGATTAGAACAAGTACCCTTTTCTATATTATCATCCCAGGAGCCCTTGCACTGGCTCTGGTCCTCCTGCAGATCTGTCCCTGGTGTAGGTGGCCCTGCGCAGACAACTGAGGTGGTCCTGAGCAGCCGCTTCCTGAAGACTCACCACTGGATCCTGAGGGAAGGTACCTTCTAAGGATGTCCCAGTGTCAACAAGATAGAGGGCGCCCTGTGCAGGTGTTCATGATGGAGAAGACGGAGGGTACTTGTGGACTGTGCCTCTCTGTAAGCAAGCTGGGAGGGGCTGCCTGATAAGAATGGGGGAGTCTGTGGGGGAGGGGTGTGGTGTGGCGAGGACTGAGAAATGGGTGATTGGGCACCAGTCATAATTTTACATCTATTTGACTGAGGAATAATTCTTTGGAATGGAGTCAAGTCTTTTTTGGGGAAAAGACCACGTTGTCCTCCATCAGACTAGGAACACCCTTATAAATGATACCATGTTTGATGGACTGGGATATTGGTTTCCAAACCTGACAGCCACACAACCCTTTAAAATAATAACAACTGCAATCACAACCAATATTTATTAATTTCTTGCCAGGGGAAGTGGGTCGAAGTCTTTTTTTTTTTTTTCAATTAACAATAATCGCGCCTCGGATAAACCTCATTGGCTACGATACTGCCACTGTGCAAAGCTAAAGTCTTTTTTTTTTTTTAAGATTTTATTTATTTATTTGAGAGAGAGAGCGAGATAGAGCAAGCACCAGTCAGGGGGCGGGGCAAAGGGAGAGGGAGAAGCAGGCTTCTTCCCGCTAAGCAGGGAGCCTGATGTGGGGCTGGATCCCAGGACCCCAAGAGCCAAAGGCAGACGCTTAACCAATCAAGCCACCCAGGTGCCCCATCGAAGTCTTTTTTATGCACTATCATTAAATCTTCACAAAAATCCTGTGACATTCCCATTTTACAGATGAACAATCTAAGTCTCAGAGAAGTGGACAGATTTTTCCCAAGTTATACAGTTATTAACAGAGCTGGTTTGTGTTCCTAACTGCTCACTGATGCTGCCACCTCCCTTCTTTGGAAGAGATCTTACATAAAACCTAAATATAAAAACAAATGTATAAAAACAGGGCAGCTCTGATTGAATGGAGGAGGAGGAAGGATTCCCTGATGAATCAGCTTCTCTCCAACATGTAGGTGGGCTTCATGCCCCTTCAAGGGAGGCTCTAGGGCTCTTGAGATCACTTTGAAAACCAGACTTTGTCCTAAAGGGGTGATTTACTTCCTCCTAGTGTCTACCATTATCTCTAGCTCTGCCACCCAGAGAATCATGGGGTGTCTTGTTTAGGTCATGGGACAGAATTGGCAGTTTTAGTGTACAATAACTAAGTCCCCAGAACTATGCCCCCAGAACTCTCCATCAGTGTTCTTTGTAACAAACTGCAGTATTTATATCAATAAAACACCTCATTGTGATTCTCTAAAAAAAAAAATCCTCTGGAAACAATAAAATACCAAAAAGATATCTAAATCTTGGGGTAGGGGTCAGGACTTGGCAATTTTAACAAGCACTCCGGTGATTATTTTCCATGGGATTCTAAAATGCACACTGAAATTTGAGAACCACTGGCACACAGGTGAAGAACATGGGCTCTGGAATCAGAGAAATGTTGAACTCTGGCTCTGTTACTTGCTTTGGGCAAGTCTTTTAACTTTCTAAGCCTCAGTTTACTCTTCTGTAAAATGGGAACTAATAAACAGAACTCTCCTCAGAGAGTTGTGATCAGGCCCCAGTACCTGACGCACAGCTCATGCTCAGCCATTACGTTTTTTTTTTTTTAAAGATGTATTTATTTATTTATTTATTTTCTTTACAGAGAGGGGGAGAAAGAGAGAGCCTGCGAGTGCAGGGAGGGGCAGAGGGAGAGGAAGAGAGAGAATCTCAAGCAGGCTCCCCGCCGAGCGGGACACAGGGCTCCATCCCATGATCCTGAGATCATGACCTGAGCTGAAACCAAGAGTTGGACGCTTACCCGACTGAGCCACCCAGGCACCTCACTTCAGCCATTGCTTTTATTTAAATAAACAACTTGCAGCCAATGAGGACAGGAGAAGGTGTTTCTCCTGGAGATGTGAGGGTAATGGCTGCCTCCCTGCTTTTTTCTAGACCAACAACAGCTACACCCTTCATTCTCTGGAGATGCCCCTCCTGCAGATTCACCCTGGCTTCATCAGGACTGACTGTACAAGGCTCAGCTTCAGCTGCACATACCCTCTGGTGGTGAATGTCAGCCAGATCCAGTCTAACCCAGTGGTCTTCCCATGAGTTCTTTTCTATCAGCTGCCTCTCAGGCTGGGCCCTGTGAAGCTTCCAGAGTTCTCATTGCTACATCTAATCCAGGCAAAAGGAGTCGTCACTCTCAGGATGTTGGCCCCCCACGCCCAACCACCAATCATAGGTACGTCTTAGGTTGAAACTCAAAGCATCAGTGGAAGAAAACAGATGCTTCCATGAAGTAATGCATTATGGGTTGTTTATGTAAATTGCCACGGGGTAGGTTGGCTTGAATGGCTTCAAGGGTCCTAGGTGGCCCCTCATTTTTCAGGAAGTCCAGGACGAAGCTTAGCTACCAGAGCTCAGTGACCTTGGGTGCCAGGCAGAAGGTGAGTGAGTATCCCTCCCTCTGTGGCTTCATGGTGAAAGTCTCACTCTCGTCTCTCTCTAGATATGGAACCATCCATGGTCTGGGCACTGGGGATGTTGTTGTTGTGCTGGGCATCTTCACGGACCCTCAGCTCTCAACTGTACTTGAGAACAGACCAACTCCTCTTGGCAAGCCATTCTATGTGGTCCTCAGAGCCACAGGCATTGATCCAGCCAGATTTGCCTCGGTGGCCAGTGAGGTCCTTGCCAGCAGCAACATCTCCGGGACTGGTGCTGTTAAGTCCACCTACCGCTTTGTGAAGGAGAAGTAAGTGTCTGTCAGGCCACGGTAACCTCCTAGCAGGCTGCTTTCGTACCCATGAGCACAGATCCTGTGACTTTCCTCTCTATCCCTGGTACATAAGCACTGGGAGAACGTAAGTGCTGGGTGAACGTTTGTTGAATGAATGCAAGTAGTATTCTCATTCCCATTTTGCAGATGAGTAAATTAGGGCATAAGGAAGTTAGGGCTGGTTTCTCTCCCAAGATTACAGCCAGTAAATGACATTCATTCCTTTTATTTTTTCCTCAAACAGTTATTGAGGGCCTGCAATGATAAATGTAAAAAACAAAAATAAAACTGACATTTCAAAGTGCTCTACACTATGTAATATACTTGACATGCATGACATTTAATCGCTAATACTGACATAGCATTTACTCCATGCCAGGCATGTTCAAATTACTTCACATATATATATATATATTTTTAAGATTTTATTTATTTATTAGAGAGAGAGAGAGGAGAGGGGCAGAGGGAGAGGGAAAGAGAGAATCTGCAGCAGACTCCGCACTGAGCATAGAGCCCAGTGTGAGGCTCAATCTCACAACCGTGAGATCATGACCTGAACAGAAACCGAGAGTCGGAGGCTTAGCTGACCGAGTCACCCAGGTACCCCACTTCACATATATTAACTTATTTAAGCCTCACAACCCACTGTATGAGATAATTTTTTTAAAATATTTTATTTATTTATTTGACAGAGAGATAGAGAGTACAGATAGGCAGAGAGGCAGGCAGAGGGAGAGGGAGAAGCAGGCTCTCCGCCGAGCAGGAAGCCCGATGTGGGGCTCGATCCCAGGACCCTGGGACCATGACCTGAGCCGAAGGCAGACGCTTAACCGACTGAGCCACCCAGGCACCCCTGTATGAGATAATTTTTATTCCCATTTTATAGATGGAGAAACTGAGGCTCGGTTCACACAACTGGTAAGTGTCAGACCTTGCTAAATGCTGGGGACACAGAGATAAGTAAGGCCAAGTCCTTACCTTCAACAGCTTGTGGTCTAGGTTAGGAGCTGGTTGTATTTCATTAATATTAACAAATCTTCACAGAGCACAGTGAATCATTCATTACCTCACCAATTCCTGAAAATAGCCCTAGGAAGTATTATTTCCTCCACTTTACAGATGAGGGGATTAGAGAGGGTTCAGAGAGTTTAAATAACATGACCAAGGACACAGCCGTTGGTCTATTCATGCTCCAGAGTCTGGGTCCTGAAACACCACAAATCTATCCTAGCATGTAATTCTTCTATTGTCAGAAGGAAAGAGAACCTAGTGATTAAAGGTGTGGGTGGACACAGCAGCCAGGCTGCTGAAGAGACTTCAGCAACCCACTTAACTTCTGTGAGCCTCAGTGTCCTCATTTCCTTTAAAAAAAAGGGGGGGTGTCAATCAAGGTGGAACCTGGAATGGATTTACTGATGGTGAGCTTGAGCCCCGGAAATAAAGACCATGGGGGTAAAAAGACTAAATGGGCCTCGGGGCTGCTGAAGAGACTTCAGCAACCCACTTAACTTCTGTCCTCATTTCCTTTAAAAAAAAGGGGGGGGGTCAATCAAGGTGGAACCTGGAATGGATTTACTGATGGTGAGCTTGAGCCCCGGAAATAAAGACCATGGGGGTAAAAAGACTAAATGGGCCTCAGGGAGTACAAGAGACAGAGATTAGACAGGTGATTCCCTAATGCTCACAAGGAGGTAGCGTCTGTGCAGACAGGTAACTCAGTGGGTAAGTAATTTGCTGTCCCTTAGACTTTTGCATTGGCTGGTTTCTCATTCTGGAAACCCTCAACTCCCTGATACCCATAGGAAAAACTCTCATCTCCTCCAAGTCTTTGCTAAAATGTCACCATTTCAATGAAGCCTAGCCTGCCCATGCTATTTAAAATTGCAACTACCCTCCACTCATCCATTCTAGATCAATTTCTTTCTTCTATGTATCACCTCCTAAATATATGCCATATTATACGAGATCATTTGCTTTTTTATTTTTTATTTTTATTTTTTTTAAAAGGTTTTATTTATTTATTTGACAGAGAGAGACACAGTGAGAGAGGGAATACAAGCAGGGGGAGTGGGAGAGGGAGAATCAGGCTTCTGGCGGAGCAGGGAGCCCAATGTGGGACTCGATCCCAGGACCCTGGGATCATGACCTGAGCCGAAGCCAGACGCTCAACGACTGAGCCACCCAGGTGCCCCTCATTTGCTTTTTTAAAAATTAAGTTATTCATCTGAAACTAATGATGTACTATATGTTGGCTAATTGAATTTAAAAAATTAAAAAAAAATTAAAATTAAGTTATTTACTGTCTCCCCTTACCCACAAGAGAATAGGAGGTTTTGGTCTGTTTTGTTCACTCATGTTCCCTAATTCTCCCAAGGACCATAGTAAGAATTTCTTTCTGCCATGGACTCTATCGCACAGGCCTATCCAAATATTACTGGTTATAGTGAAGGGGTTACATTTAAGTTATTGTCACCTCAAGAAAAAGTCACCATGACAATAGTGTGGACAGTTCAGACCACTATCTCCTAATCCCTTAGCTCAGAATTTTCTATGTCTGTCAGAGTTTGCACACCAATCCCTACACTGCCACCAATAACTGAGATTTCTTTTTTTCAGTTTGGAGCAATTCTTGTTATAAGTGATGACTGATAAACTATGCCCAGTCAAGCAAACTTTAAGAAAGAAAGAAAAAGGAAGGAAGGGAGAGAGAGAGAGAGGAAGGAAGGAAGGAAGGAAGGAAGGAAGGAAGGAAGGAAGGAAGGAAGGGGAGGAAAGAAAGGAGTCAGGGGAGAGAGAGAGGGAGAGAGAGAAAGAAAGGGGAAGGGGACAAAAGTATATATAGTCTTCCTCCTAGGATTGATGTGAGGATGAAATGAAATAATGCATGTAAAGTTCTCAGTACAAGACGCAGCATCTACACTCAAACAGCACCAGCGAAAAGGGGGGAAATCAATGTTCCTGCGTCCACATAGCCGGCCCAAGCCAGGACTCCAAACAGTGAGTGACTCTGCCTCTCCCCCCAAGCTGCCCAGCCAGCAACCAGCTGCTCAGGGCCTGCGAGCCAACGGGGCCTCTCTGCCAGTGACGCTGGCCTTCATTCAACCCGTTCCACTTCGTGACCAACGACACGTTCTACCTGCACAGCCGAGTGACTTTGTGTGACGAGCGGGAGGGATACCCGTGCCAGCCAGTAAGCAGGCAGCCCTGGGGTCTCCAGGCAGTCGCGGCAGCCTCCGCCTGGCGCCGCTGGGGGCGGCCACTGGGGACCGCCACTGGGTAGCCAGACGCCTATCACTGTACCAATGCCACCACCCTGGGGGCGGGACTAAGGAGGGGCCTGGAGGACGGAGGAGCTGGGGATTGGCCTATCTTGTCAGGGGCGGAACCGAGGGTGGGGCTTGTAGAGAAGGGGCCGGTGGATTGCCCTAAGGGGCGGGATTTTGGGGAACACACCTAGCTCCCTGGTGTCTCCGGCAAAGGCCTTCCCTGGCTGGAGCTGGGACGGACGTCGCTACCCTTATACTATGTCCCCCGCAGACCTGTAGGCAGAAGACGTCCCCTGGGAGATCCCGGCGCAAGAGCTCCTGGAGAGCGGCCCGGGCTGGATGGTGTTTGGGCCCAACCGGATAAGCGGTAACTGGGTCATTTAGGGGCCTCCTTGACTCCTCTTTTTTTTTTTTTTTTAAGATTTTATTTATTTATTTGATAGACACAGCGGGAGAGGGAACACAAGCAGGGGGAGTGGGAGAGGGAGAAGCAGGCTCCCCGCGGAGCAGGGAGCCCAATGCGGGGCTGGATCCCAGGACCCCAGGATCATGACCTGAACGGAAGGCAGCCACTTAACGACTGAGCCACCCAGGCGCCCTCCTTGACTCCTCTCGCAGAGCCTCCCACTAACCTGCTCTGAGATCCCTCCTACCTTCTTGTCCTACACTCTTCCCTCAATCCAGGTCCATATCCTCCCCAAATCTATATCCTCAGCTTCTCCTCTGCTCTGGAGGGGTCCCCTCCCCTCACTGATCCTGTTCTCATTCAACTTCTACTCCTCTCCTCCCATTCCCACCTTTCCTGCCACACCAGTTCACTCTTCTCCTAGTCTGTTTGTCCCTTGTGCCACCCTGCTTTTGTATATTCTCCTTGCCGATCTGGAATAGTCTCTTCTTTCTCTTCCCTAAGAGTCTTCCAAAGAGCTGACCCTCCGGGGAAAGCCTATCTTAGTAAATCCATTCTAATTAGAGGTAAAAGGGTCATCATCACACCCTTCTGAGGCCTTGCTTCAACAAAGGGTCGGCCCTTTCTCTCAATCTTGATGAAACAATGGGAATCCTGTCAGGATGGTTCCTCAAGCTCAATCTTTCTTTCTATGTGGTTTCAGAGTCCAATGCCTCCAGCAGCCGGTGTTTGGCAGGTTGGTGCACAGGGACTGATTGGTGTGAAATTCTGGTAGGTGCCCCAGGGTCTGGGGGTGCACACTGGGTTCTGGCTGGCGCTGGTCTTGGATTCTCTCTCTGCTCAACTCTGTGTGACTTGGGAGAAGTCAGTTACCCTCTCCAAGTCTCAAGCTTACTCAGCAGTACATGGCAGAGTTGTCATTGTGGGGTTGTTGGTAGTCACAGTTGGAGTTTTACACCTCATCAGAACCTGAGACTATCCAGAAATGACTTAGAGTAGGGGTTAGGGCCAGGCAGGTAATAAGCGAGGGGGGCTGAGTGGGGTCCCCATTGAACTAGAGAGTGCATTTCATCCCTGTACTCCATCTGCCTTCCCCCCAATTTAAGGGAGGGACTGTCAGACCCCAGTTGGGACAGTGGGCCCCAGGAAAGCTTTGTTGAAAGAATGCATGAATGGATTACTAAATAATCCCACAAAGTGGAATATCTAAGCCTAAAAAGTTTCCCAGGCTCCCAAAGCCACCGAATCCTATTTGTAATCATTTCTTTCTTTCCTGCAGGAGCCTGGATGACTATTTTTCTTCTGATAGGCTTGATGCTGAGATAAAATCCTGCCCAGATATTTCCCCCAACTCTAGCCCTTGGCTTCTAGTTTCATTGAGGTAAGGGTGGAGTGGAAGAAGATTTAGGGAGAGAAATAGTCTGTCCTTTTGTTAGGGAGTGAGATGGAACCCCTGCGTGTCCGAACTACTATCTGGTAAGAAATGTGGCTGCTGAGCCTCAAGCTGTGCTTCCTCATCCCACCATCCCTTCCCATCTCTGGAACTCGTCCAAGGGCAGGATTGGGCCGCTCAATGTGGTAGGGGGCTGGGCAAAAAGAATGGCCAATAAACAGCAAGGAATTCTACTTTGACTCTCCTTTTCTGTGTATTCTGACTACAAAGCTTCAGCGCTTTATGAGGAACGGGATATGTATATATGTGAGAAGTCACTTTATTCTCTATAGGTTCTGGTTCCCCTATATGTGAAAGACTTTGACCAGATGATCTCTGCTTCAACACCGGGACTGTATGACTGGTTCTAGGGAAGGTTCCTGGGCATTGGCCAACTGGCCAACTGTCTCCTTTCTTCTGCAGAATGGTCAAGAGCTATTCAATTTCAGAATTAGGATTAAATGATTCCATATGTTATTATCCTGCCTATTAATTATTTCTGACCTCATAAGCACCCCCCCACCTTCCTAGTAGAGGTGGATATAGGGAGCAATGTTTGCTACTATCATTTATCCATTCAAAAATGGGTTGGAATCTACTATGTACCAGTTCCTGTGTTAAGCCCTGGGGATTCAACAGTACATAAGACACAGTCTTTGGACCTTACAGAAAGGACAGTTGAGTGCAAGAAGTAGGTGTATGGACCAGGAAACAGGACAGGCTTTGTAAGCTGGCAGAGGTGGAACTTTCACAAAATCAAAAGAAGACCTCTTTTTGTTAGTTGTTTTGTTTTTGAAGTACTACTTTTGATTGATATCTATGATCATTTTAGAAATTAATTTCTTGGGAAAATATTTTGGTACAAACAACAATAAAGCTAAATCTAACAGTCCTAACGTTTCATTTGCAAGAACTTTTCTTGTCATTTAATGTTTTCACAGCTCCTGAAAAAAATTAAGTCTGATGATCAATACATATTTTTTTATGTACACCAAAGCCACACATTTATTAAATCAGCATGCAAGTATTTACATTTCATTGGGAATTCATATTCACTTTATAGGTCTGGAGTAGTTTGTTTATTTATTTATTTATGAGTAGACTATTTAAATAGACCTGTTGGTGAAGGCATTAACCCATGCCCTTATTTAAAATATATCCTGGGGGCACCTGGGTGGCTCAGCCGGTTAAACATCTGCCTTGGTTAAGCATCTGCCTTCGGCTCAGGTCATGATCTCAGGGTACTGGGATCTGAGCCCTGTGTCAGGCTCCCTGCTCAGTGGGGAGTCTGCTTCTCCCTCTGCCCCTTCCCCACCCCTCATGCACTCTCCCTCTCTCTCAAATAAATAAAATCTTTAAAAATAAAAAAAATTAAATTAAATATACCCTGAAGGATAAAGGCAAAATATTACTGACTATACTATACTAAATATCTCCAAAAGAAAATAGAATGAAACAAAATTAAGTAAACAAGGAAGCCATTGAACTTAAACTATACTTGGTTGACCACATGAAAGAAGCCTCTGTGCTGTGTAACAATAGATGCTTATAAAATAAGGCACTAGACAACACGAATGCAGGCAAAAGTGGTAGCTCTAATGATATGATTATAACTAAGATGCAGGGACGCCTGGGTGGCTCAGTCGGTTAAGTGTCTGCCTTCAGCTCAGGTCATGATCCCAGGACCCTGGGATCGAGTCCCGCATCGGGCTCCCTGCTCAGTGGGAAGCCTGCTTCTCCCTCTGCCTCTGCGTGCTGCTCCCTCTGCTTGTGCTCTGTCAAATAAATAAAATCTTAAAAAAAAAGAACTTATGATGCAGTTAGTTTTCTCATGTTCTTTGATTAAGCTGAGGTGGCACATAACTGGCATTTTTCAGTCATGTCAGCTGATAGTGTCATTGACAATTTATTTTTTCCATTGACATTAAATTTTCATTAAGTCTTTTTTTTTAAGATTTATTTATTTATTTTGGAGAGACAGCATGCGTGCACAAGCATGAAATGGGGAAAGGGGGAGGGAGAGAGAATCTCAAGCACACTCCCTGCTGAGCTGGGGAGCTCAATTCGGGCCTTGAGCCCACAACCCTGAGATCATGACCTGAGCTGAAATAAGAGCCAGACACTTAAACCACTGAGCCATGCAGGCACCCCTTGCAGCACATTTTTTTTTTTAAAGATTTTATTTATTTGACAGAGAGAGACACAGCAAGAGAGGGAACACAAGCAGGGGGAGTGGGAGAGGGAGAAGCAGGCTTCCCGCTGAGCAGGGAGCCCGATGCGGGGCTCGATCCCAGGACCCTGGGACCATGACCTGAGCCTAAGGCGGACGCTTAACGATTAAGCCACTCAGGCGCCCCTGGTCTTTTTTTTTTTTTTTTTTTTTAGATTTTAATTTATTTGAGAGAGAGAATGAGATATAGAGAGAGAGCATGAGAGGGCGGGGGGTCAGAGGGAGAAGCAGACTCCCCGCTGAGCAGGGAGCCCCATGCAGGACTCAATCCTGGGACTCCAGGATCATGACCTGAGCCGAAGGCAGTCGCTTAACCAACTGAGCCACCCAGGCGCCCCGCCCCCCAGGTCTTTTAAAAATAAGAGAGTAACTGAAGATTTAAGACTATCTCTTACTAAAAATTGATTGTGAATATTCTCTGAAATTAACACTAAATCTTGGTTAAAATATTAAGACTCATTCACATTTGGGAAAATTAGTAATATGATAATGGAGTTACTTTTATTTATTTATTTATAAGATTTTTTGTTTATTATTTTATTTTATTTTATTTAAAGATTTTATTTATTTATTTGAGAGAGAGAATGAGATAGAGAGCATGAGAGGGAGGTGGGTCAGAGAGAGAGGCAGACTCCCTGCTGAGCAGGGAGCCCAACGTGGGACTCGATCCCGGGACTCCAGGATCATGACCTGAGCCGAAGGCAGTCGCTTAACCAACTGAGCCACCCAGGCGCCCTTGTTTATTTTTTTAAAGATTTTTTTTTTTTATTTTTTAACAGAGAGAGAGACAGCGAGAGAGGGAACACAAGCAGGGAGAATGGGAGAGGGAGAAGCAGGCTTCCCGCCAAGCAGGGAGCCCGATGTGGGACTCGATCCCAGGACCCTGGGATCATGACCTGAGCCGAAGGCAGATGCTTAACGACTGAGCCACCCAGGCGCCCTGGAGTTACCTTTAAAATATAGATATCTGGGGACACCTGGGTGGTTCAGTCAGTTGGGCGTCTGCCTTCAGCTCAGGTCATGATCCCAGGATCCTGGGATCTAGTCCTGCCTTGCGCCTGCTCAGCAGGGAGCCTGCTTCTCCCTCTGCCTGCTGCTCCCCCTGCTTGTGCGCGCTCACGCACTCTCTCTTTGACAATAAATAAAATAAAATATTAAAAAATGTTTTTAATTAAAAAAATAAAATACAGATATTTGGGGCACCTGGCTGGCTCAATGGGACCATGTGGCTCTTAATCAGGTTGTGAGTTCTTGGGTGTAGAGATTACTTAAAAATAAAATCTTAAGGAACCCCCATCTTCCAGTAATTCGCCAAAATGACCAACACAAAAGGAAAGAGGAGAGGTACCCGCTGTATGTTCTCTAGACCTTTTAGAAAACATGGAGTTGTTCCTTTGGCTACATACACGCAAATCTATAAGAACGGTGATATTGTGAACATCAAGGGAATGGGCACTGTTCAAAAAAGAATGCTCCACAAATGTTACCATGGCAAAACTGGAAGAGTCTATAATGTTACTCAGCATGCTGTTGGCATTGTTGTAAACAAACAAGTTAAGGGCAAGATTCTTGCCAAGAGAATTAATGTACGCATTGAGCATATTAAACACTCAAAGAGCCGAGATAGCTTCCTGAAGGGTGTGAAGGAAAATGATCAGAAAAAGAAGGAAGCCAAAGAGAAAGGTACTTGGGTTCAACTGAAGCGCCAGCCTGCCCCACCCAGAGAAGCACACTTTGTGAGAACTAATGGAAAGGAGCCCGAACTTCTGGAACCCATTCCCTATGAATTTATGGCATGATAAATGTAAAGAAAATAAAAGACCTCAAGACTGTTAAATAAATAAATAAATAAATAAATAAATAAATAAATAAATAAATAAATAAATAAAATCTTTTAAAAAATCCATTGGAGAAAACTGTACAAATGCACTATTTGTCATTTGTAAATTTAAATCTTAGCACTACCACTATTGTCTTCCATTCTTTGCATCAGCTCTTCAAATCCTCCCATTTCGTCTCAGTCCTCTACATGCCCGTTTCCTCCCTCTTCACAGATGTTTTTCACAAAAGAAATAAAAGCAATCAAGTAGATGTTTCCACCACCCATCAGTCTACTTCCTACCCACTAGTCCACAAATTTATTCATTTAGATGCCTATCCTTACCATTTATGTCTTAACAAAAGCATTTGGTCCTAATTTCAGAAGATACCCCCTAAATGCATCTATCACATCATACCCAGATTCATTATCCATTAAACCTATTTTATGCCTCTATATGCTCACCTTAAAATGTTATATGAAGCTGGGGGCGGGGGCGGGGGGCGGAATAGAACTTTGCAGCACATCCCCAGAGTCCTAACTCCAGAGTGAATTTCATCCAGTAATTAACTCTAAGTCTGGTTCTTCGAAGTTAAGAAATCACACAACTTTTTAAGCCTCTCCCTCCCAAGTCAGGTTTCCAGAAGCCTGGAATTTTTCACTATCCTTTGGCTGATGACTTTGTTCCTCCTTTTAACAATTCCCCAGTCTGATTCTTAAGTATATATTAATGCAAATGCACTTAGTTTTTTTCCTGGGGACCGAGGTTCGGTAGGGAGGCAAGATCGATCTGTTACCCTTCAACCTGAGCCCTGGTCACAGTCTGACCACTGACCCTAACCCAGCCCAAGCCCTGACCCCAGTCACAGACAGTCCTGACAGGGCAGTGACCCGGGCCACACCCTAACTCGGGACCACAACGTGACCCCCTGCTACATTTCAGGTGAAAGTACTAATAGGCCGTGGGGAATGGGAGAAGGGTGGGGCAGGTGTGTATGTGGGAGCTCCCGAGTGATTTTCCCTGGCCTCCAGCTCCTCGAACCGCCAAGCCCAGCAAGCCACCCCAGACCCTGGGGATGAGGGCTCCGCCCACAGGCAAGACCTGACTAGGGGCTCAAGAGAAGGCTCTGAGGGCCGGCGGGGTCATGCGCAGAGAGATCCGTCCGCTCCCGGCGCCGAGCGCAGCGTGCGGGGGCGGGACACGGGCACGGCCCGACTCCTGATTGGCCGCAGGCGGGCAGAAAGGGGCGGGGTCGGGGCGGCGCGCGCTCTAAGGCGCGCGGCCTGGCGGGCGTGTAACGGCCGTTAGGCGAGCTGAGGGAGTGAACCGCCGCCCGGGGCTGACGTGGTGGCTGCAGTCGGCGTCCCTGTGTGAGGGATTTCGCTGCCCGCTTTCGGCCCTATGTAAGTCCTCCTCCCCTCGGGAGCCCTTGTCGGGCTAGGAGACTCCGCTTCACCTCGGGGAGCCCTGGAAGAGCCCCAGAGGAGCCCCAGACACTCCTGACCTACCTTCTTCGGGGGCCGCGGGAAGATGAAGCGCATGCGCGGGGCTGTTAAGCCATCCCCTCTGGGTTTCTCATCCGCTGGGCTTCCTAAAATAATGCCCCGCACACGCCCCCTCGCGACTCGCTCGCCTTCCCGCCCTCTTCGCGTGGCTTTCTCCATCGTTCACTCCACAGCAGTTGCGTTACCTTTGTAAAGGGTAGGCCCTCTGCCAGTCGCCGGGGGAGGGGACGGCGGGAAGCACGTTGCTCGCCTTAGCGGAGCAGACGGTCCCGGGAGAAGAGTAGACGTGAAGCGGGTGACGACTCGGTTAGCCCTCCGTGGTGTGGGCTGGAGAAGTGCACAGCACTAGGCAGAAGGAGCCCTCCCTGAGGAAGGGAAGTTGGGGCTGAGGGTTACGGGATGAATAGAGACTTAGGGTTGGGGGGACAGGCAGCTCTTGTGAAGGCGCTAGGCTGGAGTTTCCCAGCCCGCACGGGATATAGGACAGTGTCAGGAGACATTTTCGGTTGCCACAACTCGGGGATTGCTCCTGGTATCTAGTGGGTAGAAGTCAGGGCTGCTGTGAAACATCCAACTATGTGCAGGACAGCGCCCCCCCCCCCCCCGGCCCCACCAGCAAAGACTTATCTGACCTAAAACGTCAGGGGCATCCAGATTGTCTAGAGCACCCAGCGAATTTGTTCAGTAGAGGGTATTCAGCACTTCATCACGCTAAAACAGGAGGATCAGAATATTTCCACCACATGGCACAGAGCCAGGCGAATAGTAGGCCCTCAGTAAATTCTGGTTGATGAATCGAATACTGTGTGCTAGGTAGGGAGGGGTGATGATACCAGGATGATTAAGATAACCATGCCTCATTACCTGCCCTTAGGCCTTGTAGGTTATAATAGTCTGGTGGTGTTGAATGTCTCAGAACTTTGTAAAGGCAACTTCTTGGCAAGGGTTTGGCTTCTCTTTCTTTAGGTCTGGTGTAATGAATGGTCAAGGTCATGAAAATAGTGCCATGGTGTGAGATTCTTAATGTGCTTTTGTCAGCTATGTATCCCTTCAAATCCTCTCGTCTTGATGTGGTTTTCAACAGCTGCCAAGTGTGACGTTCCACACTAACATAATTCTTCAAGGGGAGAAGTACTTAAAACAGTCAAAACCTAATTCTTGGGTGGCACCTCGGGAAATAAAGCCTGGGTGGTGACCAAGGGCAACGTGAAGAAATTGTATGAGCTGTCCCTGCTCCTAACTACTTTGGGGCTTGCACCTCTGGCTGTATCTGAAGCAGAAACTCCAAGTTATGGTGCCTTCTTAACTTTATTTCTTTTTGTCACACACAGAAAGAATGCTGACTAGACTCTTTATAGCATTAGAGCACAGTCCTGGCTTTGAAGCCTCTTCCTAACTATATGACCTTCACATCTCTCAACCTTCATCTTTTTTATCCATAAAGTAAGGGTAATAATAGTTACTGCCTCATAGGTTTGATGTGAGCATTAAACATAAGACATTATACCTATAATAGAGTGTTTAGCACAGTGCTTTGTGGGTAGCAAGTACTCAATACATGTTAAATTTGTTGAATGAATACTTAGGTAGCTTAAAGGGCTTTGAAGATAGAAACCATCGGGGCACCTGGGTGGCTCAGTCGTTAAGCGTCTGCCTTCGGCTCAGGTCATGATCCCAGGGTCCTGGGATCGAGCCCCACATTGGGCTCTCTGCTTGGCCGGGAGCCTGCTTCTCCCTCTCCCACTCCCCCTGCTTGTGTTCCCTCTCTAGCTGTCTCTCTCTGTCTCTGTCAAATAAATAAAATAAAATCTTTAAAAATAAAAAATGAAGATAGAAACCATCAATGTTAAGGGACGCCTGGGTGGCTCAGTCGTTAAGCGTCTGCCTTTGGCTCAGATCATGATCCCAGAGTCCTGGGATAGAGCCCCTCATTGGGCTCCCTGCTCTGCGGGAAGCCTGCTTCTCCCTCTCCCTCTGCCTGCTTGTGTTCCCTCTCTCGCTGTGTCTCTCTCTGTCAAATAAATAAATAAAATCTTAAAAAAAAAAAAAAAAGAAACCATCAATGTTGGGTATTTCTTCTGTCTGCTTCCATTCACTCTTACCTTTCTTGGCTGTATAATTGGTTATTTTTGGTACTTTTATCTCTCACTTTTTTTTTTTAAGATTTTATTTATTTGTCAGAGAGAGAGAGAGCACAAGCAGGGGGAGTGGCAGGCAGAGGGAGAAGCAGGCTCCCCGCTGAGCAGGGAGCGGGACACAGGACTCAGCGGGACACAGGACTCGATCCCAGGACCCTGGGATCATGACCTGAGCCGAAGGCAGACGCCCAACTAACTGAGCCACCCAGGCGTCCCTTATCTCTCACTTTTATCTCAGGAAATCTTTATGTCCTTCAAATGGTCCTAAAAACTTCCATCAGTAGCTCATCTACTTCTGAACTTAGTCGGAAAAAGTCAAGAATTATCTCTTCCAGGGGCAGGTGGGTGGCTCAGTCGGTTAAATGTCTGACTCTTGGTCTTGGCTCAGGTCTTGATCTCAGGGTTGTGGGTTTGAGCCCTGCGTTGGGCCCCATGCTGGGCTTGGAGCCTACTTAAGAAAAAAAAAAAAGGAACTGTCTCTTCCATACTGTTTTACTCCTTGTGGGAGGTTTTTTTTTTTTTTTTTTTTTTTTAATTGAGGTAAAATACATGTACAATAAAATTCAGTTTTATGTGTGTACAATTCAGTGGTTTTAGTACATTCACAAGGTTGTGCAGCCACCACCACTATCTAATCTCAGGAGATTTTGATCACCCTGGAAAGAAACACCATATCTATTAGCAGTCACTCCCCATTCCCCTACCTCCCTCTTCTTAGTCCTTGGCAACCAGTAATCTACTGTTTATATGGATTTGCCAATTCTGGACATTTCATATAAATGGAATTTATCGGTTGATGAACATTTGAGTTTTTTCTACTTTTTGGCTGTTATAAATAATGCTGCTATGAACATTCATGTACAAAACTTTGTGTGAACATGTTTTTATTTCTCTTGAACATATACTTAGGAATGGAATTGCCGAGTTATAGAGTAGTTCTGTTTAACTGAGAGTTCTTTTGTCATCCTATTTTTAACTCCTCTGAATTTGGAAAGGTCTCAGAGTCCAGTGGACCTTTACTACCATTTTGTTATACCTTAAAGAAATGAGTGAAGAAAAGGATTTTGATATTGACCATTTGATATCACTGCTAGGTAGATACTCTAATCCTTCGGTGTCACCATTAACACACTAAATGATATCAGCCATAAATTGAAGCTTTTACTGAACAATCATCTCTTACCCACTATGTGAAGACCTGGGATTTCAGTGGGTGTTACCATTTCTGTTGTAGATGCAGTGAATCAGCAAGGGTTTGGGTTGTTACTAAGAGAAAACTATAGAGGTCAGTAAAGCACATTAGAGAAATAGTACCCATATAGCCTCTTTTCTCACCAAAGTTGAATTTCACGGCTAAGAATTGTGATCTATCGACTGAGTTTGTCCCAAACTCTTTGGAGACTCTTACAAATTCAGTTTCTAAATTCATACTTTATCTTCCAGGGACAACCATATGCCACTTTTTATTGATGTAAACTGCCAAGTAATAATAATAACATAATTAAGCACTTAATATGTGTCAGGCACTGTTATGAGTTAATTCTAAATGAATTAGCATGAATTAGGTCCTGTCTTTATCCTCATTTTTTTTTTAAGATTTTATTTATTCATTTGAGACACAGAGATTGAGAGAGAGAGAAAGCATGAGCAGGGAGAGAGGCAGAGGGAGAGGGAGAAGCAGGCTCCCCACTGAGCCAGGAGCCCGATGTGGGGCTCGATCCCAGGACCCTGGGATCATGACCTGAGCTGAAGGCAGATGCTTAACCACCTGAGCCACCCAGGCGCCCCTATCCTCATTTTTATTTATTTTTATTGTTACTGTTTTAAGTAGGCACCACACCCAGCATGGAGCCCAACACAGGGCTTGAACTCACAGCTCTGAGATCAAGACCTGAGCTGAGATCAAGAGTTGGACATTTAGGGTGGCTCAGTCGTTAAGCTAAGCATATGCCTTCGGCTCAGGTCATGATCCCAGGGTCCTGGGATTGAGCCCCATGTTGGGCTCCCTGCTCAGCGGGAAGCCTGCTTCTCCCTCTCCCACTCCCCCTGCTTGTGTTCCCTCTCTCGCTGTCTCTCTCTCTCTCTCTCTGTCAAATAAGTAAATAAAAATCAGGCACTCCTATCCTCATTTTCACTTATTTATTTTTTTTAACATTTATTTATTTGAGAGTGGGTGCATGCCCACAAGCAGGGGGAGGGGCATAGGGAAAGAGAATCTCAAGCAGACTCCCTGCTGAACGCACAGCCCGACACGGAGCTCCATCCACAACCCTGAGACCATGTGACCTGAGCCGAAACCAAGAGTTGGATGTCCAACTGACTGAACCACCCAAGCACCCCTGTCCTCATTTTTATTTTTATTTATATATTTATTTTTAAAGATTTTATTATTTATTTGAGAGAAAGAGACAAAGATAGCCTGAGCGGGGAAGAGAGGGAGAAGTAGACTCCCCACTGAGCAGGGAGCTGGGTGCGGGACTCGATCCCAGGACCCCAGGATCATGACCTGAGCCAAAGCAGACACTTAACCAAATGAGCAACCCAGGCGCCCCCCATTCTCATTTTTATATGAAGGAACTGAGGTACAGAGATATTATGAAATTTGCCCAAGGTTACACAGCTAATTAAGTCAGACTTCAAACCCAAGCTGTCTGATCACAAGCGCATACTCTGAACCACTTACCTGTACTGACTGCCATGCCTCTCAGGTGCTATGCAAATATAAGATATTATTATTTGCTACTGTTAGCTACAGTTAATTAAGGCTTTTGTTTACATAGATAGTCATCAGACTTTTGCTGACTTCTCACAGCCTACCATTAGAATAAATATAAATGTTCTAAGAAGTAGGGAAACGGGAAGAAAATCTTATGTTCCCAGCTGAGAATTGGGGTTCTGCTTATGACCAAGAATTCTATTTGTGCATCATATAATTAACTTTCATTACTGGAGGAATTGGAGAATTTATGTTAATCATAATTGAAGGTATAATACCTCACTGTTGGTTTGGTTATTTAGTTCTTTTCTCTACCCCACTCTCCAGTCCTGTTTCCATGGCTAAGAAAATCTGTGGTGAAGTTTGTTAATTCAAAGTAATGTTCTCGGACCCCTGGGTGGCTCAGTTGATTATGCGTCTTCCTTCAGCTCAAATCATGATTCCAGGGTCCTGGGATCAAGCCTGGGGTTGTCGGGCTCCCTGCTCGCTGGGAAGCCTGCTTCTGCCTCTCCCTCTGCCCCTCCTCCCTACTCTTTTTTTTTTTTTTAAGATTTTATTTATTTATTTGACAGAGAGAGAGAGAGTGAGAACAGGAACACAAGCAGGGGGAGTGGGAGAGGGAGAAGCAGGCTTCTGGCGGAGCAGGGAGCCCGATGTGGGACTCGGTCCCAGGACCCTGGGATTATGACTTGAGCCGAAGGCAGCCGCTTAACGACTAAGCCACCCAGGCGCCCCCCCTCCTTCCTACTCATGCACGCCCATGCTCTCTCCCTCTCACGCTCATATAAATAAAATCTTTAAAAAAATAATAATATTTTTAATTTTTGCAACAATTGAGGGGTTTTAGGACGTATAGGATCAGTATTGAGTCTCCATTTGGTTGTAGATTTTCTCCCTTACTTTAGGAAGAGAAGTAGGATAGAGTATTGGGTGTTGCTTTGCCTTAAAAAATATCTTTGGGGGGCACCTGGGTGGCTCAGTTGGTTAAGCGACTGCCTTCGGCTCAGGTCATGATCCTGGAGTCCCTGGATCGAGTCCCACATCGGGCTCCCTGCTCGGCAGGGAGTCTGCTTCTCCCTCTGACCCTCCTCCCTCTCGTGCTCTCTGTCTCTCATTATCTCTCTCGCAAATAAATAAAATCTTAAGAAAAAAAAAAAATCTTTGGGAGGGGCGCCTGGGTGGCTCAGTCAGTTAAGCATCTGCCTCCGGCTCAGGTCATGATCCCAGGGTCCTGGAATTGAGCCCCACGTCAGGCTCCCTGCTCAGTAGGGAAGTCTGTTTCTCCCTCTTCCTCCACCCCTCCCCCTGCTCATGCTCTCACTCTCTTCTCTCAAATAAATAAATAAAATCTAAATATCTTGAGCAAAACATGTGGAAGATGAATCCTATGTGGTTTTGACAGTTCAGTTGAATCGGATCAAGTTACAAGGAATTAAAAGATAGTGGAGAGATCTGACTGGTTATTCCTTCATTCTACAGTTGGCTCAAATAACGGTGTTGATGGCCATGCAGGAGAAATACCCAAGTGAGAGGATCTCTCATGCCACTTCACCAGGTGAGTAGTCAAAGTTTCCTGACCTTTGCTCTGTTTTTTCATAACAGAAATTTCCTTTAAAGGAAATACTTAGCAAACAAACATTCACTGAAATGCTGGTACTTAAAGAACAAAAATAACATGAGGCTATATTGAATAGAAAAACAGGCCTCTCCAAAAGAACAACTATTTATCTCTGGTCCTCCATGGCTTCCAAGAAGACCACATGATTGATTGGGAGGGGAGGACACATGAAGGAACAGAATGACTTTGGAACATAGTTTCATTTGAAATCAGAAAAACACAGCATAAATTACTGTGTTCTGTGTTGTCTTTGTAGTCCTGTGGGTGGGTCAGTCATCTGCTAGCCCACAAAGATTGGAATTCTTCTTCGATGCCAAGTCTCAGTTATGTTGTCACTGGAGACTCGGGAATTTATCTTTAGAATGGATTGACAAGATTTTGAAAGCTCAGTAGATATACTAAGTGGATATATTAAGTATATCTGTTAAACATATATAAATATATATATATAAATACATATATTTAATAGATAATTAAGTAGATATGGTATATTTAAATAGAAAGTAGGATAGAAAAATAGCTTTTTGAATCCTGGGGTACTTATGAAGAGAGGGTTACATTTTTTCAACTAAGGATATACTTTATTTAACTTTAAAATACTACAGTGCCTTACAGCAGACATTTATTAGATATTTGTTATATTCTCCTAGGAATGCTGCCTTGCATAGATTAAGCATTTTGAAAAACGTTTGTTGAATCAGTTCAAGATTTCTTCAGCAAATATTTATTGAACATCTGCTATATGCCATACACTGTTTTAGGGCTGGATTGTATAATTTCTTTTTTTTAAAGAGAAGAGAGTTTTATTTATTTATTTATTTTTATTTTTTTTAAAGATTTTATTTATTTGAGAGAGAGAGAATGAGAGAGAGAGCACAAGAGGGAAGAGGGTCAGAGGGAGAAGCAGACCCCCTGCTGAGCAGGGAGCCTGATGCGGGACTTGATCCCGGGACTCCAGGATCATGACCTGAGCCGAAGGCAGTCGCTTAACCAACTGAGCCACCCAGGGGCCCATGGATTGTATAATTTCTTATGACAATTATGTTGTAACACACAAATTTGGGAGATGTAGCAATTTCTAACAAAACTCACTGCTTTTCTGGGGCGCCTGGGTGGCTCAGTCGGTTAAGCATCTGCCTTCAGCTCAGGTCATGATCCCAGGGTCCTGGGATCAAGTCCCACATCGGGCTCCCTGCTCAGTGGGACACCTGCTTCTCCCTCTCCCTCTTCCTGCTGCTCCCCCTGCTTGTGGTCTCTCTCCCTCTGTCAAGTAAATAAATAAAATCTTAAAACAAAACAAAAACCTCACTGCTTTTCTGATGGCTTTGTCTTCAGTAGTCTCTCATTCGATTAATAATGGTCTTAATATTTTGGTAAAGATATTGGTGATAGGACATGTAACACAACACAAAAAAATTTCAGCTTTCAAACTTGAATTTTGAAATAAGCATAAGCCTCTATACTTATGCCAAAATACATTTTTTAAATGATCTCTAGGGCGCCTGGGTGGCTCAGTCAGTTAAGTATCTGCCTTCGGCTCAGGTCGTGATCCTGGAGTCCTGGGATCAAGTACCTCATTGGACTTCTTGCTCAGCAGGGAGTTTACTTCTCCCTCTACCCCTCCTCCCAGCTTGTGATGTCTCTCTCTCTCTCTCTCAAATAAATAAATAAAATTAAAAAAAAAAAAAGTGATCTCTACACCCAGTGTGGGACTTGAACTCACGGCCCCAAGATCAAGAGTTGGATGCTCTACCGACTTAGCCAGCCGGACACCCCCCAAAATGCATTTTTATTTTAGCAAATATCTTCAGAATTGATGTGTGGAGTGAGCAGATAGAAAAGTGGTACTGGTAAAGAATGGAAAATTAGTAGTAGTAACAAGAAGAGACCAGGAAGATGGTAGTAGAGGCCCTCAATCGATTTTCATTATTTCAAAAGGCCTGGAAATTTGTCTACTGACTAGAGAGATAACACCATATAGACTTACCAAGAAGTCAAATTTCTTTCTTTCTAGCTAGAATTATACTTAGTACAGATAGTAACACCAGCTAATCTTATGCTAATCAGAAGCTCTGATTCTTGGGTATGTCTTCTATGAAAGATTATTATAGATTACTGCATGTATATAGATTCTTTCACATCAGGCAGTCCACTGTGACCCCAAGAATAAGTCCTTGGGGAAAGTTAGAGTGCCTTCAGTAGAAAGCAGAGGGTAGCAAAATTAGAAGAAAGTGAGTTAAAAAGATGGGAGCAGCACTAAAATTGGAAGAAGAGAACAAGGTGATTTGTGTTCAAATATCATTTGCTTCCAACTAAAAGAGTCTGTAGAACCTTGTTTTCTGATTTCAGCTAAAACTCTGACATTTTAAATGGATAAGTAGCTATCATAACGTTTTTGTCTATTTGTTTACATGGATCATCAGATTCAGTTTAGAAAAATTGTAGTTTTTTTTAACAGTAAATACTAGTAAATCAAGTATTTATTAAATACTTGCTACCTACTGGCCCTCAAGTAGCAAGCTAATAACGTTAAATAAATCTCCTCAGTCTTGTTTTGTCTTACCTACTCAGAAATTTTAGTGGTTTCTGTGCATTGCACTCAAAATAGTCTTAAACTCTTCAGATTGACTTTTAAGACTTACCTTGTTCTGGATTCACCCTGTCCACAGGGTACCCCAGTTCAGTCAAGCAGTGATTTTCATTTCGTTTCTTTCCTTCTTTCTTTCCTTCTTTCTTTCTTTCTTTCTTTCTTTCTTTCTTTCTTTCTTTCTTTCTTTCTTTTTCTTTCTTTCTTTCTTTCTTTCTTTCTTTCTTTCTTTCTTTCTTTCTTTCTTTCTTTCTTTCTCTCTCTCTCTCTCTCTCTCTTTCTTTCTTTCTTTTATTTGAGAGAGAGCCTGCATGCACATGAGTGGGGGGCAGGGCAGAGGGAGAGAAGCACACTCCTCGCTGAACACAGAGTCCAATGCAGGGCTCGATCCCAGGACCCCTAGATCATGACTTGAAGTCAGACGCTTAACTGACTGAGCCACCTAGGCGCCCCCATGCAATGGTTTTCAACAAGAGACTGACTGCCTGTTACCCTAGGGAGCATTTGGAAACATACGGGGTATTTTCATGTTTCACAGGGATGGTGGGATAGGGTTAGGGCTGCTACTGGCATTTAATAGGGACCAGGGATGCTAAACCATCCTGACATGTATAGACTACACATTGAAGAATTGTCATGCCTTGTATGCCAAAAGCACCTATTGAGAAATCCTGTAAGAGGAAAGAATGTGGATATTATAATCAGAACAACCTGGGTTCAAATCTCAGCTCTATCCCCTGTAAAATAGGGGTGACAATACTATTCAGTAAGTAAGTAGATGAGATCATGTTGGTAAAGTGTTATGGCTTCTAGGTTTCAAAAAATGGTAGCTACTATTGAGTGGTATTGTTTTCTCTCCTAGTATTCCTGCGTTCTTGGTAAGTCTTATTTCTGTCTGTGAACATTCTCACCTCTCATGCTATTTCCATTTAAAATTAACTAACTCAGAGAAGCTGAAATAGGCATAGGAGAGAGAGTGATTCTATTTTTTATAGGTTTAAGTGCTTTATTTAAACAGTCTTATGGGGTTACATCAACTGGTTCACACTAAAGATGAGAAATGCCACTTATTTCAGGTTCCAGTGGAATTCAAAAGGGTAGTTCCCTGGGGACTGAATGGCAGACCCCCGTTATATCAGAGGCTTTTCGGAGTCGATTCAGCCGCTGCTCAAGTGTAGCTGACAGTGGGGACACAGCCCTTGGCACATCATGCTCAGACATTGCAGAGGGTAAGTTTGGATTAATGTTTTGATTACTAATATGTGTTGTCATTTTCAGATTGTGTTCCAGGTGTATTGTCATTTCCAGAATATTCATAACTCAGTCCTTTCAGCCAAGGAGTTTGCTTGATTTTTTTTACTCCGTGTTTCTTACATCTGGCCCTTTCCTTTCAGTTTTTACTGTTTGTCTTGTCTTTTTTTTTTTTTTTTAAGATTTTATTTATTTATTTGACAGAGAGAGACACAGCAAGAGAGGGAACACAAGCAGGGGGAGTGGGAGAGGGAGAGAAGCAGGCTTTCCGCTGAGCAGGGAGCCCGATGCGGGGCTCGATCCCAGGACCCTGGGATCATGACCTAGCCGAAGGCAGACGCCCAACGACTGAGCCACCAGGCGCCCCTGTTTGTCCTGTCTTAAATAACTTTTTAATAGGTTTCTTGTCCTCAAATCTTTCCTTCTACTGCCAGGTTAATCTTTCTAAAAGCCTGGTTTCATAGTTTCCCTTTCCTGTAAATCCTTGACTGCTTCTTTTTTTTTTTTTAAGATTTTATTTATTTATTTATTAGAGAGCAAGCGAGAGAGAAACAGCATGAGAGAGGAGAGGGTCAGAGGGAGAAGCAGGCTCCCCGCTGAGCCAGGAGCCCGACGCGGGACTCGATCCCAGGACCCTGGGATCATGACCCGAGCCGAAGGCAGTCGCTCAGCCAACTGAGCCACCCAGGCGCCCTCCTTGACTGCTTCTGATACTTGGAGGATAAAGTTCAGAGGCCTTAGTTCTGTGATCTGGCTCTATCCCACCCATTCAGACCACCCATTCAGACATTTCTTACTGTTACAAAGTGTGGTGTTTCACTGCAATGAAAAAGCACAGAACTTTTGTTGTTGTTGTTGTTTTGGATAGCTGAGCTCTTCTTTAATCTAGGCCTGTTTGTGCTGTTTCCACCTCTCTTGCCCTTCCCAGCTATGCTGCTCTTATTTTTCAAAATCTAGTGAAGTGTCTGACAAGACTTTTCCCATCCCTTCTACCCATTACTGATCTCCCTCTCTGCAATCTTTTTTTTTTTTTAATTTTTAAAAAATTTTTATTTGTTTATTTGAGAGAGAGAGAGCACGAGAAGGGGTAGGGTCAGTGGGAGCAGACTCCCTGCTGAACAGGGAGCCCAATGTGGGATTCGATCCTGGGACTCCGGGATCGTGACCTGAGCCGAAGACAGTTGCTCAACCAACTGAGCCACCCAGGTGCCTTGCAATCTTTTTTTTTAAAATAAGATTTCGGGCGCCTGGGTGGCTCAGTCGGTTGAGCGACTGCCTTCGGCTCAGGTCATGATCCTGGAGTCCCGGGATCGAGTCCCGCATCGGGCTCCCTGCTCGGCGGGGAGTCTGCTTCTCCCTCTGACCCTTTCATGCTCTATCTCATTCTCTCTCTCAAATAAATAAATAAAATCTTTAAAAATAAATAAATAAAATAAGATTTCATTTATTAATTTGAGAGGGAGAGGGGGAGAGAGAGAGAGAACAAGAGCAGGGGGAGGAAGAAGCAGACTCCCTTCTGAGCAGGGAGCCTGATGCAGGGCTAGATCCCAGGACCCTGGGATCATGACCTGAGCTGAAGGCAGACGCTCAACCTACTGAGCCACCCAGGCACCCCTCCCTCTCTGCAATCTTGTATCTTTATTGTGTCTGCCATTTTGGGGGCACTTAAATTAAGTAATAACTGCTAGACAGTGCTTTACAAGAGTATTTTCTTTTTTTTTGGATTTTATTTATTTAAGTAATCTCTACACCCAGTGTGGGGTTTGAACTCATGAGCCTGAGATCAAGAGTCCCATGCTCTACTGACTGAGCCAGCCAAGCACCACAAGAGTATTTTATTTTTTCATTTAGATAGTGATTTCCTAGAGAGCAGAGGACCTGATGATAATAATTAATAACTATTTATTAAATACTTTGTGATAGATACTATGCTAAATTTTTTCTACATTTTTTCATTAACATCTTTAGGAACTCTATGAAATATTATTTCCATTTTACAGCTGAGAAAGCTGAATTTTTTTCTTTTTTTTTAAGATTTATTTATTTGAGAGAGAGAAAGAGCATGAGTGGGAAGAGGGGCAGAGGGAGAGAATCTTCAAGCAGACTCCCTGCTGAGTGCAGAGCCCTGCAGAGGGCTCGATCCCACAACCCATGAGATCATGACCTGAGCCAAAACCAAGCGTTGGATGCTCAGCCAACTGAGCCACCCAGGCACCCTGAGAAAGCTGAGTTTCAGAGGATTAGATGACTTGATTAAAGTCACAAAACTAGTCACTTTAGTACTTTATCAGATGTCACACCCACTAGGATGGCTATAATCAAAAAGATATTAACAAGTTGGTGAGAATGTAAAGAAATTGGAGCCTCTATACATTACTGGTGGGAGTGTAAAATGTTGCAGCTGCTTTGGAAAGCAGTTTGGCAAATCTTCAAAACGGTAAACATGGAGTTACCCTATGACTCAACAGTTCTACTCCTACCTATATACTCAAGAGAAATGAAAGCATATGATGTGCTTACACATCCTTGATGTGTAAACTTGTTATTCATAGCAGCATTATTCATAGTAGCCAAAAAATGGAAACAACCCAGATGTTTATCAGCTGATGAATGGATGAGTCAAATGTAGTATATCCATATAATAGAATATTGTTCCACAATAAGAAGAAATGAAGTACTAATACATGTTACAGAAATGGTTGAACTTTTAAAACATTTATGCTAAGTAAAGCCAGACGCAAAAGGCCACATACTGTATGATTCCATTTATATGAAATGTCCAAAATAGGCAAATCTAGAGAAACAGAAAATAAGTGGTTGTCCAAGACTAGGGAAGTTAGGGTAAATGGAATGTGACTGCTAAAGGGTAAGAGGTTTCTTTTTGGGCTGGTAAAATATTCTATAATTGATTGTAGTGATGGTTACACAATAGTGAATATACTAAAAACCATTGAATTGTACACTTCAAGTGGGTGAATTGAATATTATGTGAATTATATTTCAGTAAAGCTGTTTTTTTAAGAAAAGGATAGAAATCTTTGAAAGTAGAAATGAAAAAAAAAAAAAACCCAAGCAGATATCTACCAGTACTGACTCTTAGACACCTGACATTTAATTTTAATAGTTTGATAGCTGTGTATATGTGGGCATGGTGCTCATAAATGTTGAGTAGAACTGAATCATAGATTTTGTTGTAGACAGGACTTTGAAAATCATTTAATCCAGTTCCTTTTTGCTGGTGAGTAACAAAAATTCCCTGAGGGGTTAAGTAACTTGCCTCATGTCACATAACTAGTCAGGTTCAGGTCTCCCAGCTGTAGTATTTTTTCTATTACTTGTGTAATCAAGTGTTACTGTCAGTTTAGTTACTTGTTAAGGTTTTGTCTACATGTGCAGTCATGGGACCTTTTTCATTTTGACTAAATAATAGATCTTTTAAAAATCAAACAATGGTCTAGATTTTCCCCCTGTTGAATTGAGTGGCTCTATTTAATTCAGTCACATTGTTACACAGATTGTGTGCATTTTATTTCTTTGGGGGGGGATATATTTCCTGTGTAGTGCATTCTTTTTAAATTGTAGTAGCCTTGATGTGCAGTGCTTGTTGTTTTGGGTTATTTTTTTTTTAAAGGATCCAAGGTGGGGTGCCTGGGTAGCTCAGTCAGTTAAGAGTCCAACTCTTGATTTCAGCCCAGGTCATGATCTCAGGGTGAGATCATGTGAGATTGTGAGATTGAGCCCTTCACCGGACTCCGCACTCAGCGCACTCTGCTTGAGATTCTCTCCTCCTCTACCCCTCCCCCCGCTTGCACACATACACACTCTAAATAAATAAATAAATAAATAAATCTTTTTAAAAATTAAATAAAGGATCCAAGCTGGCTTCTCTGCCATGTTTGTTATGTACAATGGTCTTTAATCCTTGCTCATTTTGTTCATCTAGCTTGGTTTTATTTGGAGCCCAGTTGACAAGAACCCTTACGCCTGGTATAAAATATAGTTCATTTTTGCATCTTTTTTTTCATTGTTGCATCTTTAAAGTGAACAGGCTTGCTTTTGATTCCACCCTTCATTAAAATGTTTTACCTTGACGACTCTCAAGGGATGGGGTAGAGGTGGATACTGGAGAGCTCGGAAGGTTTTCAGCTCTTTGCTTAAGACTGCAGTACTTACTGGCTTAGTTCAGACTACCTTACTTTCATAAACCAGTAAGAGATATAGACAGAAATGATCAAGATTTAGCAATAGCTAAATATTTATTATTTATAATATCTATTAGCAATAGCTAAATCTACCCCTCACCAAGAAAGTAGAGTTGTTAGAAAGAATTAGGGAGCGGGGCAGAGGGTATGGTTGAGGAGGAGAGATTTAGAAATATGAATATCCTTAAAGTGCCAAAACCCCAATGATTCTGAGAACTGTAGACTTCTCTAAAAATCACATATCCCATACACTAAATTTTGAAAGTCTTTGAAAATTGTAGAAGGTTAGTGGCCCTTTTGAAAATGAGTATTGCTATTTCGCTTCAAAATGTTTCAAAATACAAATCAGACTTAAGGTGTAACTTGACATTTCATAGCATTTTGTCAGAATTGCCAGTTTCCTTACTATAAATAGATAAACCTAATAGGTAAGTGACATGCTGAAAAAGATTTTACTTTATTCTTTTTTTTTTTTTTAAAGATTTTATTTATTTATTTGTGAGAGAGAATGAGAGACAGAGAGCACGAGAGGGAGGAGGGTCAGAGGGAGAAGCAGACTCCCTGCCGAGCAGGGAGCCCGATGTGGGACTCGATCCAGGGACTCCAGGATCATGACCTGAGCCGAAGGCAGTCGCTTAACCGACTGAGCCACCCAGGCGCCCCATTTTACTTTATTCTTTTATCGGTGGATGGACCACACTCCTAGAAAATTAGGAAAAACAAATTCTCCTGGGTCATTTGGTACGTTTCCAGGCTTTGGTTTTGGCATTACTACTTTGGTTATGGGCTCAAAACTCAGAATTTGGTGAGTCTTGAGAGTGGGTGGTGCTGTAGGTGGAGAATGGAAGGAGGCGTTACAAAGTTCAGCGTAATAGCAGCCCCTCATATGCCATAACCTCACTGTCTTCTGTGCCATAATTATACTTTGAGAGCAGAGATCCTTGGTAAGAGTGGATACTATGGTGCCATTATAGAGGATTTCAAGTAGGGAGCTTACTATTCTTGGAAGTTTTCATCACCACAGTCTACCTTAGCCTGTTGACTATTCCTATGTATAAGTTATGGGACATCAAAAACTGTGTCCTTCGCCTCTGAAATGTTCTTTCTTGGTCCTTAGAGGTGGACACATTTATCAGAAATTACTGTTGTTTTGTTTTGGTATGGCCTTTTATATATATATCCCCAAGATCATCTAAGTATAGGAAATTAGATACTTTGTCTTATCCCATACACTATAAGGGATAATTTGACGTGTCCATGGTTTTCGTTTTTTTGGGGGGGGGTGTTTCTGGGTTTTGTTTTTGTTTTTTTTTTTTTTTAAGTTTTTTTACTTATTAGAGCGTGCATGTGGGCGGGAAAGGGAGAGAGAATCTGAGGTAGACTCTGTGCTGAGCGCAGAGCCTGATGCGGGGCTTGATCCCGTAGCCATGAGATCATGACCTGAGCCGAAACCAAGAGTCGGACACTTAACCGACTATGCCACCCAGGCGCCCCCCTTTTTATTTTGTTTTTAAGATTTTATTTATTCATTTATTTTAGAGACGGTGGGGGGAGAGAGGGACAGAAGGAGAAGGAGAGACTCTCAAGCCGACTCTGCTCTGAGCATGGAGTCCAATGTGGGGCTCAGTCTCACAACCCTGAGATCATGACCTGAGCCAAAATCAAGAGTTGACACTCAACCGACTGAGCCACCCAGGTGCCCTGTGTCCATGTTCTTAAAGAGCTGCTTACAAACCCATATGAGAAGATGGTAGCTGAGGGGCGCCTGGGTGGCTCAGTTGGTTAAGCAACTGCCTTCAGCTCAGGTCATGATCCTGGAGTCCCTGGATCGAGTCCTGCATCGGGCTCCCTGCTCGGCAGGGAACCTGCTTCTCCCTCTGACCCTCCCCCCTCTCATGTGCTCTCTCTCTCTCTCTCATTCTGTCTCAAATTAAAAAAAAAAAAAAAATCTTAAAAAAAAAGGAAGATGGTAGCTGATCTGTGGTAATTATGGGAAAGGTTATAGTATCTGTCCTCATTAGCTGAGTGTTCTGTGTTGGTTGATGGAAAGAAAAAAGAAATGAATTAAATTGGTAGTCCATTCTTCTCCATGGTAGATGTGCTTAGTTTGGAAAGAGTACTGGACATTGTTGAAAAGGGAAGATATTTATATTCCTTGTCCCGTTACTCAGTTTTCTCTCTGCTGAAGGTAACAGGTATGTTTCCTCACATTCCTGTCTTGTTGTTTGCTTGCAGCCCAATGCCTTGGCACATTAATTCTGTGACCCTATAGTCTTTTTCAGGGCAGCGCTTGAAAGTTGGAAATAATATAGAAATGTGTACCTTCTGTAGCAGGTCTAATCAGAGAGTTGTCTCCCAAAACCAGGCAAGAGCTAAAGGAAGCATAAATCCAGTGTGAATGAAAAGTGAAAAGTCACAGTTGGATATAAACAAGGGGGAAGTGAAAGGCAAAATATAAAACAGAGGATTTCAGTGTGTACCCACTTGAGAGTGCTCACTGTGCTGGAGTGAAACCTGAGAGTTACTAAGAATAACTTCACATATCCAGGCAGTCAGGTCTGGTGTGTGGGAGAGAGAATAGAATCCTGATTCAGATGCTGTACTCCCTGTCCTGGATACAGAGCAGCACTATCCACTTTGCCTATTCTTCGTATAGTTTAGATTCACTGCTTACCTCCACTGGGAAGCTTTTGGAGGTCACAGAGGATTCTGGCAGCCCTTGGAAAGGATATTTTTATTGGATTGGATTATAACTTGAGAGTTGCCCAGCTCCCAGAAGAGTAGGACCTAATCCATTTCCCTTAAGTAAGTGGGTTTTTTTGTTTTGTTTTTTTAAGTTTGTTTTTTCAGCTTTGTTTGTTGACTGGCAAGATTTTTTTCAAATAAAAAGGACAGGGTGTAAGTTAAAAGTAAAGCTAAATGTTGCCTTTTGCTGGTTTACCTTGCGGATGGCATTTAAGATCCTAGAATACACGTAACTTCTCAGTTAGGTTGCCTTTCTGCCTGATACTTGTGAAGATAGTGTCTATTCTGCCTGGTCTCAGGACAGGCAGAGAAGATCTGGCATAGCAGCCAAACTCAAGAAAGCCTGCTGCTTCAGTTTTGACTTACGGAAGACTATTCTCTTTACAGATTTTTGTAGCTCAAGTAGCAGCCCTTCTTTCCAGCCCATCAAAAGCCACATAACCATTCCAACAGCCCATGTGATACCTTCTACTTTGGGGACCTCTCCTGCCAAGCCAAATTCTATACCTGCTGGACTCTCTTCCTCCAAACTCCCTTTGTCAGGGCTGGCTGAAGGTGTGGGGATGACAAGAAATGGAGACCTAGGTGCAATGAAACGTTCTACAGGCCTGTCTAGAGATTTCATGTATCTTTGTGGTGCTACTGGAGAAAATGGAATTGAGCAGTCCTGGTTTCCAGCAGTGGGCCATGAAAGAGAAGAAGAGGTGAGGAAGTTTGATATTCCCAGTATGGAGTCTACCCTTAATCAGTCGGCAATGATGGAGACACTTTATTCAGATCCTCACTACCAAGTCCACTTTCACAACCCAAGAGCTGACACAAACAAGGAGTTATACAAAGTGTTGCCTGAGACCAAGAAGGCACCGGGCAGTGGGGTGGTATGTGAGCGGAATGGACCTCACCCTAATAGCAGTGGAGTGCTCCCTTTGGGACTCCAACCTGCTCCTGGCTTCTCCAAGCCTCTACCCTCTCAGGTATGGCAACCGAACCCTGACCCTTGGCACCCCCGTGAGCGATCTTGCGAGCTCAGCACTTGTCGTCAGCATCTGGAGTTGATCCGTTTACAGATGGAACAAATGCAGGTAGGGGCCCTTCTTTCCTTGGATTTGGTGGGTTCTTTGCAGATCTTAGAACTATATAGGTTTTGTCCTGTAAGTTTTGGCTCTAAAGAAAACATTTGTAAGAAAGATGTAAGATGTTTATAGATGGAAAATGAAAGCTTGTGAATACCATTGAATGTGGTGGTCGTCTAATTAAACAGCAAATAGGTCCTCCAGAGTAGAGGGTTACAACAGAAGACCCCAGGAGGTGTGACACTAACACTAATTGTGTACTTATGTACCAGTCACTAGGCTAGGTACTTTCACATACAGAATCTTAATTTAATCCTTGTAGCACTTTGATGAGGTAAATGTAGAAATTTACCAGGTTCTTAGAATAAGTAATCTGTCCAGGGTCACAAAGCTGGTAAGTAGCAGAGCTAGGGTTTAAAAACTATCTCTAAACCCCTGTGTTTCTTCCATTATACCAATTTTTGTGTTAAAAAAAAAAAATGCCTTGTGCTGCTTAAGGAAGGAAAAAAAAGCAAGACATACTCTCCTTTCCTGGTTGGTGAGGACATCTTAGCTCCTGGTTTGCCTCTCTTGCCAGATAATGAAAGATAAGTGACCTTTTCTTAGAAACTAGAGCCTTTATGAGCAGGGAGTGTCCAGTTGGCAGAAATCTCCCTGGCAGGTTCTTTCCAGTCATGCATCAGAGCTAAAATTATTTCATAAACACTGGGCCTCCTCAGGCTGAGCCAAAGTGAGCCTTGACTAGAGACCCAGCTGGGTACTGCTCAGGTGTTTTCAGGTGCCTGTGGGTCAAGATCAAGCCCCTCTGGGCCTCCTTGTCTTCCAGCTTCAGAATGGAGCCATCTGCCACCATCCCGCTGCATTTGCTCCATCACTGCCCCCATTAGAACCAGCACAGTGGATCAGCATCTTAAACAGTAATGAACACCTTCTGAAGGAAAAGGAGCTCCTCATTGACAAGTAAGAGGTCAAGGGATGCCCTAGGACCAATATCTGCTCTCCCAGCCCCCACTGAGGTCACCTAATGAGGTCTCTCCAAGGGTAGCACATCCCTCTCTGTTTGAATCCATGCCTTGCCTCATGGTAGAGCTAGGTTGATAAGCAACCTAGTCCTATATCTGACTAATGGGACGGGCCAATTGTGTATCCTCTGCAGGGACTCTGGGAGTGCCTAAAGTGGACATCCAGTTCTTTGTAGCTGATCTTTCCTCATTTCCCCCAAGTCAGCTTTCTTACTTGCTCTTCCTTCTTCAGCAAAACAGTGTTATCCAGATGCAAGGCCTTTGCTTAACATAGTATGAATTGTACTCATGTTGCAAGTGGGTTAGTGTCAGGACCCTGGACCTCATTCTACTGGCTTTTGCAGGCAGAGGAAACACATCTCTCAGCTGGAGCAGAAAGTACGGGAAAGTGAACTGCAAGTCCACAGTGCCCTTTTGGGCCGCCCTGCCCCCTTTGGGGATGTCTGCTTGCTGAGGCTGCAGGTAAGCATTGGCAGCCAGAATGACATTCTGGTTGTCATAACTCAGTGTCTTCCCTTTGCTTGGTACTGCTAGGTATCCAGGAGATAGAAAAAGGATCAAGTGATATAAGGTGTTCTTGCCCTTAATGGGTAGGCATCCTAATTATAATGCATCCCTTGTTCTGCCTTTGTGGGGGCAGAGAAGGCTCGGGGGTAGAATTAGGTATGCCTTGGTGTCAGGACATACTTGGGAGAAAATGAAGGCAGATCAAGGTACATAGTAAGGTTCTAGAGTTGGGTGATGTTCTGAGAAGTCTTTTTCTCTTTTTTTAAGATTTTATTTATTTGAGAGAGAGAATGAGAGAGAGCACATGAGAGGGGGGAGGGTCAGAGGGAGAAGCAGACTCCCTGCGGAGCAGGGAGCCCCATGCGGGACTCGATCCCGGGACTCCAGGATCATGACCTGAGCCGAAGGCAGTCGCTTAACCAACTGAGCCACCCAGGCGCCCCTGAGAAGTCTTAATCTACCAGCCTTAGCCCAATGGAGGGAGAGGCAGAGGTAATGGGATTTAGAGCCATGCTCATTTTTTTATTTTTCCATGTCTAGGAGCAACTAAAGGAAGCCATGTTTTCACTGAGGGCAGTGGCTCCTAAAAAAGCCTGCTCTGTTCACTTCTTCTGCAATATGGGCTTTTGAGTGATGGGTATTAGACAGATTATAGTACTGGCTTTGCCACCTAGTGGGCCTGTTCAGACAGTGTTCTATCTTATAGAATCAGAATGTTAGAGTGAGAAAGGCCCTTACATAAAATCTAGTTCAGTCCTCTAATTTACTGGTGAAAAAATTGAGGCCCAAGAAGGAGGAAGAACTTTTGCCCAAGATCAGAGAGAGAATGAGTAGAGGAGAAAATTTGAGTGTGCTTCAGAATCACCTGAAGGGCTTGTTAAAACACAGGTTACTGAGCCCCATCCTCAGAGTTTTCTGATTTAGTGTGCTGGGAGTTGGGCTCAAGAAGTTTTCTTTCTTTCTTTTTTTTTTTTAAGATTTTATTTATTTCTTTGACAGAGAGAGAGCGAGCGAGAGCAGGAACACAAGCAGGGGGAGGGGGAGAGGAAGAAGCAGGCTTCCCCGCGGAGCAGGGAGCCCGATGCGGGGCTGGAGCCCGATGCGGGGCTCGATCCCAGGACCCTGGGATCATGACCTGAGCTGAAGGCAGACGCTTAACGACTGAGCCACCCAGGCGCCCCCCAAGAATTTTTATTTCTGACAAATCCCCAGGTGATGCTGAAGATGTTAGTCCTAGGACCATGCTGTGAGAAGCACTGCTTGAAGAAATTCTTAGAGAAGGATGATATTTGACCACAAAGTAGACTGAGGATAACTAAAGTACATGGGGCCATAAGGTTGAGGAACAGTTATGTATTGAGAATCTTTATGCAGGAATTGCAGCGAGAGAACACTTTCTTACGTGCGCAGTTTGCACAGAAGACAGAAGCCCTGAGCAAAGAAAAGATCGAGCTTGAAAAGAAACTCTCTGCTTCAGAAGTTGAAATCCAGCTCATCAGAGAATCACTCAAAGTGGCGTTGCAGAAGCACTCAGAGGAGGGGAAGAAACAGGAAGAAAGGGTGAGCTAAGGAGTTGGTAGCTTTCTAATTCACAAAGGAGTTGGCAGTCAGCCTTCTCCTGCCGAACCCTAAGCTGTTTCTGGCCCCCGTTCTTGGAACTAGGCGGAACCAATTGGGTGAGATCCTGCATTGACTTCTCGTGCAGGACTGGTCTGCTAGAAATGGCACCCCTCCTTTTGCTTCATCTCCACAAAACTGCCACAGACAGAACGTCCCTCACTGCCCCAGGTTGTGATGGGCTTCCAACTGACCTGGGTAGAAAACCAGCCTGGGCAGTCATACCGGATGGTACTGTTGCAAGATGTTTAAACATCTATGGTAAATTTACATCATTCAGCCGAGTTTTTCCTTATTCTACCTAAAAATTAGAAAAGAATTCTGTGTGTGCAGCCAGTTTGGGAATTTTTACATTTTTACCTTAGAATTGCCTTAGGGTAAGATTGGTCATCGTAGAAGGAGCTGATTTAAAATCTTTTGCTTCTGTTTCACAGCTTGCTCTAATGCAGATGTTCTTGGGGGACCAGTTAGTAATGTTTAGTTCTGGACCACTTGCATCAAAATCAACCAGAGCAGTGCTTCTTAAACTTTAATGTGCTTAAGAATCACTGGGTCATCTTGTTTAAAATTCAGATCCAGGGGCACCTGGCTGGCTCAGTCTCAGTGGAGCGTGTGACTCTTGATCTCGGGGTTGTGAGTTTGAGCCCCACGTTTGGTGTAGAGATTACTTAACATCTTTTCTTTTTTTCTTAAGTAAAATAAAACACAGATCCAGATTTAATACTTCTGGGGTGGGATGTGCCTGAAATCCTACATTTTTAACAATCTCCCAGGTGACATTGCGGCACTAGGATAGCAAGGACTTAGAGGCTTGTTTAAAAAGAAACTTTCAGTCAAAATACATGTATCTCAGTTATATAATCAAATACCAATATGTTTATAATAAAACTTAGTAGCTCTGTACCCAACTCCACTCCACAGAGATTTCCATCTTTAACTCTTTTTCTCCTGACATATACCTTTATATTTCTGAGTAGTATTCTTTTTTTTTTTTTTTAGAGATTTTATTTATTTATTTGAGAGAGAGTGAGAGAGAGAAAGAGCACAAGAGGGGGGAGAGGGAGAAGCAGACTCCTTGCTGAGCAGGGAGCCCGATGCGAGACTCGATCCTGGGACTCCAGGATCATGACCTGAGCCGAAGGCAGTCGCTTAACCAACTGAGCCACCCAGGCGCCCTCTGAATAGTATTCTTGAGGTTTTTGCTGTTTTTGTTTCATGGGTGCAGTATCTTCTCTCTCTGATGATACTGATTTTATCTTTTGAGATGTCTACATCTACTTACAGTGTTGTTTCTTTTTTTTTTTTTTTTCCAGAACGTTTTGTTTTGTTTCGGTGTCTTTCACGTCAGAGGCTTGGTGATCCTTGAATGAATGGGCACTCATGTTTAAGAATGAAGTATTTAGGGGCGCCTGGGTGGCTCAGTCGTTAAGCGTCTGCCTTCAGCTCAGGTCATGATCCCGGGGTCCTGGGATCGAGCCCCGCGTCGGGCTCCCTGCTCAGCGGGGAGTCTGCTTCTCACTCTCCCCCCTGCTTGTGTTCCCTCTTTCGCTGTGTCTCTGTCAAATAAATAAATAAAAATCTTTAAAAAAAAAGAATGAAGTATTTAAAAGCTGGATAGAAGCTCTGGGTTCATGGTAATTTCCTGGTGGACTGCATTATAGGATAGTCAGATTTAGACTGCCTTCTCACTTGGGAGCCCTCAAATATTAGTATCTGAATGTCTTATCTCACTCTCTCCAGAAAAAGAATCAGTCTTCAGCCTGCTGCTTAGTTGGGAGGCTGAGGACAAGAATGCTTTTGGCCTTTAGGACCTCAATATTGAGAAAGAGATTAGGCTTAGAGTCCCACAGCTCTATAAATAGATTTTTACTTATACTTACTTTCAACCCAGTGCTGCACTCTCTCTGCTGTGACTGATATCCCTGAGTTTGGAATCTCCCTCATCTGATTTCTCCAGAGAATAAATTTCCTCCAGTCTCCTGTTAGGGAAATCTAGGGTAAAAATGGTATCCAGCTAACCTGTATATAGACTTCCAGAGAGTGCCCTATTTTCAGATCTGTGGCTGATACCTGCCTCACACGTACCTGGTACTTCAAGTACAGAGGTACTTGTGCGGTGTGAAGGGCACATTGTTTTCCAAGTTGTCTGTAACTCCCTTTGCAGGTTATAACTCTTCTCTAAGTAATTTATCTCCCGTCTACTTTCATCTTCTGTAAATACATTGAAATCTCATACACTTTTGCCTCCTCCTCTATTAAACTTTTTAAAATTAGTACTTTATTTCCTTTCTGTCATTTTAGAAATGCTTTGGAAGGGAGAAGAGATAAACATCTGTGGGTAATCCACCATTTTTTTAATTCAAAGATTTCCCCAATAAGAGACTGGAGATTTATTCTCTGGAGAAATCAGATGAGGGAGATTCCAGACTCAGAGATATCAGCATTTTCAGTAAGCTTCCCAGCTGAGTCTGAGGCACATTAAAATGTGAGAATCACTGCTTTAGAGCTTGAAAGGGTACAGGTTATACCAGGAGTAAAGCCTTTGGCTAAGTACTTTCTTATCTTTGGATTAAATTAGGTCTGTGTTTCCTTTTGACATCAGTAGATCTGCCTTTGTCTCTGCTTTCTCTTGCTTCCTTCAGCATCCTTTTTTCATAAGCCAAAGAAAAAACCATAATAGTGAAGAAAAAGTCTCCATTCAGCAAATCTTGGTTGGTGCCCACTCTGTGCCAAGCATCGTGCTTGGCACATCATACTGGGGCTATGATAATGAGTAAAATGGACACAGCTCCTTCTCAAGAAGTTTAGAGTCTCATTAACCCTTCCAGGTGATTGCTTAACTTTAAATCATATGTGGTGTTTAGGGAAGAATGCATTACTTATCTCACTGGGACAGACCAGACCACTATGAATAACAAAGACACTATCATTATTTGGGAAATTCTAAGAGTTTAGAAGTTTTCTCCCAGACCAGGAACCCAGGACAAAAACCAGAAAAATTCTTTTTAACAGGCATACCTTGTCTTATTGTGCTTCACTTTATTGTGTTTCTCAGATACTGCATTTTTTACAGATTGAAGGTTTTTGGCAACCCTGCCTCAAACAAGTCTGTTGGTGGCATTTTTCCAACAGCATTTGCTCACTTCATATCTCTGTGTCATATTTTGGTGATTTTTGCAATATTTCAAACTTTTTGATTATTATTATTATGTCTGTTATAGTGATCTGTGATTAGTGATTAAGACTTACTGAAAGCTCAGATGATGATTAGTATGTTTCAGCTAAAGTTTTTTTTTTCAGATTTATTTATTTTTTAGAGAGAGTCGGGGAGAGGGGGAGGGGAGAAGGAGAGAGTCTTAAGCAGACTCCATGTTGAGTGTGGAGCCCAATTCGGGGCTCAGTCTCATGGCCCTGAGATCATAACCTGAGCCTAAGAGTTGGATGCTTAGCCAACTATGCCACCCAGGCACCCCAGCGATAAAATATTTTTTTAATTAAGACATGTACATTGTTGGGACTGCCTGGGTGGCTCAGTCAGTTAAGTGCCTGCCTTCAGCTCGGGTCATGATCCCAGGGTCCTGGGATTGAGTCCCGCATTGGGCTCCTTGCTCTGTAGGGAGCCTACTTCTCCCTCTGCCTGCTCTGCCTGCCGCTCCCCCTGCTTGTGCTCTCTCTCTCTGACAAATAAATAAAATCTTAAAAAAAAAAAAAGACATGTACATTGTTTTTACATATAATGCTATCACACACTTCATAGACTACAGTATAGTGTAAACATAACTTTTACATGCACTGGGACACCAGAAAATTCATTTGACCTGCTTTATTGTGATAACTCGCTTTATTGCAGTGGTCTGGAACCAAACCTGCAGTGTCGCCCAGGTATGCCTGTATATAGAAGTGCTACCAGTTTTTAAAAACTGCCCAAGGAGCCCTTCTTCCCTACCCTTGATTGGAAAATTCAGGTGTGTTAACTCTGCAGTTTATGCCCTAATCTTAAATGGCAAAATTTGATCACCTCCCTACCTTCATTGCAGTAGAACAACATTTACAGCCCTAAGGGCAGAGACAACAATGGTCACTTCAGAAAAAATGTGATGTTCAAGGTCCTAGAGGAGTCAGTGGAGACAGATTCTTGACACTTCTTTCCCTAGGTAAAGGGTCGTGATAAGCATATCAATAATTTGAAAAAGAAATGTCAGAAGGAATCAGAACAGAACCGGGAGAAGCAGCAACGTATTGAGACCTTGGAGCGCTACTTGGCTGACCTGCCCACCCTGGAAGACCATCAGAAGCAGAGCCAGCAGGTAGCAGCAATGTCTGGGTGTACCTGGGGCAAGCAAGAGAGTAGCCAAGCAGGGGCACTTTCTCAGTCTCTGCTCTAAGCAGTTACACTGTGGTTTCCCGAAAGGAAAAACCCAAAGGAGTCATGTCCAGACTCACATCTGTCAACTTTGCAACTGGACTGCAAAGTTTTTGAGATACTCAGTCTTCCTTGGCTTGTTGACCTAAGCATGGGATCCTGTCTCTCAGCTTAAGGATTCTGAGTTGAAGAGTACAGAGCTGCAGGAGAGAGTGACTGAGCTGGAGAGTTTGCTGGAGGAGACCCAGGCAGCATGCAGAGAGAAGGAAGTTCAGCTGGAAAGCCTGAGACAGAAAGGAGCAGAATTCTCCACTAGACATAGGTAAATATCTCAGTGTGATTGAGGAAAGGAGTAGAGAGCTAAGTGTGCTCCACTCACTACCTGTGTGACTTTGGGCAAATCACTTTACTTTTCTGAGCTTCGTTTCTTTGGGATGTGAGTAATAGGAAAGCTGCGTATGGGTAAGGAATAGGTCTTTGAGATGGAGAGTGGAGGGTGTAGTGTTGCAGTGGGGGCTTGTTATTGTATCCTTTGGAAGGTCCAACTCAGTGCCTGGCATGATAATACTGGATAATAATCTCTGAGTATGTATGTGTTGAATGAAGGGAGCCACTTTATAAACTGGGAAATTAGTTGTCTGTATATTTGCAAAAGCATATCCTGGTGTTAGGGACTGGGGAGGAAGGGGGTTATCTACATTTTGAACCTTGTAAGCTGAAGGCTACCAGCAACATCTATTTCTCTTCAGCCCTAGGAATTGTTCTGTCGATGGTCACAACAGGTTCTAAGAACAAAGCAGGATGCCATAATATACTCTCAGAGTGTCTTGAGAACCTCTTCCATATTAATTGCAGTTTCTGAAAATGTGATGGCTGTGTTTCAGCAGCCTCTTGAACCAAATCCAGTTTCTAATGGGATGGATTGGATTTCTCATGCCATGTTCAACCACAGTGACCCTGTTGTTTATCTCAGCAGATGAACCATGATGAAAGTGATTGTAGGGATCCATTGGAGGAGACCAGTGGTTGGAGTCAGAAGAGAGGTTGGAGTCAAAGTTGACTCTGCCCCAGACTTTGTGTGCCAGGAAAAAAGTTTTTTCTTGTATTTTCCAATATTTCTGCAGTATACATGTATGACTTTTCTAATCTGAATACCTGTGATGAATGTTTATTTTTAAATATCAAAACAAATATAAAAGAGCTTTGGGCAGGTAGAAAATTGGTGGCACATTAGATAGATGCTGGCCTCTAGGGAAGGAAACTAACACTAGGCAGCCTGTGTGTGGCACACCCTATGTTACAAAAGACCTAACATTATCCCCAGCTACGGCTTGGAAGCGCCTGAAGTGTCTTACCCCCAAATATACAGTAAATACTAGAATCAGGAGTCAAAGCCACATCTGTCTGACTTCAAAATTCTTGAAGAGGCCGCTGTTTTTCAGCCTGCAAGATAAGCAGTGTGTGGAGGAGGCCAGTGGAGAAGATCCAGCCCAACAGGGAGAAGGTCCAAAAGTGGAAATGGAGTCCTGGCAGAAAGAATGTGATTCCCTCCGAAAGGTGACTGAGAGTGTCCAGGCTGTAATAGAGGGCAGGCTGAGAGGAAAGAAAAGATTGTGTACTGAGAAGGAACCATGAATTTCTGGCCCTAGGCCACCTAAGATCTGTTACCCAGAGCTTTCCTCCCTTTTCTGAGAAGTCACCCCTGCATAATGTTTGCATTTTAGATATTTATCCTTATGACAGGCAAGCAGAGTTAGGGGAGGATATGCTTCTGAACATCTAAACTAGATGCTCCAAAATGGTGCACTGAAGCTTGGTGCACTTCATTCATGGCTTAGGCCCCATACAGACCTCTTATACTGGGCAGAGTTCTAACCAGTGGGGTGGCCCTAATTCAGTAGAGAAGAAAGTCTCCAAACCTGTTGGTGAGGCTGAGGGCAAGTCAGCAAAACAGAAGACCCAGAAATGGTTCAGAGAACACCTGAGGTCTCAAAGGACAGGAAACTGGGCCTGTTCAGTTTCTCTCCTTAGACAATCAGTGTGACCAAACTATAAATCATAGCATCTACCACAGCCCTGGGTAGGATAGACTTCATTAAATTGAATTTTTAGTCATGTCCTTTACTAAACCAAAATGTAAACTGGTTATGTATAAAGTTTATTCCACTGGCCCACAGTCATCAGGGTGGGTTCCCCCAGTAGTGGTCATAGGTCCACACTACATTCCTGTTTAAACCTCTTTGTGAGTTGAATACAGAAGTGTGAAGCTAGTTAGCTAGGATAGGGAGTCTGGATTATATTTCTGTACGTAGAGCTAATTGTTTTCACCCTGGTTTCACTGTTGATTGGCTATAGCCAGTGGGTCTAATAGCCAGACCACAGATCCTTGTGTAGCTTCTTGCCCTCTGACCTCACTGTCAGCCTGTGCTTATAGGCTTCCTTGATAACTTTGCCTTTCAGGTTGTGGAGAAGCAACAGCAGAAGATGGATCAGCTGCGTTTACAAGTACAGGTGAGCTGGTGTCCTTGTGATACGGTAGGCAGGGCTTGACGGCATCTCTAGAATTCAGCCAACTCTATTCTGTGTCATACAGTTTGCCCAGTTGTTGGGAGTATAGCAAGAATGAGGCCCAATCAATGCTTCTAGCCTACAATCTTGTTGGGAAGGGGTTTCAGCACAGTATTATGAGAGCAACGTTCATGTTACTTTGGGGGAGCATAGAAGAGTCAGTGAGAGCAGCGGAGGTTAAGGAAGGGTTTCTGGAGATCATGAGCCTGGAAGGAGGAGGAAGAGTTAGCCAGGCAAAGAAGAGCTGGATAGGTTGCTTTTGGAATTCCAGATAGAAGGAATAGCACTGGTAGGAACATGGAGGCATGAAACAGCAGAGTTTGCACACAGAGCTGCAAGCAGTCTGATATTGTCGAAGTAAGGTGGTGTGTAGAAACTGGGCTAACTCCAACTAAGTTTGCTTTTATTCTTTTGATAGGTGATGGGAATCTACTATAAAGATTTATTTTGGAGAGAAAGCACTCGCAAGCAGGGGGAGGGGCAAGGGAGGGGGGAGAGAGAATCTCAAGCAGACTCCCCTCTGAGTGTGGAGCTTGATGTGGGGCTCAATCCCAGGACCCTGAGATCAATGCCCTGAGCTGAAATCAAGAGCCAGATGCTTAACTGACTGAGCTACCCAGGCGCCCCATGGACATCTACTATAGAATTTAATTTGGGAGTGATGTGGTTAGATTTGCAACTCAGGCTTGAGTGTGGAAAGAAGAGTGGCATTTGGAGAGAGGCAAGGCCGGAGGCTGGTGGACTACTACAGAAATTCTGTGAGAGATGATGAAGGAACCTGGCATAAGGCAGCATAGCAAGGAAGAGATGTGAGGGAACTGATTTAAGTGAATTTTTGGAGGTAAAATTGAGAGGAATCAGTGACTGACAAGATGTAGGGAGTTAAAGAATAAGGAAAAATTAAAGACTCCTGGTTTCTATTTTGGGCCAGAGTGTGTGTGTGGGGGTGGGTTTCCTTAATTGGGTTCTCCAAGAAATCCTAAGCAAAACAGGTTCACTCAGGTTCTCTTTGGACTCCAAAAGAGTTTTCACACCAAAACAAGTGAAATGCACTCCTCTGAGAACAGCTCAAAGCTGCAGTTCTGCCTTTGCCATATCATGTGGGTCAGGCTGTGTCTGTCTAGTTCCCCTATTTCAAGTCCTGTAAGGATAGTCAAGCCTAGTGAGTGTTTATACCCATCTAAAATCCCAGATTCTTGGTAGAGTTTTTAATGGATCTCAGATACATTTCCTGGAACCCACAGGTTCCACAAAGGTTGAAAAAGCCCAACATTTAAGTGGTACATTTACCCATGATGAAACTCCTCAGGCAAATTAAAGTATCAGGTGCATTTGCTGGAATCGGGTAGATTCACAATGGTCACCTAGTGTATTTCATGGTGATGAGATGTTCTCTTTTGGAAGTTACATTTTTTTATTAATACAAAATGGAAAATTCAGAAAATTGTTAAATACTTGATTCAAATAAGTTTCAAATTTGGGGGAAGGGATTGGAATGAATAGGATGAGAGGCAAAAAATAGCAAACATAAATACCTCCCTCTCCCTGACCATCCCTACACACACACACACACACACACTTTTTTTCCTTCCCTCCCTCCTAACTAGATTAGGTGCCTGTGGGAGTGCTATCCTACCTTTTATCTCTGTCAGAAGCATTTAATATACAGTGTTCTCAAGGGCTTTGGCTGTGAGCTCCTCAAAGACAGGTATTGTTCGGTATTGTCAGTATCCTCAGTGCGTGTCACAGTAAGTGCTCAATAAATACTGAACTCAACTGACTGGACATTCCCTGCCCTCAAGAAAGTTAATGGAGGGGGGAGTCATGTGCACAGCCAACAAATGTATTCATGAACCATGACGGAAGTGTGAGTAGCAGGGCGAGAGTACGATTAATAGGATCTGATTTGCGGATTGAGGAAGGCTCAGGTGGGCCTTGAAGGACTCCCGGGTGACAGCAGAGCCGGAGAGTAGCCTGGGCACAGGGGAAGGGGGGTACGCAACAGCACTGGAGCTGGGGCCTTTGGGAATGAGGACTGTTCAGTCATCTGGTGGGACTGGAGTGGAGGCTGTGTGGAAGATAAGAAGAGATATGGCTAGAAAAGTAGGTAAGGGCCAAACTGGCCTGAAATGCCCTGCCGAGAAGCTGGCCTCTAGTGGGTACATGGTCAGTGACTTATAGGAGCGTTTCAAAGGGAAGTAGCAGATCAGGGCTGTCCTAAGGTAATCTCTTAGCAGTGTGTGGTGGGGTGGGGCTTTACTATGTCGTCCAGGCCGAAGGTGATGCGGTCTGAACCAGATTTGTTACTCATGTGTAATCGTACCCTTCAGAGCCTAGAGCAAGAAGTGGCTCAGGAAGAAGGAACAAGCCAGGCCCTGAAAGAGGAGGCCCAGCGGAGGGAGACAGCTCTGCAGCAGCTGCGTACAGCCGTGAAGGAGGTGAGTGGCATTAGCTGGGCTTCTCGGTACTGCCTCCACAAACCTGATTGTTCTGTGAACCCTCCCCATCCCTACTGCCACAAGAGCCCTCATGTTTGAGAGATCCCTGCTGAGCTTTTTTGGCAGAAGAATGGGAAGGGACATTGCACCATCCTTTTTATTAAAGGTCCTAAGCCCATCTTAGAGTGGCCATAATTACCCAGGAATGCTTTTTGGATGTGAGAAGTCAGTCTCTCTCCCTTTGTCTTCTGTAGCCACAGGTTTGTGGGGCTGGGGAGGAAGGGTTCAAGAAGACTGAGAGCTTGGTGGTCCTCATGTAATAAACAGAGCAGTCAGCAAGGGGTGACCAAGTTCACTGACCTAGGAAGGAGTCTCTCAGAGCTGGGATTGTCACATGGCCCAGTGTGGGTGAAGGGCAGGGACTGGAGAAGCAAGTATTCAGTGTCTTTAAATCGGAATTGAGATAGGAAGGGGAGAATGGGTTGAGCTGTTCAGGGAGAGGGAAGGGAGGGAAGGAGACACAGACATACCTGAGTAGCCGGTCTTTGTAGGAGAAGCCTGACACCACTGAGGTGAAAGTGTGAAAAGACAGGTAGGACACATTCTAGCACTGTGTTCTCCAGGTTCCTAGTTCTCCAGCCCCCCACCCAGTGGCCGGCCACTAGCTGTATTGTGCACTGTCTTTCTTGCCCCCTTTATTCCTCTGACACACACTGATGAGGCTGGCTCGTGGCCACTTTTGTCAGGGTGGCAGGGAGAGATTGAAACCAGTGTCTCCTCAGATTTCACAGTTCACGTTAAGCCTTCTCTAATAGCCTGGTTAACAGAGTTGGCCGAGGGACTGGCTTCAGATAGAGTTCCGAGGGGCGGGAGTATTATCTCTGGTTCCTGAACAGAAACCTCTGCAGGCTGATGACTCAGAGTCTGCTGGGGAGTGGTTTCCTCTCCAGTGCTGGAACCCTACGGGCCCCATCTACCTGCAGGAGAATTTAGGCCCAATATTAAGAGTGGGGGGAGTACTAAGCCTGGTGGTAGGGGTTGCGGCGGGGGTGGGGGGTGGGGTGGCGTGATATCACCTATGACTCATATATAACCACACACAGGTACAGATATTCTGCCCTTCCCTGGGCCTGGGTTAATGTGTTTGCCCATCTGTCTGCTCAGCTTTCAGTGCAGAACCAGGACCTGATTGAGAAGAATCTGACACTCCAGGAACACCTGCGCCAGGCCCAACCAGGGTCCCCATCTTCACCAGACACAGCCCAGCTGGCATTTGAGCTGCACCAGGAGTTGGCCAGTTGCCTTCAAGATCTGCAGGCTGTCTGTAGTATCGTGACCCAGAGGGCCCAGGGCCATGACCCCAATCTCTCCCTGCTCCTGGGCATTCACTGTGAGTTCTCAGGCCAGTCTGGGACCCAGGAGAGAGTGGTTCTCGTTCTCTTGTCACCCCACCCAGCTTTCCCATCCTTACTTGTGTGAACAAGGCTTTGTAGGCCTGGTCACTGCCCCCTGGGAGTTTATGTGTTTAGCAAAGTAGACAGTAAATCTGCTTTGGAAACAGGCATCCTTATGGGTACCTGAATGCAGGATGAACAGAAAATGGTCCTGAGGCAGCAAGTTTTCAGCTCAGGTCTTGATCTCAGTCCGGGTCATGCATTCAAGCTCTGCATTGGGCTCTGTGCTGGGCATGTAGCCTACTTAAAACAAACAAAGCAACGTGCTATGTCCCCAGATCATGGGCCTTAAAGAGCTTACTTATCCATCCTGCCCCCTCCACATGAAAGCATCTCCTAACTGACTCACTAACATTTTCTCAAAATGCTCTCCTACTCAGCTGCACAGCACCTGGGGACTCAGCTGGATTTGCAGAAGCCGGATATGATCAAGAGGAAACTAGAAGAGGTTCAACAGCTGCGCCGTGACATCGAGGACTTAAGGACCACCATGTCAGACAGATATGCCCAGGATATGGGAGAAAACTGTGTCACACAGTGAGGAATGCTGGGGGTGGCACACGCTCTGTTCCCCCAGGGAAGATCTGCTCTGCTGAATGCCCAGTCTGGCAGGTCCTGCCCTGACAATCTCTTGCCTCCTGTCTGCTGCTATTCCCAGAGAGAAGGGGTGGAAGGGGTTAAGAACCTGCATCTGGGGCCAAGGGCTGATTAAGGAACTGTGCCTGCCCTGTCCCACATTGGCTTTGCCTTGTTGGATTGCATTTGTCCTGTCATCCTGATTTACCCTTTGAGGGTGAGTTACTAATTAACTTCTGCAGGTTGACTGATAGGTCCTCACAGACCTTTCCAGCCCCAGGCTGATGTCAGAGGTAAACAGCCTGCTCAATTCCCTTTTCCATCCTCTTGGTTGGATCCACATTCATTCCCACTCCATACCTTGGTCCTGCTGATGCCCAGAGTTCAGTAGAAGGCCTGGAAAGGCTGAGTACCAGACACGATGGCCATGTGAGAATTCTCAGGCCAAGAGGCCAGCCTGCCTGGGATCTGAGCTGGCTTTCTTGGGTATTCTTAGGCCTGGTCCCGCTGCTGCTTCCTCAGGGCTCTTGTTCTCACAGACGCCTCAGGGTGATCTGTTTATTAGCAAAGTGCCCACTAGAATTGGCCTAAGGATTATATCCAAGCCTGCCCCATCTGTGTTGTCATGCCATTTTACAGGATGGCCCACTCTCCAGCTGCCCTGTCCCTCGGGGCCCTGGCCACATGATTAGCACAGCTCCCTTCTCTTTTCTTCTCAGGCCAGTCAGGTAGCCCCCTTGTAAACTTTTCTTTATGGTTCTGGATTTGGGCAGGATTTTCCCCAAGAATACCACAGGGCAACTGCCAGGCTGCTCACCACCTCCTCCTGGGGCTAAGGGATGGCATCCAGCCCTGACTTGTGCCTCGCTTTTGTTTGGGGGCAGGTCCTTTCCCTTTCTTGCTCTGGGGCTTCTTGAGAGTTCAGAGTACCCAGTATAGTTTGGCTCTAAGGTATAGCTTTCCTTATTTGCTGGGTTTTGTTTGGGGCCTTTGGACCCTATGCTTTCTGGTTTCTCTTGCCTCCTCATTTAGGGAGCATCTCAAACACAATTGTTTGTATCTGGTTGTTGGGCTGGCCCCAGGCCTCCGCTAGATCTGGAGCGAGGCCAAGCCAGGGCCTTGTAAGGGTATGCAGGAGCACTGAGCAGTTCAGGAGCCAGCCACTATGAGTTTGTTGGTAAGTTTTGAGCCATCAGAGAAGTATCCTGAACCTCACTCTTGGGTCTGAATGAGACTAAGTGTTTTTACAGTTTTGTGTCTTTTTGAGTGATGTATCCCTTCCATTCAGAACAGCCCCACCCAGCCATCCCCTCAGCCTCTGGGCTCCTTCCTGCCTCCTAAAAGCAGAGCTGCCTGGTTGGTCTCCACCCTGTGTTGGGAGCCCAGCCACCATGCTCATGGGTATTTTTCCTCAAAGTTTATAAGCAGTTATTTATATGAATCCTTGTTATGTCAACTGGTTTGTATTGCCTATTTTGACTACAAAATAAAATAGTTAACAAACTCCTCAGTTTTCCATCACCATCATCACCATCCCTTACTCCACCCCTCATTTTGGCTTGTTGGAGCCAAAGCCTGGGTGTTTAGCCAAGTTCCCCAGATGGCAGCAAGGAGGGACCTTTGGCAGGTCCAGCCTCACGTCTGTATTTCTACCACTTCCGCTCCTCTGTTCTCTGTGGGGACAAATACCTCTTCCCACACCACTTTCTATTGGGTGAAGCGGCCCTGAGTCATTGAGCAAGTCTCATTGGAAAGAGTTTCAGTAATCCTCTGAGAGGAAGTAGCTGCCGCTAGGTTGCTGTGAGGAAGTGGCTTCTCAGGAGCCAAGCAGGGCACTGTTTGCCCTAGGGAGCTGGGGTTCTCTTCCTGGGCTGCTATTGGACCCTGGACCTGGGGAGGACTTGCGAGGGGAGTCATGTCCAACCCCAGACAGCCAGCCACGCCTCCAAATTTGGGCTGGTTGTTAGAGTCCACTCCCTCTGAACCCCCTAGATTTTTTCTGGGAGCAGGAGCAGCTTTAGAATGCCATCTGGGATTGGGACACCTGGGTGGCTCACTGGTTAGGTAACTGCCTTTGGCTCAGGTCATGATCCCAGGGTCCTGGGATCAAGTCCCGCATCAGGCTCCCTGCTCAGCAGTGAGTCTGTTTCTCCCTCTTCCTCTGACCCTCTGCCCGCTTGTGCTCACTCTCTCTCTCTCAAATAAAAAAAAAAAAAAAGAATGCCATCTGGGATTGAGGTTGAGCTAGGGCCACCCTAAGACCATCTGTGGATCTTTAACAAGGGTGGGCCAGGCTCTGCCTCCACCCTTCTAGAGCTAGCAGCCTCTTACCTTGGTCTCCATCTGGTGCCTTGAGGGTGTGGCCCTGTCTCTGGCCGCCACCCTTCCTTGTCTCAACCTGCCTGAGTGGAGAGGAACTTCTGGGGAAATCCCGCAGGGGCTGTCCCTGCTTTGGTGTGCCAAGGGGTTAGCCAGCTGTGAGGGTCACCTGGGGGGCTGTAGGAAGGGGTCCCTTGGCGTGAGGTTCCCTAGCCAACGAACTGTAGGTTTCAAACAGCCCAAGCCTTCAAAGCTCTGAATCGTGGCACCAGGGGTGGGTAGCTGGGTGCAGCAAACCCCTGGGGGAGGCTAAGGAGGCGGCCTTTCCACACCGTCACCCCTGCTCTCCCTGGGCTTTGTGGCCACCCAGGCCCCTCCCCAGCCTCATACTGAGCCCCAGATCTGGGAAGGGCCGAAGGGGGCGGCCTCGCGCGGCGCTGGGGTCCTCCGCGCGCCCGGCCTCTGAGGGGGGAGGGGCGGGGGCCAGCTGTGCGCAGGGCGGGGTCGCGCAGGCTCCGCCCCGGCCGCACGCCTGCCCGCGCCGCCCATTGGTCCCGAGAGCGGTGACTCGCGGGCTGAGCAGGAAGGAAACCGCTCCCGAGCGCGGCGGCGGCGTCTCCAGGCCGTGCAGCTGCAGCTACAGCCGTCCGTCCGCCTGTCGGCTCGCCAGTCCAGCCACAGCATGAGCGGCCTGCGCGTCTACAGCACGTCGGTCACCGGCTCCCGTGAAGTGAGTGCACGCCCGGGCCGCGCTGGGGTCGGGGGAGAGCGCGGGCGGCGGTGTCTGGGCGCTACGGCCCGGCGCCCGAGACCCACCCCCACCACCCCAAGGGCGGGGGCGGGACGGGGGGGCAGGGCGACGAGATGCGGGGCGCGGCCTCCCGGGTCGGGTCCCCAGGTGGGCTCCGAGGCTCAAACCCCTCCTTTGGGCATCCTGGATCCTTCGCAGCCCCAGCACAAGCTGCCCACGCCCATCCCGTCGCTCAGACACGCACTCTCTGCAACCCCACTACCACTCCGAGCCGGTCCTGATCGTGCCCTTCTCCCCTCCACTTTGTGTGTACCTGGGCGGGGGTGGCCCCTTACCAGCTTCCACTCAAGCCTGCCCTGCCTTCCCCTCGCTGAGCTCCTGGTTCTCCCCCCACCCCCAAACTTTATCCCACTTCCCTTCTTCGTTCTGACTCCCCTCCACATGGTGGTCCCTCTCATCCTGCACCACCGCAAGCCTGACTCATTCTCCTAACTCCCTAGTGACCAGAACGCTGGCCCAGGGTGTGGAGGGGGACAAAAACCACTGGCCACAGCCCCTTTCTTTCTGCCCAGGGTTCCCCCATGAATCCTCCAGCCTGCTCACTAACCCCTGCCCGCCGTCTACCCCCAGATCAAGTCCCAGCAGAGCGAGGTGACCCGCATCCTGGATGGGAAGCGCATCCAGTACCAGCTAGTGGACATCTCCCAGGACAACGCCCTGCGGGATGAGATGCGAACCTTGGCGGGCAACCCCAAGGCCACCCCACCCCAGATTGTCAACGGGGACCAGTACTGTGGGGTATGGGCCCCCGGGGTTGGGAGTGGGGAAGTGTAGGAGGACTTCTGAGTCAGAAGTCAGAGTCAGACCTGAGACAAAACACCAGCACTCAGGTGACCATCTCTCCCCTCCCCTCCCCTCCCCTAGGACTATGAGCTCTTCGTGGAGGCTGTGGAACAAAACACGCTGCAGGAGTTCCTGAAGCTGGCTTGAGCCCACTGGACTCCGCCACCACGTTCCCCCCCAGCCACCGCCCGGCCAGGAAGGACCTTAGGACCAACTCCCTGTTATTCCTAACCTTCTGACCTTGGAATCGCTCCCCCCGCAACCCAAGCCCCTTCTCCCCTCTCCTCTGTTCAAAGGCAACATTCCTTACCCACTAGTTTCAGAAATTGTCTTAAGCAACAGCCCAGGTGCCGGCTGTCCTCAGCCAGGCCCTGAGGCCGCCACCCTGCCTGGCACTGGCTGATGGGTGCCTTTGTTGGTTCCATTAGCCAGGGCTCTGCCAAAGGCCCCGCATTCCCCGTCCTGGGAGCACCCTAGAGACAATTAAATGTCCCATTCCACTGATGCCGTGTCTGTTTGATATGACCTGGGCCTGGGCCCTTGCTTGTGCTGAGGCTCTGCTCCTGTGGGCAGGTCGGTTGAGTGGTCTTCGGCGTGGCAACTGTGTGTGTGATTGTGTACGTCTGTGGGTGTATGTCTGGCACGTGCTTTACTGTGCGGACCTGCGTTTTTGGAAACAGTGTGGGTGGGTCACCTCCTGATGCACACGCATGTGATGGTGTCCTGACACGCCCGGCTTGGTGAGTCTGGCACATCTGTATGCCAGTCAGTAATGTGTCCAGGCCATGTGGCCGCCTGCCCGTGTTTCAGCAGACTGGCTCAAAGTGTGTGTCATGGCAGTGGGTTCACAGCTGCAGTCCTGCCAGTTTGGGGACAGTGGCTTTGTGCAGAAAGTTGAGGAAGTGTCCCCATGTGCTGTGGTTCTGTGCCTATCAGGGGCACACTTGCACGGGAGGTTCTTCCACACCAGCTGAGGCTGGGCTGGAGCCCGCCTTCCCTCCACTGGATCTGTTCAGCCCTTGTGGGGAGAAAGAGGAACCTAAAGGACAAAGACCCAGCAGCCAGGGCCGCCAGCTGGGGCTCGAGTTACAGAGGGGGCGGGTCGGCACCGCCCCCTCCCTGGCCCAGCTGGGCCCCCGGCCTTCCCTGGCGTCCAGCTGGGCCGCCCCGCCAAGAGAGCCTCGCGGAGCAGCCTGTGTGGGAGCGGGCGCTTTATTTGGAGTAGGGGCCGGGTCCTGGAGCAGGCGGTGGGGCCCGACTCGCCCGAAGCAGCAGCGCTGCATTGGGCACCAGGCCCGCGGCCTGCAGTGTGACCGTGTCGTCGTGGTAGACCGTGGGTGGAAATGTGCTGATGATCTCGAAGGTGGTGGCGTCCACAGCCCTGAGGACCGGGCAGAATGGATCAGGCGGGGTCCTGGGGCCAGAGACGCCCTGTAGCTGCCAGCCCCACCCCGTGCCCACCTGGCCTGTGCGAGCAGGGTGCGAACATCACCAACGGTGTCCTCAGGCCGCATCATCAGCAGGAAAGCCTGCTCACCATTCTCAGACTTGATGCGTAGCATGGAGAGCAGGGGCGCCGTTGACTCGGGTGACTCTTGGCTCCTGTGGGCCTAGAGGCCATCAGTGCCCCCTGGTGGCCCAACCCCAAGGGACTCACCTCTTCACTATGCCCTCACCTCTCCCTCTCAGCAGCCAAGGCTGGTGTCTCCACCACGATCTCCTGGATCCGGGCAGGCAATGGGCAGCAGTTCTGGAAGGCATCAGTGAAAGGAGACAGAGCCCTGGGCCCTGCCAGAGACACCCTGCCCCCAACCCTGAGAGGGGACTTCTCCCTAACCAAGGATGGATGAGACCAGTGAGCCAAAGGGGGAGGAAATGGAAGGGAAGCTTTGGGAGGCAGCCCCATCGTTCCTCTAAGAAGCCTTAAGGTCCCTTGGGGTAGTGGGGGAGAGAGAACCCCACACAATGACTGGGCTGGAGGCCTAACCCAGCATGGGTCAGGGAAGGCTTCCCAGGGGAAATGACACCTGAGCTGTGACTAAGGATGAGGAGTTCCTAGAAATGGAATGGGGGCAAGGGAAAGAACCCCTGGTCAGGGGAACCTTCTCTGGGAGATGGTACATTTGAAAAAGTGTTGGCAGTTCACGTGGCCGAAGCTGAGAATCAGGTTGGACTGGAAGAAAGAAAAGGTTAGATCTGGGAAGAGGACCAACAAGGGATGATGGGCCTTGAGCGCCAGGATAAGAGCTTGGCCTTACCCAAGAACCACTGGAGGGTTTCAACAGGGAAGACCCAGATTCAACTTATATTTTACAGAAGCACAGAGACTGCTGGGGGAGGGCAGTTGGCAAGGCAGGAGTGGGGGTGGCAGGCCAGCGAGAAGCTACTGCAGGTGTCTGAGACAGCCATCTGGGGCCAAGTCTAGGATGGTGGGCAGTGGGAACAGAGAGAAGAGACTGATTCGGGAGGAGTGCTAGAGATGTACAGATCAGACAGACTTGGCAATGTGGAGTGAAGGAGGCAGACTGGTAGGAGACTGAGGTTTGGTACCTTTCACAGGTGGAGATGGGGGAGGAGCAGCAGGATGGGGAGGGAGGAGGGAAGAGGGAGGATGATGTGTTCTAAGGGCCAGGAAGGGGGATCCAGGACTGAATTGGGTATTCTGGTCTGAACCTCAAGGACGTGGCCCAGGACTTGGGCTCACCCCTGGCCTAGACTCCGACTCCCCCCCCCTTTTTTTTTTAAAGATTTTATTTATTTATTTGAAAGAGAGAATGAGACAGAGAGAGCATGAGAGGGTCAGAGGGAGAAGCAGACTCCTTGCCGAGCAGGGAGCCCGATGTGGGACTCGATCCCAGGACTCCAGGATCATGACCTGAGCCGAAGGCAGTTGCTTAACCAACTGAGCCACCCAGGCGCCCTCGACTTTCCCCCTCTTACAGCCACATGGTTGCCAACCCAGCCCCTCTCTGGGTGCCAGCCCAGAGCCCTCCCCAGATTGTTTTCAGGAGATGGCGGAACTCCCCTGAGAGCCTCATCTCTCCATCCAGGCCCTCCTCAGCAGCCCCTTGAGCCTGAGTCTCCAGACAAGCTACTGCTCTGGTAGGTTGGGCCAGGGAGCCCAAGAAGGCTGGGGGAGCTAGGGCTGGCCTCACCTGCAAGGTATCCCGGATGGGTCCCCGGATATCAATCACCTCGCCTTTCCGGATCACAAACTTGGGAAGCCTGTTCAGAAACTTCTCAGCAGTCATCCTGGAGCCTGCAAGGAGTGCATTGGGAGCCTTGGCCTGGGGAGGGACTGTGAGTGATGGGTGATGGGTGGAGGAGGCCACCCGGAGCCTGTCCTGCACGGTGCCCCCACCACCGGGCTCAGCCTCAGGGCCAAGCTCACCTGGGCGCTCCATCCTGTCCAGCAGCTTGTGAATCCTCTGTTGGCCCACCACGCGGCCCTCACCTGGGAACGGGTCCAGCCCGTTCTCTGGGTAGACCTGATTGCGCAAATCACTCACCTGGCAAGAAGGAAGGGCGACAGCGGTGGGCCTAGACCTTCAGCCCCGGGCTCCACCCCACACTTGCTGGCCCAAACAGAGGCCTCCTTGTGCCCCCCCCCCCCCATCAGGAATAGGCTCAAGGGACAGTCTGATGTAATCCCCATTTTACAGATAAAGAAACTGAGGCCCCCAAGAGGGCCGGAGAGCTGCAGTTCATGCTACGGTCCCCCACCTGGGCCCGGCTCCTGTAACACCCCTCGCCATGCCAGGTGGAGCCGCTGTCCTGACATCCTCCCCAGACAGCCCCTCTCAGGAGCCAGCCAGGGAGCGAGGACCAGGGTGTTAGGCGAGGGCATGGACTGCCTCAGACACCCCCGATCATGACTCACACGGTCTTCCAAGCCCAGGTGGTGGCGGCGCACACTCCCTCGCGTACCCCGGCTGTGGTCTGATGCACCACCTCGGGGATGCTGCTCACGAGCTCCCGCCACCGCAGCCCTCATCTCACCCCGACCCACCCCTGGCAGCAGGGGGCTGGCTCATGCCCTGTCCTTTAGTCCCAACATCTGCCCCCCATAGCACTGCCTTCCACACCCATCAGATGGCTTCAGGAGCCTCTGGGGCAAGCCAGGCCACTTCTGCAGAGAACCTCGGGGACCCCAGGCCGGCAAGGTGTCCTGGATGGGGAGGGCAGTGCCTCTAGGGCGCCAGCAGGGGGCACTGCCGGCTGCGTAGCCTCGAGCCGCCGCCCTGGCTAACTGAGCGGCTGTGGCCCCTGCAGCCTCCCTGCCCCCGTCGCAGCCTGGCTGAGGCTCACCCTCCTCGAGACGTCACCAGCCTGGGGCTCCCGCGGGGGGGTAGTGGCTTCCCACCTCAGACCGGGGATGCCTTCCCACCCGCTCCGAGCTCCTCACACAGGGTGGTTTGAGGAGCAGCCCATCACCTTAAAGGGGACCCCGTCGGGGTACAGCCGCTGGAGCTCTGAGGGGAAGAAGCCATCCAGAATGTCTCGGAGGCAGCGCTGTGGCAGGGATTGGACGAGTGAGGCCCGGCTGGACCCGTGCGGTGCCTCCTGCCCCGCTTCCTGCCTGGCCGGCGGGCCCTGCCCCTGGCTTTACCCAGGGGGTCACGCTCTGGGCATTTTCAGGGCCCCAGGACGTGGGTGGGGTTGGGGGTACGCTCTGCAAGTCGCACGTGGGCTTGGGTACCTGTGGAGGGTGGGTTGAGCTGCCCCCCATCTCCAGCTAATGGTGAGTGAGGGCGGGCCAGGCCACCAGAGCGGCCTGTCCCCCCCTCCCCAGCACTCCTACCTGCGTGGAGGGGTCATGGAAGGGCCGGAAGGGCCCATCGAACATCACGAGGCCATTCCGATAGAGCTTCAGTGGGATGGGCTCAAGGGCGCGGAGCCGCGCTCCACTGGGCATTCGTGTCACCTGGGTGTCACCGTCTACCACCAGCTCACTGAGATCCTTCAGGCCGGCCAGCAGCCTGTCAAAGTCCACCTGGGGGGGCGCCAGTGAGTCCCCTGGCAGGAGGATAAACACCCATGAGCCTCTGTGTCCCAGCAGCCCCGACTCCCATGGCCCCCGGCGTCCGCGCTAAGCAGCGGCCTTGGCATCTCCGAAAGCGGCCACCAGGCCGGGGGCGGGGGCAGAAGGACAGCTGCCGCCCCCTAACAGCTGTCTTGTACTGAACACTCACCTTGTGCTAGGGCCCTAATACCTACTGTGCCCCTCTCCTCATTCCAACCCCTTTGCCATCGGGGCCGTGATCACCCCCGTTCTTCGGAGGAGGAAACCACGGGTTACAGAAGGCTAATGGCTGCTCCTAGCGGAGCTCGGCCTGTGTCAGCTCTGGATCGTCTGTCTGGGTTCAAGCCCCGGCTCCTCAGCTTCCACCTGGGTGACCTTGGGCACGTAATGCTGTGCACCACAGCGCCCCCCACAAGGGCCGGGGACGGTGACCGGGAGAGGGCCAGCTCGGAGCACGCACTCCGTCCAGTGCGTGATCGTCGCCAACTCTACCTGGCACACGCGGACCTCGGGCCAACCCAGAGGCTATGACGCGGGAGTCACTCATCTCCATTTTACACATGAGGAAACAGGTCCACAGAGATGAAAAATGAGCTGCCCCAGGTCACTTGGCAAATTAGAGGAGGGGCTGACTCTTGAGTCTGCTTCTCCCACCCGCCCGCACCATCAGGAAGGGGAGGTTGAGGCAGGGACACACGGCTGTTGGGTGGGGGGGTGGATGTTGGGACAGCTGCTGGACGGAACAGATATGCAGCGGGCCTTGGCCTGTGCAGCTAATTCTGGGTCACACACCTCTTTGAGAAGCTGACAGACACTTTGGCCTCCTGAAAAATGTGTTGCACGCACAGGTGTGCCTAAGCTTCGGGGGGCGGCGGGGACAGCTACGACAGACGCCGGAACAGAAAGGCAGCAGAGCGGGTGTGATGCTGGAGGGGGACAGGCCGGGGCCCGTCGTCGGTCCTTGAAGGGACCTGGCTCCCAAGTAAGTCCTGCCCTGGGGTGTAACCCTACAAGACCTCCTGTTTGTACCAGGACAGCCAAGCTGTGGCAGGATGTGGGTCAGGACTCTGGGGGCCCAATTCCTCTCCTCGCAGCGGCAGTGGCTCTGGAGGGGTCGTGGCTGTGCCGAGGAAGTAGACGCGGGTGGCGTGGTTTCCTGTTGCCTTTGTGGCTGCTCAAGGCCCCAGCTGGACGCTTCCCTCCCCTACATCTGCTAGGTTGTAGGGGCGGCACCTGCCCCCCACCTCCTCCTGGGGTCCCCTGGAGTTCCTGAGATGCCCAGGAAAAACTTAAAGAACATCCTGGGCATCCCTGGTGTGAGTCAGAACAATATCAAGCCACTTTTCTCTTCAACAATGAACTACATTCAGAACACACTGGTAAACGTAAAAATAACAACAGAAAAGCTCGTCTCATGGAACTCCTGCCCCTATCCCTATGTTCTTACAGACAGGAAAAGCGAGGCCTGTAAGGGTCAGATGACTGGGCCCCGGAGACCGCACCACGCTGCCCCGGGGCCACTCGGATACACTGACTGCCAAGCCGGCTGCATCCTGCAGCCAAGGCTTTTCCAGGGAGCTGAAGGACATGGGGTGGTGGACAGTGGAAGGGGCAGGTGGAAGCCCAGGGAGGATGCCAAGAAGCAGCTAGAGGGAAAAAAGTTTGCTGACAAAGTCAGCCCTGCAGGATCTCAGCTAGTGGGGCTAAGACGTTGAGAAGTCACGCGGGGTGGGCCTGGGGCAGTGGCCTGCAGGGAGACCAGGGGCCCAGGAGACAGAAGCGCAGCTCCGGGCAAACCAGGCCTGAGAATAAGGCAGGAAGCCCGGCATCAGCACCACAGAGCGGGGAGTGTGCCACAGAGGCCTGGCCTGTGGCCAGGTCACATGGCAGAAGGCAGGTCAGAGGTCTCCTGAGGCATTTCCTCTCTGAGCTGCAGCTCCCCGTCCACGGCATGGGAGAGAGTATGAACCCTTATCCCATCCAGCAAGATCCAGCGGGGGGAACTGACTGTAAGGACGACTCAGTGAGTGTTTACTGAGTGCTGGGCACCTAGAGGCAGGAATTAGCGCTCCCGTTTTAGAGATGAGGAGATGGGGTCTTGGAAGGTGACATGCTCCTGGTCATGCAGCTTTCGGGGCCCAGGTGACCCCACGCCTCTATTCTCGGAGACCACACAGGCTGCCTCTCGATGTTGGTGCTTCGGACACTGCTCCCTGGGGTCCCTGGGGTGTGGTGCGGGGAGAAATCATCTCTGAGGTCTCATCCGACTTTGAGCGCCCATGAGTTTATCAAAAAGGGGAGTTGGGGAGGCATGGAGATCAAGACCAAGCTCCATGGCCCAAAGCCTGAGATCCCTGGAACCCAGGTTCCCCATCCTCTCATCAACCTGTTCCTCCGTCACTCTCTGGAGCCATCCTCCCAGGGCTACTGCTTCCAAGCTTTGTGATCCTGGCTAAGTGGGCCAACCTCTCTGAGCCTTGACTTCCTCTTCTATAAAATGAGGACAATAAAAGTCCCCACTTCACAGGTGGCTGTGACGCTCAGAGGAAGTGCCTGGCAGACGGTGGCGGTTGTATAACACCCCACCCTCTCACTCACCACCGGCACAGGGTGCTCACCCACCACCTCCTCTGAGAGGCCTTGCTGGGAGCCCCTGTCCCAGAGACTTGGCGTCCTGAGCTAGAGCCCTCGGGCCCACTCCGGAGCGCGGCACTAATCCCAGGCTGTTGTTCCTTCCTGGTTGCCTGTCTTTCCAACCAGTGCGCACTCCTTGAATGTAGGCTAGAACATCCAGCCCTGGGCCTGGCCCAGAATCGGTGCTCAAGAAGCACATACTGGATCCATTCCTCCCTCCCTCCAGCCCACTAGTATGTCCGGAGCGTCCGAGCCCCGCTGGGCCCTGACAATCATGGCTGTGCCCCCACCCAGAGTCCTGCCTTCCTCAAGCTCGTACTCGGGTGAAGGAGACAGGGTGACAGCAGCGACAATGCACGGGGTTAGGTACCGCCATGGAGGCCGCGGAGCCCGGACGAGGGCCAGACCCGGCCACTCTCGGCAGCTGGGTGGTAGGCCTGCTCTGGGCTGGCTCCTCACACCCGCAGAAGGGCCACCTGCGGCTGTGAATACCAAGCTGGTGCCCTGGGGCCCCAGCACGCCTGTCCCCACACCTCACGCAAAGGCCGGACAGGAAACAGACTGGCTATCTCCACACGTCCGCATGCCTGGCCCTGCTCTGGGGACCTACATTCATCCTGCTCCTCGGTGGAGCTGGTGGAAAGAAATCAGGCCCTGAGAGTCTGGTCACTGCCAGGGTCACGGCCAATTCTCTGGCCCCCGTGGATGAGTATCGTGCCACCCATCGCCACCTCGTCCTGTGCAGAGGGTTGTCCCAGCATGCTGGACTGTCCAGGCCTGGACACCCAGGTACCCCCACCGATCCTGCACACATGCTAGGCACTTTGCAGCTGACAGGGGCTAAGCAAGCCCGGCTCAGTCATCGTTCATCCACCATCAGTGGCCTCCGAGAACCTCCACATGCACTATGGCATTCGATGCTCTCAGTGGCCTGGGCATCAACAGGCCATCTCCTCATTTCACGGATGAGGACACGGAGCTCAGAGGGGACAGGGATGAAGAGGAGGAGCTCAGAGGGGACAAGGATGAGGGGGAGGAGCTCAGAGGGGACACGGATGAGGGGGAGGAGCTCAGAGGGGACACAGATGAGGAGGAGGAGCTCAGAGGGGACAGGGATGGGGGAGGAACTCAGAGGGGACAGGGATGAGGAGGAGGAGCTCAGGGAACAGGGAAGAGGGAGCAAGGAGTTCAGAGCAGGCAGGGATGAGGGGGAGGAGGAGCTCAGAGGGGATGGGGAGGAGGAGGAAGAGTTCACAGGGGACAGGGGAGGGGGAGGAGGAGCTCAGAGGGACAGGGATGAGGGGGAGGAGGAGCTCAGAGGGGATGGGGAGGAGGAGGAAGAGTTCACAGGGGGCAGGGAAGGGGGAGGAGGAGCTCAGAGAGGACGGAGATGAGTGAGAGTGGGGAGCTCAGAGGGGTTAATGAAGGGGGAGCAAGGAGCTCTCAGCCTTGAGGCTCAACACCTGGCAATGGGGTGCACCAGAGCAGGACTGTCCTTTTCAAGTTTCCGCATACCCTGAAGCACCTGGCATCCTATTTCATGCTCAGTTAACTGGTGGGGAGGGTGGGGCGGGGTGAATGAACCAGCCTGAGGCCAAGTCCTTACAAGGCTTCCCCTTTGCTGGGTCCCCTCCATGGGCCAGAGAACCCTCCTCCCCAAGGCAAGAGTCCTGGCTCTAGGCCGGTGAGCCCCATGCAGGTGCCCCGCCCACCGCCCACGGCCACCTGGGGCCCCGCGGGCAGCGGTCTCCGCCGGGGCGGGGGGAGGGGGCGGGGGGGGGAGAGCCAGAGAAATGCACCAGAGTATCAGGGCCAGCAAGAGGCGGGCTGTGTGCACCGGGGGGCCCCTGGGGCAGCAGCAGCCTGGCACCTGGGGACAAAGGGCGGGGGGAGGAGGGAGAAGCCAAGAGAGGGGTGCCAGGAGGAAAAGCTGCTGGAAATGAAGAGCATGTTCTTCAGCTGGCAGAAGGGCTAAATTGGGGCCCCCCAAGGTGGAAAGCAAGAGGAGAAGGATGCACAGAGGGAGCGTGTGGCCAAGTGGTTTTCACAAGTTACTTTAGCTCTGAAGCACTTGGCTTCAGAGCCCACTTACTCTGAGCGTAAACAAACAACCCAAGCAGAACGAGGGCTGCTGTTTTCGGCAGGGAGAGGGTAGGAGCCACAGAGCCAGGTCCGGAAACCAGCTATCTGGGCTGATCCCCAAAGGGGCCGGGCGGCACCCACCCCTCCGGCCAGGAGCAAGGTTGCCCTCCGGCCGGCAGTGGCACCAGACCTCTGGCGCTAGACCCTGGAACATTCTTAGAGCACGTCACCTTTCAGGGCTCCACCTCCCACCCGGGACGGGGTGTCCCAGGGCCATCCCTGACTCCTCCTGTCTGCTGCCTGATGCACAGTCACCGAGACCACGGACTCCACCTCCTAAATCTGCCCTGCCCTTCCTCGCGGTGCCCGCCAGGATCACCCTTCCGCTGGACATCATCTCATCTCCTGCCTGGATGACTGGAACCACCTCCTAAAGGGGCTCTCCGCCTTAAGTCTTGCCCCCTTCACTCAACAGTCTCCAAACTTCTTAAGTGCCTCAGTTCTCCCATCTATAAAATGGAACAACCCCTGGTCTGTGTCAAGGCTGTGCATGAAAACGTTTTGAAAGCTGCAAGTGGTGTAAAGTGGGAAGTGATGTTTTTAGAGCAAAGCAGTGAGGGAGTCATGCCCTGAGATCTGGGGGGATCTGGCCAAAGGTCAGGCCTGAATGGGAGGCAGGACTCTCATGTTTTGAAACTTATGAAATCAAGACGGTATTGTCATTTTCCAAACACTCCCCTCGGGAGCCATGCTCATCCATGCTCTCGTGAGGCTGCGACAGGGGACAAGAAAAGCCCCTACTTGTGGGGCTGATGACATGCAAGGTCAGTGCCAGGTGCTCCGCGTCGACCCCGCGGACTCCTTCAACTCTGCAGGGAAGAGCACACCCCCGTTTACTGATGGGGACGAGAGGCTCAGAGAACAGAAGTCACGTGCCCAAGTCCCACCTGGAACGGGCAGTAGAATGGAGATGAGGACCCAGGTCTGACTGACTCCAGAGCCTGGTGAAGTACCTTCTGGGCAATCACCTCCATTCTTTGAAGAGAATGGACCTGGCTTTCAGAAACGGCCAGTTCTAGGGCCCCTCATCTGTGGGGTGCATTCCTCTGGATCTGAGCAGTCAAGTTCAGAATAAAGAATGGAGGAGTCCCAGAGAAAGAGGGAGAGGTCAATGGCCTGGCTACAAGCAAGGCTAAAAAAGGAACGCAAAGAGGGGATCGAGCCTGGCACTGAAGGCAGCTTCCAAAGCAGAGGACTCGTTCTTTAAAAACTTTGGGATGGACAACATTTTGTAAGCTTTAGAGCCTGAGACAAATGAGGTCTTCTTACACCTCGTATCTCTGGGTCTCTGGAGCCTTTGAAAGGTGAGCAAGCAGAGGGTCTGAGGCAAGACCAGAGGAAGAAAGCGGTGGCAGGTCAGGTGGTCAGTGATGTCCTCCCTGCTCCTGGGTCAGGGGCATGAATGACATCGCCTCTGGACAGCTGCTAGCCCAGGGTGGTGTTGGAGAATTCCTTCTGTAGGAGGGACCGAGGGACCCCGACTCTACCTGGTTTCCAGAACTTCTTGGCTGTCATCCAGTCCCTCTTGCCATCCTCTGAGTCTGACTGGTCGTCTGAGTCCTCCTGGTCCACGGGCTCGCCCACCCACTGCAGGCCATAGTCACCAAGGAACCGCTGGACGGAGAGGAGGGGCAGATGCGGGGGGCGTGGTCAGCTCAGCCCCTCAGGGAGCCGCCAGCAGCTTCCTGGTCCCCAGCCTCAGGCCTCAGCTCCCAGAGCCCACTGGGCAGAAGGGATGCACCCCCGGGGTTGTGGCTGCTTCCTGGCTGCAACCGCGGGAAGCCACTTCACCTCCTGGAGCCCATAAGTGTGTGAGGAGGACTCAGTTAAGATCATTCACATCGAGTGCTTAAAGCACAGTGTCTGGGGCCAGGAGGACTTCACTGAAGGCGGCCCTGATGGCAGTGGGTCTGGCCTGAGTGGAGGAGGGGCAGGGACACGGGCTGCGCAGGACCAAGAGGATGTGATGAGCCACACACCGCCTCTCTAGGGCTGGGCCTCCCATCCCCTCTGCCACAGGAAAACTTCTGACTTGTCTACACTTCCTGTCGCTGCTTCCTTGACTCCCTTTCCCTCCTGAACCCACTCTAACCGACCCCCATCTCACAACTGACTGGAACTACTCAGGTGCAGCCACCAACGGCCTGCCCGGTGCCAAACCCAGCGGGTTTCCGTCGTCAGCCCTTCGGACGTCTCACTTTTGCATTTCCAGCCGTCCATGTTTAGAGGTCTCACAGGCATCTCAACATGAACTCATCCCTAATGGTCATGACTCCGTGTCCCCACCTCCCAAACCTCTGCCCCTCCAGATCTCCAGTCTCAGTCAACGGCAACCCCTCCACCTGGGCCTCAGCCATGGCCCGTCAGGCCTCTGAGTGCCACCTGCAATGCAGGCTCGAATCCCTCCACTCTGCTCCAGCTCCCGACTCAAGCCCTGGCCGTCGCCCCCCGCAACTCAAACTGCGCTTCCACCGGACTCCCCATCCACGCCTCTCAAACTTTCCCATGGTCTCCTATCCTTGAGGACAGAATCCAGCCCTGCACGACGGATGGACGAGCCCTCCTGATGGTCCTTGCCGCCTCTCCTCCTTCTTGCTCTCCATCCACGTCCGCGCAAGTCTGTGTGGCAGGACGTGGAGCCTGGCATCTCTTCTGCCTTGATCCTCATTCCTGGGTCCCCTCCTCATCCTCCAGATCTGCCCGATGCCACCCCGCAGAGTGGCCCAAACTCCAGCTCGCCTCTATCCTGTCACCCATCTAAATATCTAAATATTTTGTCATATGCACTGTCCTTGTGTATCTGTGTCCTTGTTTATGTCTCTGTCCCCCTCCAGCCTGTCAGCCCCGAGGACAGGGACCACGTCTACCTCTCAGTGCCTGGCAGGGTGCCTGGCACACAGAGATACTTTGTGTGAGTGAAATGAAGTAGTCAATGTGTGAATGCCACCAACGAGGGAGCCGCGACACCCTCTGCCCTGAAGCTGTGGGCACGCCCCCCCCTCCCGTGGCAGCCGCTCAGAGAAGTCCCCCAGGCTGCCAGCACCCTCAGCAGGCTGCTCAGGCGGCCCCAGGTATAGAACAGGCCCGGGAGGCGGGCGCCCTCAGCTGCAGCTGTGGCTTGGGGGCTGCTTCTGTGGCCTAAGTCCGGATGGGGCTTTCGAAGTCAGCTCTGTGCAGAGAAGGGGAGGTTAGACCCAGGGAAGGGCTTCTGGTGGTGGGGGGGGGAACCGTCACCAGGGGCGGGGGGCACTGAGGAGGCCTGTGTGCCCAGGACCCTCCCTTGAGCCTACGGTCCCCACAGTTCAGGTCCTGCTGTGTGAATGGGTACATCAGTGGGGGCAATGGGTAGCACCTGGTGAGTGAGACGCCACGTTCAGAGGCAGGGGACGGCCGTGACCATTTGGTGACCACACACGGCCAGGAGCTACGCTAGGTCCTGGCTGTGCAGCAGTGAACAGGAGGAGAGTGGTCCCTGCCTCTGTGGAGCTCACAGTCCCACGGGGGAGAGTGAGGCCCCCTGGGAAGGGCCCCCACCCCGATTTGAGACTGAGGATGAGTGAAGACTCGCCAGGGGAAGGTGGGGAAAAAATACTTCTCGGGGAGAGGGAACAGCACGGGCCAAGGTCCTGAGGTGGGAAGAGCTCGAGGTGGCCAAAGAACCAGAGGCAGGCCCGTGGCTGGAGCGGAGAGGCTCCCGGCGAGAGCCAGCAGGTTGGCAGGGGCTGGCGGGGTCAGGGCGCCAGACCCTCCCTGGCTCTTCCGACTCTGGGTCAGTCCTGAGGAGGGAAACCCGGGAGGGGGGCCGAGAGCCAGGTCCTGAGGGGCAGGCGGCCCTGCGCCACCGCCTCCCTCACCTCCATCTCGCCGACCTGCCGCTGGAGCCGCAAGCATGTGGTCTCCAGCTCCCGGGGCTCCGTCACCGGCCCTGCCGGGAAAGATCCGAGCACTGTGGGGCCAGCAGGGACGTGGCCAGACCACCTGCGGCCTTGCCCCCCGCCCTGCCCTCAGGGCCATTTGGAGAAGCTGCCCCTCGAGAACTCGAGGGGTCCCCCTGATAACTGCCTCTTGGCCTCTCCCGGGACCTTGAGAGGGGAGGCCCGGACTCTCAGGAGACCGCCACCCCCCAACCTCATGCCCCTGAGGCTCCTGAGGGGGCTGTGGTCCTCCACACTTTTGATGGCGTGCCCGGCGCTCAGGGCTGGGCTGTGTCCGCACTCCGGGGACTCAGTCCCCCAGAGGACGGCACTGTCCTGGTGTGTCGTGGCCGCACTCTGGGCTCGGCTGTCCCAGGCCCCACAACAGGGCTCGGCTTAATGCTCTCGGAGCCCTGATGCCCAGGGGCCCCCGGCCCAGGGGAGGTGCCCCAGGAGGGCTGACCAGCCCACCGAGGGCCTCTTACCCTGGTGCTCCTGGAGCGTCTGCACCATTTCCTCCAGGGCCCGTATCTTCCGATCCTGCAGCAGCAAGAGAGGGAGGGGCAGGCAGACCCGGGGGTTGTCAGAGCATAAGGGAGCCCCTTCCAGATGGGAAGACCCAAACTCCTTGCCTCTGTGGGGCACTGGGGAGTTTAAAGACCCTGCCCCTCGCCCCCCTTTGGCGCAGCCACTGCTCCTATCCCTCAGATGCCCTTGTGGTGCCACTGTGGCGAGGAGAGGCGGGGAGCACCCCCACGTACCCCAGCGCCAGCAGCCACTGCTGCCACCTCGTCTAGGACCACTGGCCTTACTCAGCTCTAGAGAAGACCCTTAGCCTCTCTGCTCAGGGCACAGGGACCCAGAGCAGCCCCAGGCCATAGCTGGCCCTTGGGCTGGGAGGTTCCGTGGGAGAGATGGTTCTAGAACCCACCCGCTCTGGCCTATTGCGGTAGTAAACTCACTGGCCTCCCCAGCCTGGGCCCTTCCACCCCTCAGACCAGACCCTGGCCCTGTCCCCGCCGGGGTCCCACCTTGGACAGCAGCTCATCAGCCTGAGACCTCACTTGCTGCTCCAGATCCCGCATCTTCCTGGTCAAGGTGGCCACCAGCTCCGAGTCATGGAACACGGGGTCTGCCAAACAGACAAAGTCCTGGAGCCCAGGCCTAGAGCAGAGGCTGAAGTGTGGGGGTCCAGTGGAGGGGGACAGGGATCCCCAGAAGCAGAAAGAAGAATAGTAATAGTAGCTGCCACCTAGGTAATAGAGACTGTCCAAAATACTTTGCCTATATCAGCTCATGCTGTCCCCACAGTGTGCCTCAGTTTTCGGGAACACTGCGGATAGACGAGCGAGTCAGCACGGAAGACAAGCAAGCACCCAGATCTGCATGTGGGCTCTCTGAGGGACACAGGGCTTGGACTCCTCGAAGAGTAGTGTCACTTTTTAAAAAGGCAAGAACACTGTTCTAGAGTTGTAACAATCAAATGCAGTGCATGACCCAGATTAGAACCTAGATCAGGAAAAACAATAGCTAGGAGCTAATTCTGGAACATAGGAAATCTGAGCGCAGAAGAGGGGCTCGAGAGCATCACCGAGTCATCCACATTCTTGGGTGCCGTCCCTGTACTATGGGCATGTGCTTCCTTATTCGGAGGAGACGCTCACTGAAGCATTCAGAGGTGAAATGTCATGATATCTGAAATTGACTTCTAAATGGTTCATCAAAATATATATATAGTTACATTCATACACAGGTGTATATGGACAGAGAGAAAGCAAATTAGTGGTAAAATGTCACTCACTGTTGCATCTAGATGGCAGACATATGGGTATTCACTGTATGATTATTTTAATTTCTTTATAGGCTAGAAATTCTTCAAAATAAAAAGTTGGGGAAAAGAAACCAAGAGAGACACAGAGGGAGGAATGGGCCCTCTCCTCCCCCTGCAGGCTGCCCTGTGTGTGAAGCAGGATCTACACGGGTCGCCACACAGCCATGTGGGCCGACATGCAAAGGAGGGCTCAGTGGAAAGATGGAGAAACCTGAACTTTCTTTTTTTTTAAGATTTTATTTATTTATTTGAGAGAGTGAGAGAGAGAGTGAGCACGAGTTGGGGGAAGGGGCAGTGGGAGAGGGACAAGGAGACTCCCTGCTGAGCCCAACTCAGGGCTCATCCCAGGACTCCAAGATCATGACCTGAACCAAAGGCACACGCTTAACTGACCGAGCCCCGAAACCTGGACTTTCGATGACGTCTTTGAGTGGATGGATGAACAACCCTAGAGCTGCCTCCTGGACTTCGTGCTATGTGGGACAGCAAGTCCTCCTCAACGTTCATGCTAGCTGAGTAAGGGTTTTCTCTGCCTTGTAGTCAAAGCTTTGTAATGGCTATACAGACATCTGGACCCGGTCTGTGCATAGAGCGTGGATGAGCTCACGGAGGCAGCAGGGGCACAGGGAGGGGAGAACCCAGGGGAGGAGCACCACACTCAAAAGCTGGGAGGAAAAGAAGGAGCGAGCAAAGAGAGGCAAGAGCCTGGGAGGCAGGAAGAAATCCGAGAGCAGTGTCATGGTGGCCAAGAGCCCAGGGCGCTCTGAGAAGGAGGGAACGGTGACCCGTGTGGAATGCTGCTGTGTAGCGAAGGGAGACAGGACAGGCAAGTCCTTGTTTGTGACCTCGGTGGGGACAGACAATGAGAGTGGGGTGAGGAGCAGACGCCAGGGGAGAGGCAGAGAGCGCATGGGACGGCTCCTTAAGGGGAGGAGCTAGTTACTGGGGTTGCTAACAACAGTGTCCCCAGCTGCACTGCAGGACAGCCTGACTGTGGGCTGCAGAGGCTGTGGGGCCAGGCTCTTCTGGTCTCCTTTTCCCACCTCAATTCCCTGTCCTGTCGCGTGGAGTGGTGTTTGGTGGAGGAATGCCTCCCACCTCACAGACGAGGAAATGGGATGCAGAGAGACAGACTGTTGCTTACCCAAGGTATCACAGCTAGGGGAACCTTCTAGCCTCATGCCCAGCTCCTCTGGGCTTGCAGCGGACTCTGACCCTACCTGCCCATGTCTCCCCGGTGCCCAGGCCCGTTCCACCCTCCCTCCTCTGGGAAGCTGCCGGGTGAGCCCCATCTGGGCACCTCTGAGATCGGGGTCACCACAGCCCTTTGGGGACAGCACAGACCAGGCAAGGAGGGCTGTCTGGGGACCGGGGGCTCACCCACAGCAGGCAAGAGTCGGTCCATGCCTCTCTGGGCCTCGCCCCCTCTCTGAGACCCTCTCCTGCTGCTGGGGACCCAGACCCCTTTAGGCCTCTGTTCTCACCTTGTCTCCTCACAGGGGCACCTACAGCGCCATAGCAGGAAGGGACAGAGAGCCTCTCTTCTGAGCCAAGTCCATTATTCAGCACATCTGCCTCGTCTTCTGCAGACAGGGATGCCCAGGTCACTGCTCTGGGGCTGAGGCCCAGAGGAAACTGGGACCCTGGGCTCTGGCCCGGGTGAAGCAGCCTATACTCTGTACCCCCAAGTGTATGCGGATAGAACAAGTGGGATGTCAGGGAGCAACGATCCAACCAGAGCAGGCTTTCTTGCAATTCTCCCAGCCTGGCTCCCGGGAGGACCCGAGTAGCCGATGCCGGCCACATGGTGGCAGCGAGAATGGAGTTGGGATGCCAAGGTCTGAGGCTGCGGGAGGCAGGGCCGCCAAGCGAGGATGGGGCTTCTGGGGGGAAAGGCAGTAATGGGCTGGGGGAGGCTGTCAGGGGAAGGAGAGCTGGGGTCTGACCCCCATGGCTTCTTGGCACCCACCAGCCAACCCCACAGTGAGTGGAGGGCTTCCCACGTTAGCAGTGACATCTCTGCTAAGGGCGCGGGGCCTCTGAATCAGGGAGCTGCCACAAGTCCTGTCCTCAGGGAGGCATGGGGGTTCTGACAGAGGGCACCATCCTGCTCCTTCTCTCCATCGGCACGACCCCAGGGACACACCACAGGTACAAGGTGGGGGGGACACGAGGCCAGAACCTGCACTTACCATCTCCGTAAATTTTTATCCCTCGCCTGCTGGGAACCCGGGCAGGAAGGAAAAGGAAGACAGACAAGTTAGGACCCTCTGGAATGTCATCAGGGGAGCGGCTCTGCACTAGGTGCCCAGCCAAGCCTAAACGAGATGGAGGCCGGGCCTCTGCCTCCCGAGGCTATCTCCTCCCCGAAACCCATCCTCGGCACTGGGGCAAGCCAAGGGACAGGCTTCAAGGTGTCCCCTCATCCCAGCGGAGAAGGGCGGGGAAGGGCTGAAGGGCAGAGGTTTGGGTGGAAGACACAAGAGCTCCCGGGCCCAGGAGCCCAGCCCCAGCTCTGCTTTGAAATGGCTGTGGGACCCCAGCTGCCCTAGATCTCCCTGGCCTTCAAATGACTCAAAGCGGTGTTCAGAAGAGCAAGGAGAGAGGTAAAAAAAAAGCTTCAAAAGGATGAAAGCGCAAAACAGATGTAAAGGATTCCCTTTACTGAGGGCCCAGCACGTGGCGCCGGCCCATCGGTGTTGGCAAATGGACACCCAAACCGTGCGTACCCAGGGGCTGCGCCACTCCCATCCAGCCCACCCCCTGGCACAGGGCACAAGCCCGCATTCGCTCGGACATGCTGTGGAGCCTCTCTGTCTGAAGAATTTATACAGAGAAAGATACAGTGGTCAGGAAGTCTATGTGACTCCTCATTTTTTCCCTGAGACACTAGGAGCCATTCTCCTAGTCCACAGGGGCCAAGAGGAGGCAGGGGCGTGAACACAAAGACCCCCCCCCCTCGCCGCCCCCCCCACCCCCCCGCCGCCCCAGCAGAGGCGGGTTCCTTACCCTGGATTCACAGGCTCTGACTGCAGGGGGACTCTTCGGGTCTTGCCAAGGGAGGCCAAAGGGGAGCTCATAGTTCTACTTCTAGACTCTAGCTGTCAGGGACTCCCTGAGAAGAAAGAAGGAAGTCAGTCCTTGCGGGCTGAGAGGGGGCCCAGGGCCTCAGGACCAGAAAAACATCCTCTTCCCTGGTTTCTTTTCCTAGGAAGGAGCACTGTCCAGGGAGCAGCAGCCCTCAATTCTTCCCACCGCCCCTGTAGAGGTTTCTGGAGGGAGCTTGGCCTCAGGATCCCTGTGCCTGATGTCGGCCTGATCCTCTGGATATCCTACTCTCTGCTCTGATCCTGGAGGCCCCTGGCCTGGCTGGGCAAGGGCGATGGGTGTGTGTGGGGGGGGAACAGAGGTGGGCCAGGAGCCCAGGACTTTCCCAACTTAGAGCCAGGACACAAGACTACCTAGAAGGTCTGGGGCTTTTATCCATCCTTCACGGAGCTGGTTGACACAAAGCTCAAGTGTCCCGTCCCCTCCTACAAGAACCCAGCTGTCACTCGGACTCTCAGAGCCACAGAGGGGCAACCAAGGGAAGGATGCGACCAAGGCACAGTCCGTGTGGAAGGGAGGTCAAGAGCCCAGGCTCTGCATAGGTTCTGCTGTCCACCAGGCTAACCCGTGCCTGGGTTTTCTTTGATATAAAGTAGGGCTGGTGATAGTACCAGACAGGTAGGGTTATCAAGGGGATTCAGAGATAACATTCATAAAGCACGTAGCCCAGTGCCACGCTAAAAGGAAGCACTTAAAAATGCGAACTGTGTGGTTAAGCGACTGCCTTCGGCTCAGGTCATGATCCTGGAGTCCCGGGATCGAGTCCCGCATGGGGCTCCCTGCTCGGCAGGGAGTCTGCTTCTCCCTCTGACCCTCCCCCGTCTTGTGCTCTCTCTCTCTCTCAAATAAATAAATAAAATCTTAAAAAAATAAAAATAAATAAAAAATAAAAATGTGAACTGTGTGGGACATGTGGGTGGCTCCGTCAGTTGGGCATCTGCCTTCAGCTCGGATCCCAGGACCCTGGGATCAAGTCCCGCATCGGGCTCCCTGCTCAGTGGGGAGTCTGCTTCTCCCCCTGCCTGCCACTCCCCATGCTTGTGCTCTCTCTCTCTGACAAATAAATAAATAAATAAAATCTTTAAAAAAAAAAAAAGTGAATTGTGGGGGCACCTGGCTGGCTCAATCCGGTGGAGACTGCAACTCTTGATCTCAGGGTTGTGAGTGTGAGCCCCATGTTGGGTGTAGAGATTACTTAAAAATAAAAAATATATATATTAAATAAAATCTTAAAAAAAATTTTTTTTAATGTGGCTGTTATGGCTTTTGTTACTATACACCAAGGACACTCATACATGTTCGTTCCCTTCCTTCTCTCTTCCTTCTGGAAAGATGAATGTACATCAGGGATGGAATGAAAGGCCACTACTCTATTCAGTGAATTAAGTATATTATGTGGCTAATATCTAGAAACCCTAGAACCAAAAGATCGCCATCAGGGCCTGAATCAAGTCTTTTGAGGACAAATCCAAGGCAGCTGCCCTTTGAAAATGTACGGCATGGCCTCCCCCTGCCGCTGAAGCTTCCCAGCAAGGGGAGCCGTGCCATCTGGAGGCAGCTTCTCTGTTTTCATTCAGATTTTGGGACTCATGCCCCAGGCCTTGCGTTTCCTCACCCCCACCACGAGCCTTCCCGATCTGCCCCTAGTCTGTCCCCGTCCCTGCTGTCTTGTCCAGGCATCCTCATGGTTTGTGTGGCCAAGTGTGACAGCCCCTCCTGGTTCTCTGAGCCAGTCTCCAGCCAGAGGGATCTTCGGAAACCTAAAGCTAACATGTCACTTCCTAGCTAAAAGCTCCCAATGGCTCCTTCTCGCCCAGAGAAAAGAAATTCCCAAATTTCTGTAACAGAGATGATCAGGTCCCTGCCTGTGTCTCCTGACCTCACTCTCCCATCTCCCCCAACCCCACCTTGAGCCAGATCGGCCTCAAATGCACAGGCCTTGGCACACGCAGCTCCCCTGGCCTGGAACCCCCTCCTGGAATGGCGTCCCCACTCCAACCTGCACCCTTCCTTTGGTTGGGCTAACTCCTCTTTTTTTTGTTTGTTTTTGTCTGTTCTTTAGTTATATTTTAAGTTTTTATTTTTAAATTATTATAGATTCGCAGGAAATTAGGAAAATAGTAGAGAGGATTTGTGTGCCCTTCACCCAGTTGCTCCCAACAGTGACACTACATGTGTGTATCCTTTTATGCTTTGTCACCCACATGGACATTCCAGGTAACCGTAGTCAAGGTAAAGAACTACTCCATCACCACAGAGATTCCCTCACCCTGAGGATCGCCCTCATGCCAACCCTTTCTGGTCACACCCGTACCATCCCCCACCCCTGGCAACCACTCCTGTTTTCTTACTTCAAGAATGTTACATAAATGGACACATACAGTATTGACCTTTAAAAAAAAAACAGCTTTATTGAGATCTAATTCACATACTTAACCCTTTTAAAGAGTACAATTCAGTGGTTTTGAGTATATTCAGAGTTGTGAAACCATCACCACAATCAATCTCCAAATTCTTATCACCATAAGGACCCCTCAGAAGAAACTAGTTTAAAAAAGACAGACATTAACAAGTATTGGTGAGGAGGTGGGGAAATTGGAACCTTAGCTGGAATGGAAAATGGCACGGGAGCTGTGGAAAACCATCTGGCAGTTCCTCAAAAGGTTACCTTATGGCTCAGCGATTCTGCTCCTGGGTATCTACCCAGGAGAAATGAAAACTTATGTCCACACAAAAACTCGTCTACATGTTCACGGCAGCATTATTCACAAGATGAAATAACCCAAATGTCCATCAGCTAACGGACAGATAAAGAAGTCTGGTATATCCTTACCGTGGAGTATTAGATGGCAATAAAAAGAAATGGAAGTCAGGTCACCACATGAATGGACCTCGAAAATATTATGCTAAGGGAAAGTCACAAAACACCACATATTGTTATGACCCCATTGATATAAAATGTCAGAATGGACAAATCTAGAGACAGAAAATAGATTAGTGGTTGCCTAGGGCTGGAGGCTGTTGGGGGGTAAATGGGGGTAGTTGCTAAAGGGTACAGTTTCTTTTTAGACAGATGAAAATGTCTAAATTGATTGTGGTGATGGTTGCACAACTTTCATGAATATCCTAAAAACTGTTGAAATTTATATTTCAAAGGGGTGAAGTGAATAGTATGGGAATTCTATCTCAACAAAGCTATCACAGAAAAAAAAGGGACCTGGTCCCCAAACCAAACCCAACATCTTCCCTCAGATTAAGTTCCTCCCACTTCCCCCTTCTTTAGGGGACCCCATCATCCAACCCAAAATTTTCCTCTCCTTCCTCCTCTTAACCCCATCCATCGCCAGACTTTGCAGATTAAACTCCGCAGTGTCTCCCATACAGTTCCTTCCTTCCATACCCACTTTGGTCATCCTCGTGGGGCTCTCCCTGCCCTTCCTTGGGGCTGTCACGACGGCCGCCAAGTGACTTCCCGGTTTCCTGTCTCACTTCAGGCCAATCCAACACACTGTCTCCAGGTTAACTTTCCCATGGATGATAAGAGACCCCTGGGGGTGATGACTGCATCTCCCTATCAGTCTGGGGACTCCTGAGCGCGGGACTGTGTCTCCTCCCTCAGACCCGGGGAGAGGGGGAAGGGGGGCGCTGAGGATAGAGCCACGTCAACTCCCCTCACATGGGGGCTTCCAGGGGCCAACTGTTGACTTCCCCCTCAGGCTGGAGACTCATAAAGGTTAGACTGTCTTCCCTTCAGGCCGGGGCTTTGAGAGGAAAGCTGAGTCCCATTCCCCTACATCTTTAGGACCCAAGTCAGGGCTGTGCTTGACTGATTCATCCTCCGGCACGCCTACTTGGTCTATTCGCACAACCCACGCCAGGCCCCAGTGCTCTCCAGCGCCGACAGGGCCCGGCCGGCTGCACGCCTTCAAGCCCTCACTCTCCAGCTGGAAGCGCTCACGACGCGACTTCAGTCACGACCTAACCCCTCCCTGGGAGCCGCGTCGCCTCCTCCGGCCTCCTCGCGTAGCCACGGTAGGCGGGGGCCCGAAGCCGCTCCCAGGACGCGGAAGCCTGCTGGGCCACCCGGCCGCGGGGCTCGCGGGTCCCGCGGGTCCTCGGGCTCTCGGGGCGAGGGCCCCAGCCTGCGTGCGGGACTCCGGGGCCGCAAAGGTTTGAGCCGGGACTCACCACGCACGCCACGGAGCCGTCCCGCGGCGCCGCCATCTTGTTGTCACGCGGTTTCCCGGGCGACCAGGACCCGTGCGCTTCTCATTGGCTAATTCAAGGGGGTCCCAGCAGGAAACCACCGCCTGTGCTCGAATTCTATTGGCCCACGAATCTAAACTCTTCGCGGGACTGCAAATCCCAGAATCCACCGCCGTGAACGCCTTCGGAATCTAGAGAAATGGAGGGATCGTTTATACCCCCCCAGCCTCCACCCCGAGAAAGGAAAGAACCTGGAGTTAGATTCATGAAGCCTCTGAAATCTTAATGTGTAATCCGACAGTGCAACCGTTTTTGCTAAATTGATTTGGGGGGAGATTATACCTCTGAGTCTCTTGTTTCCCCATCTGATCAGTCCAGTACATCTCGGGGGCTTTTTTTGAATATGAATTGAAATGATGCAAGCACTTAATAAGTGTTTCCTAAATCCGAATTTCTCTGCTCACTTCTTGACCAGATGGCGCCCTACAGGGATGCTCAAATCCTAATTCCTTTGTGTAAAAGTTCAGGTGAGACTCCTTCTGCCTTTTTTTTTTTTTTTTTTTAAAGATTTTATTTGACAGAGAGACACAGCGAGAGAGGAAACACAAGCAGAGGGAGTGGGAGATGGAGAAGCAGGCTTCCCGCTGAGCAGGGCCCCCCCCCCCCCATGTGGCGCTCGATCCCAGGACTCTGGGATCATAACCTGAGCCCAAGGCAAAGGCTTAACGACTGAGCCACCCAGGTGCCCCTCACTTTGCCTTTTGATAAGACATTGTCTTTGAGTGAGATATTTCCCCTCCCCAGCCTCATCTAAAAAAGTAAGATGTTAGGTTAGATCAACCAGAGGCAGTTTAATTAAGAGTATGGACTTTGGCCTCAGGAGTCCTGGTGCCTGACTTGTGTGTCCTTGAGCAAGGAAACCTTAGTTTCTTCATCCATACAATGGGGTAATACTCACCCTGCAGGGTTGCCCTGAGGATTAAATGAAATAATTATTCACAGTACCTAGCAAACACCCAGACAGAGTAAGTTTTCAAAAACATTTCCTGCTTTTAACTATCTTTATCATTATCTCTCAACCTTTCAGCAGTGATGATCTAAAAATAGATGACCAACTTCCTTACACCTGGGCTCAACCACCAAAACTCTTGCATATCTCAGACTGCACTTTGTAATATTTTCCATTTGACTTTCTAATCTACTGCCGTCAGGGGAGGGCCAGCTCCTTGAGGCATTCCTTACACACCAGTTGGAAGCTGAAGGGAGCTACGAATTAATGAGTGCCTTCCAAGTGCCAGATGCCAGCATTATGAGGTTTACAGATGAGAAAACAAGCTCAGAGAGGTGAAGAGATTGGCTAAGGACTATGCAGGTAATCAGTAAAAGTGGATTCAACCCCAGAACTCTGCCTCCAGAATCTGTGCTCTTTCTAGAAGTTCCCACTTTGGTGAAACAGGCAAGCAAAGATAGGCCAAGGGAGGGGTTCAGGTGGAAAGTGTGACTGGAAGTGAGAGGTGGGAGAGCCCTCTTGCCACTGAGCTTCTCCCAGAAATTTCTCTGAGGCTTGAGATATATGAGTTGAGAAAGCTTTAGGTTATGCGGGGCCAAGTGTTTTGGGGGGGTTGAAGCCATGGTCAGCAACTTTATATTGTCACCTTGTTTATATTCATTCTGCTCTTTTTTTTTTTTTAATTTTTTTATTCTTATGTTAATCCCCTTACATTACAACATTAGTTTTAGATGAAGTGTTCCATGATTCATTGTTTGTGCACAACACCCAGTGCTCCATGCAGAATGTGCCCTCCTAAATACCCACCACCAGGCTAACCCATCCTCCCATCCCCCTCCCCTCTAGAACCCTGTTTGTTTTTCAGAGTCCATCGTCTCTCATGGTTCGTCTACCCCTCCGATTTCCCCCGCTTCATTCTTCCCCTCCCGCTACCTTCTTCTTCTTCTTCTTCTTCTTCTTTTTTTTTTTTCTTAACATATATTGCATTATTTGTTTCAGAGGTACAGATCTGAGATTCAACAGTCTTGCACAATTCACAGCGCTTACCAGAGCACATACACTCCCCAGTGTCTATCACCCAGTCCCCCCATCCCTCCCACCCCACCCCCCACTCCAACAACACTCAGTTTGTTTCCTGCGATTAAGAATTCCTCATATCAGTGAGATCATATGATACATGTCTTTCTCTGTTTGACTTATTTCACTCAACATAATACCCTCCAGTTCCATCCACGTCGTTGCAAATGGCAAGATCTCATTCCTTTTGATGGCTGCATAATATTCCATTGTATATATATACCACATCTTCTTTATCCATTCATCTGTCGATGGACATCTTGGCTCTTTCCACAGTTTGGCTATTGTGGACATTGCTGCTATAAACATCGGGGTGCACGTACCCCTTCGGATCCCTACTTTTGTATCTTTGGGGTAAATACCCAGTAGTGCAATTGCTGGATCATATGGTAGCTCATTCTGCTCTTGAAGGTAAGCAAGGATCAACAGCGTGGGAGGCGGGGGCAGGGGGTGGTCTGGCCTCACGAGCCCTGCTGTGGTCTGCCTACTGCCTCCCTTCTCAGCGAGCCTGGGGAGCATGGATTGGCATTTACCCAGGCATCAGGGTTTCCCACATACCTCCCTCCTACCCAGGACCTGAAGCCTAAGATCCTGGAGCAGCAGACACTCAACAAACACCTAGGTCATGTGAAAGAGGTGGGAGCCCTATCTACCCTGGTAGGCCAGTCTATTCGTTTTTTTCTAAAAAACATTTATTGGGAGAAGTCAGAGCCTTATTATAAAACAAGTATATATTTTCACATAGAAACTTGGAAAATAATTATAGCCATCGTTTATCGAGGATATATTATGGGTCAGCATAACTTATCAAGCCTATAAAGCTGGGATCTGTCACTTGTAGCTGGCGGTTCTTGCTCAAGCTACTTCACTGAGCCTCAGTTTCCCTATCTATAAAATAGAGATACTAATAGAACCCACCTCATAGGATTATTTTTTTGAAGATTTTATTTATTTATTTGAGAGAGAGAGAATGGGAGAGAGTACGAGTGGGGGGGAGGGGCAAGGGGAGAGGGACAAGCAGTCTCCCTGTACAGAGGGGAGCCCAACGCAGGGCTCGATCCCAGGACCCTGGGATCATGACCTGAGCCAAAGGCAGATGCTTAACTGACTGAGCCACCCAGGCACCCCTTACCTCATAGAATTATTGTGCAAATTAAATCTCATAATGTCACATTATTGATTTTAAAAGGTGTTTTCCAGAAACAAAGTTATGAAAACAAAACTAGAGTCTAAGCTCACCTAATAGTTATTTTTCTTAGATTTCACTATCCCTCATCTTAGGTGGTTCTGGAAATATTTGCAAGGTCTCTAGGCTCACATGAGACTTGAGTGTTGGGAGGACATTAGAGGCTACTCTGTCTAGCTTCCAAGGATTCCCTCTGGACATCTGGGGTGGGGGACACTCGTCCTCTTTTTCATTCCAACCCAGGGTAGATGTTCACTGTTTGACAACATGAACAGACTCTGGACTGGGAGGAGGGAAGTCCTGAACAAGGCTCTCTCTGGGCCTGTTTTCCCACATGCAAGATGAAGAAGTAGACCCCAGACCTGGCATTAGATGATTCTGGAAGTCTCTATTCTTGGGAATGGACAGAGTCCTCTGCTTTTAGGCCATTTCCTGAAAGACTCTTATCAATTATGACCCCTTTGGGGTTAAAGAGTTTATTGGGTCCCAGCAGCTGAGGAGGGAAAGGTAAATAATAAAGGAGAGAGAAGTCCTCGAAGTCCATACATTCCTTTCAGAATAAAACCCTCGCCATCTCTCCCATCTTCCCCTCTTCCCACCCATGTCAAGGCTGATTTATGCATCTTTCATGCCCCACCATCTCTAGTTTAACTGGCATTTAGGGCCTTCAGAAAGATGCCCTCCATCCTTCTCAGTGTTCCAGAAACTATCATGCTCTCTCCTATGTTCAGGCCTCTCCTTCCAGTGAGAACATCCACCTTTGCCTTTTTCCCCTGGGAAAATCCCCCTTAATCTTTCAAGGACTAGCTCAAGTGTTCCTTCCTCCATGAATACGCCCACTCCTCCCAAGCAGAATTACACTCTGCATTCTAATGGTCCTGCTGCCATTATGGCATTTCTTCTTCAGTTTTGTGATTATTACAGTATGTGTCTTCCTCTTAGACTATGAACTCAAGTGAAGAGACCCTCACTCATTCATCTTGCCTCATACACAGTAGGTGTCAATAAATTGCCTGAAATGGATGGATGGGTAGATGGGCAGATGGATGGACGGATGGAGGAAGACTTACCTTAAGGTGCTCTGTGGTACTATTGGATCACAGCCCTTAGTGGGGATGAAAGGTGCAGGACAGACCATATTGTAATACGTGCTGCAACCCCCTTCCCCTCCCTCCCAGGGCTTAGACCCCAGTGATAGGTAATTGAGGGCTCCTCCCGCTTCTCTCCTGAACCAACACCCCTCCAGGGGCCTCAAGACTCCTACCCCCTCCCTCCCCACTTCCTGGCTTTCTCTCACCAGTTTTCACTCTCAGTTCTTTTTTCTTTCTTTCCTTTTAACCAGGGATGGAGGCCCCTAAGTGCCCATTCAGGTTTTTCTAAAGTTTGCAACAGGAGGCTTAAAACGATAGAAGGGAAGTAGAGGGGTTTTCTTTTACTACCTGGCATGCAAATGAGGCACAAAATAGACTAAGGTAGGGTGATATGGTGAGGCTAGAGCTGGGCTTCACGGACAACCACTGGATCCTCTAAGAGGGAGATGGGCAAAGAATCAGTGACTTCTAGGGCAGCCCCAGAGGTTACATACATGGCTGTGGCTTCAGACAGACCTGTATTCAAGTTCAAATGAGGCTGGCTCCACCATTTACTCCCTTGGACAGGTCACTTAATATCTAAGCCTCAGTTTCTTCATCAGGAAAATGGAGATAATTAGAAAATCTATCACAGGGGCGCCTGGGTGGCTCAGTTGGTTAAGCAACTGCCTTCGGCTCAGGTCATGATCCTGGAGTCCTGGGATCGAGTCCCGCATGGGGCTCCCTGCTCGGCGGGGGGTCTGCTTCTCCCTCTGACC